ACCCCCTTACATCCGCCATCTTTCAGGGCCGGTTTTCGTCAAGGGTTTGGGGCTTTTGAAGTTTCGGGTTTAGCGCTTCCTGCTTTGAAACTTAGGATTTCGGGCTTAGGGTTTGGGGCTTTGAACCTTGAAGTTGAGGATTTCGGGTTTAGGGTCTAGGGCTTGAAGTTGAGGATCTCGGGTGCAGGGTTTAGGGCTTTGAAGTTTTGGGCTTAGGATGGGTTCGGCTGGTTGAGATAAGGGCGGTAGGTAAGGGGGTTTGTGAATTAGCAGTCTGCATTCCCCTGAGAGCTCACTGGCTTGGTTTATGCAGGGTTTGTCGGTCTAGGGTTTAGGATTTAGGGTGTAGACCTTTTCTGAGCATGATTCGGGTATACGTTCGGAAGCTCTTATATCTACCTTTGCTATTCACAAAAGGACACCTGGTAGAGATGATAGGGTTAATGCTGCGGTGCATCTTCTGCACATCAAACCCGAGAGGGAGTCACAGAAGTTGGTGTTGTCGGTGAAGCCTCTACATGGCTGGACTGTCTCGGGGTGTTTCAGCCCTGACACAGAACGCCTGACGCACAACTCCAGCAGAGACTACTTGAAGGATCATGGGACTTAGTAAGTAGGTGATAATTGGGGTTATAAGTCCCCTAAGTGGGGTTATCCTAATTACTACTTATAACCTTACTTACTAAGTCCCATGAGCCTTTAAGTAGCCGTTGGGAACCACCGCTTAGACCCAAACGCATGGCTGCGTGGACGTTTCGGAGGTTCTTCCTGTGCTCGGATCCGGGGAGCCTGGTGGACCCTTAATAAGGACCCCTGGGTATATGCCCTTAATATAGCTATTATATACACATTATATAGAGCCCCATTATAGGGATCAGCTCGTCTTTTGGTGACGGGAATTGGGGGCGTTTGGGCTGAGCGCGAAGGATATGGCACTTCATCTCTTTCATACCACAAGCGTTCATGTGCCCAAGTAGTAGATATGCTTTGGCCCCAAAGTACCAGTATAGGGACTAATTACTTTCAGGCAATGTAGATACTATATGAACACATGGAATGTTAGGGATAAGGCATCGAAACGAGTCCACTGCCTGCCGGCACATGGATCCGCGGGTCTTTTTTCAAACACAAGCCATTGTGCAGAGACTCCACTAAGGAGCACTCTTGGAAACGTCTTCTTAGGATTTAGGGTTTAGAGTGACCTTCAAAGACACCCGAAACCAAAAGCACGAATCTTGCTTGGAGTCTCTGCATTGCGCGGCCAATACGGCGCTGAGCATATCTCCGCATCTGGACATTACGACTTACGAGCTTCGAGACGTGGTCCATGATGACCTACTTGTCCAGTATCCTTGGGAACTAAGCGCTAATCTTGCAAAGTATACTAGGATTATACAGGCATGTAGTACCCCCAAAAAGTTCAAGGTTACCTACTCTACTACTAGAAGAAGACAGACTACTAGTAAAGAAGACAGATGAACCAAGGTTCAGGGCTTGCGCTTCTAGGTGTCCGGATGAAGTCAGCAACAAACTGACTCATGCTGAAGCCCTCGGTATATGCCAACACTCATGTACACACATCACGTAGACCCGTAGACAACCCAAAGCGCCCGAAACCCCAACTAAGCTCTCTGCGAGGAGGTTCAATGCATGAGGCGCTCAAATATCTACCCTAGGTTGGAGCCTAGAATGTTAGAATGACCCCCAAACCCTAAACCCCAAACAAGGTCCCCTATTTTCTGGAACTCCCACATCTTGTGGCTGGAGTCGTTATGATTGAAGCCTCGGGCTGAAACGAACTGGACGATGGCTTCAGCTTTATTATTAATACGGTTGATGTTATAAATCCTGCATTACCCATAATAAGGAGTATACCGTAATTCCCGTAGTTTAGGGTCCTTAAGGTAATGCAGAATTTAGATCATCAACAGTATTGTATTACTGTTGCTACGATTACGATTATCACTATTATTATCATTGTTGCTACTACCTTGCTTTCGTAATCTCTCATCCTCCTGTTATTCCTCTTGTTCTTCTCATTGTTATTGTTGTCATTCTTATGTTTCTGACATTTAAAGTGGGGTTGAGCTCAGAATATTTGGCATGTGTGGCGTCTTTAGGTTCCAGGGCGTTGCGCAGCACATTGCGGTCTTGAGGCTGCTGGGGAATGAGGTGTGAAGACTATATGGCCTTGAACCCTCAACCCTGCCTGTAGCCGAAAAGACCTGCCTTTAAGGAACTATACATAGAAACCATAGTCGGGAATCCCAGTAAGGCAGGCCCTTTCGGCTACAGGTAGACCCTAAATAACCTGCCATTTTAAGGACCTGTATAAAGAAATCATAATAAGGAGCCCTAGAAATGTAGGTTCCTTCGGGTGCAGGTAGAGCCCTAAATCCTAAATTCGTCAGAATTTGGATTGCCCGGCAGATAAGGAGCATCTGAGTCCTCCCTCAACCCCAGGCCCTGAATTCCAAAGCCCCTTAACCCCAGGCCCCAGAGAACCCAATGCCACTTAATTAGGGAATATACCTTAAATTATAGAGGCCTTCATACGATGGTTTAAGGTATATTCCTTAATTAAGGCATACTGGGATCTCTGGGCCCTTCATCCACAAAGCCAGTAAGTCAAAGACCATATTTCTACATACTCTCCAATGTGATTCTTCTTCGGCTAGCGAACCCTAAGGGTCCAAGTACCTAATTATCATATACTCTCCAAAATAGTAACCTACATAGCTACTATCCTAAAACCGAGTACCTAATTGTTGGGTCCTTTGGACCCTTGGGGGAAGTTCATGGTCCTGAGCCGAACAACTAGAGAACCCAGGCGTCCAACAACAAGAGCTGTATCGGAGGCCTCTAATCTACCCTAATTAAGGGTCCATATACTCATATCATATAGTACATAATATAATCGTATATATGCCGGCCATACAGTAGTGCCTGTATAGGTACTGTGGGGCCAGAGACTATACTAGTTGGGAAATAATTGGCTCTCTGCTATAAACAGGACCAGATACTTTCTTGTTTCAGACCTCTAGAGTAGTCTAGGCAGTGGGTGCCCACGATGCAGACGGCGAGCTCGGTTCGACGCAAAAAGTTGGGCACAAACTTGCCTGGGCTTCCTGAAAACGGGTGATGCTGTCAGAACAGTTTAGACTTCAGCGCGGCAAGGGTGGAACACTCTTCGGGTCGGAAAAGGTGGGAGCAAAGGCGGGCTCATATAGGTAGAGCCCTAGGCTTATCAGGTGGAAGTTGGTTGCAGCAAGCCGGGAACTCTGCAGAAAGTATGCGATGCCAATTAAGGCGCAGCAAGAATCCGATTAGTGCAGCCCGGTCTCCTTGTCTATATGCTACAGTAAGTGCTTTGGAATGGCCAAGACAGCAATTCCACAGATCCAGGAAGGCAGCACCGAATTTGTCGTTCCCACCACGGGCTTCAGAGAGATTGCTTAGCTGCGCAGTTGAGAAATTAATTCGTATGATACAGGCTATACCCCCCTTAGAACCATACTAAAAAACACTATTTTTAATATTCTCTTGGGTGTTATATGAACAGATAAAAACAGTAATTCCTAAGGAGACTATAGCAGGGGCCTGAATGATCGGAATAGCTTTTCGGGACGTACCAATGTGAGAACTAATTCAGGGAACACTACGGAATAGTAATGAAGTCATGCTTCTAGATTCACCCAACCAAGGCATTGTTGGGAATGTTGTGCTGGTTAAGGTAGAGAGCACGCTCAGGGGCGGATTAGGGTCCGTGTGACGGCTGCGTCTTACTTGCAGTCGGTTTGTATGATTAACCTGGCGAATGTCTGTATACTCCAAGCCACAATTGATCAGGGGTGTTTTACAAGCATCCTAAAAGAGGTTCTCCCACACCGAACGATTGCCGGCTCACCAAGTCCCCATGATGTTTCATGTATACTTACCAGACTTACCAATTTCCAAGGCACCTGCATTCTGCCTCAGAAGAACAAAATACCCTAAGACACTGTCCTAAGTGCAGAAACCTGTGCCCCGTGCTGGCAATGCTTCGATAAACTCTCAACCCCAAACCCCTAAACCCAAAACCCCTAAACCTTAAACCCCTAAACCCCTAAACCCTAAACTCCAAACTCTCAACCCGCAGCGGAATCCGAGGCCTCTCACTCAGGTCAATAGAACTGTCTCCAACAAAGACTAGCCGACACGGCCTTAGACAGGGAATCCCGAATGCCAGTGCAGGTTTTCGAAGGCAAGAGCATGCAACCGTGATCGAGAGCGCGCACACCAGAGACGAACATCCGTCCAGGTGCCTCATAATTACATAGGTGCAATATACGCGAAGGTTGAGATGCAAATACTAATAGGGGCCTTAATAATTAGAATAGGGTTACTGGGGCCCACTATACTATAATTTGTAACAAGTTAAGGAACCCCCCCAAAAAATAGCATGGGTAATTATTCAGGCCCCTATAGTACCCCAAATTGGAAGCCCTCAGCCAATGCTGAATCCTGAAGGCTCGACATAGACTGGAAACCCGAAACCCTAAACCCTAAACCGTTTCCTAAACCCTAAACCCTACCCCCTAAACCCTAAACCTCTATTTCATATGATAATTTAAACCCATAAACCCTAAACCGCCTAAACCCTGCAGGCCCCAGCGGCGGCGCCCCAGCAGATAGTCTATGAGTTGAGGAATTTGGGGTTGGTGGAATCCTCAAAAAGTTGTGGTTTTGAAGCCCTAAATGACCCCCTATAAGCACCGTTATGGGAACCCTTAAAGGAACCCTAAACCCTAAACCCTATAATCTCTAAACCCTGATCCCTAAAACCTTGAGTCTGGCACACCGCGGCGGTGTGTATTTCCCACGAAACCAGTACTACGGATCACCAGAACTCATCACAGAAAAAAACTGTCGCAAACGCAGACCGCCCTCACGTCCTATTCTGAAAACCTTAACCCTGAACCAAAGCAGTAAAACTGAGCCACATCGACCAGGTGGGCGAGCTAGGCATCGACCAGTACCTGAGCTGGAGCTGAAGATCTTTGGGTTTACATAGGCTTGCGGATTACATGGGTTCGGGGGTTTTAGGGATTCGGGATTGGGGCTTGTAGTGTTTTGTAAAACAGTGTTAGGCTTGCGGCTTATAGGGTTTAGGGGTTCAGGGATTAGGGTTTATGGGGACTACAAGGTTTAGGGATTAGGGTGCAGGAGATGAGGGTTCAGGGCTCAGGCCCTCGATCTTGGGCCGGTCCCCTTGAGCCAATCCGAGTCCTCATAACAACTACAGCAGACTCCATAAAGTTGGAAACAGGATTAAGGCCAAATCGTGCTGAGATTCCCTATACATTACTCTTACGGATTGAGGCTGCGGGGTTTCCAACTTGTGGGCTTCTACTGTAGCACAACAAGAACCACAAACATGAGAAGAAGAGATATGGTCCCTGAGCATAGCCTCGCACCGAAGAACATGTTCGTAGTTATGATTCCCTAAGGGTCCAAACACCCAAACAGTAGGGTTTCGAGCTCCAAAAACCACTCAGCCTACGGATTTGGGGATCTACAGCACAAAGTCAGTCGCTATGCACCAGCGTCTGATGGGAGGAATGCTGGGACTAATGTGGATATCTGTACTCCTGGTCTAGACGCTGCGTTTGCGTGTGCACCTCCCCTCCTGGATGGAGGCTTCTTTCTCGGGAATCAGTCATACAACGAGGGTCCTGGCACTCAGACCCGGCGTCATGAGGGTCCCTGTTTCTGAAACAAACCCCAAAACCAGGGCTCGCATTTGGCCTGCACCCCTGGACGGTGAAGCGCCTCTGTCTCGTTTGGCAGCGGCCCAAGAAACTCCACGCAGCCGGACTCCATGTGATAGACAGCCCCTCCGGTTTGGATCTGCTGGAAAAAACTGTGGGCATAGTATGTAGCTTAGCACTATAGAGTCTTCGGTCTACTTAGTGCTTATAAGGGAATGGGATTGTGCGGAGGTTGCCGCAGCTAGCATGCTAGGGAAGCCATAACCGCAGCTACAACATACTACCAACACTCTTTCATGTAAGTTCGTTCCCCTAAACCCTGACCATATACCGAACGGTTCAACATCTTGCGGAAAGGAGCCTGTAAGACAGAAAGCCGGAGGGTCCATGTACTCATATAGTACATACATTGGCCTCGACGTAGTCCCTACAAGGGTCGCTCTAAGGCCTTCTTTATGGGCTGCTCGGTGGGTTGCATTCAAGGTAATTACCTGTGACCCCAAACCCTACAAAATAGTAGGTCATGAGCCTTAATTGGAGGGTAGAACCCTTAAAATGGTAGGGTTTCGGATCCCCAGGTATATATTATTTGGGCACATGGGCCCTTCGGGGAAACGAGGTATTCGAACAAAAGCTGCAACGGAGGGTCAAGGCAAGCCCTCCGAATCTCTGAGTTGGGCCTCAGAGAAAGTTCATGAGAATCCCACAACGAAGAACCCTATGCCTCCAGGGACCTTATTACGGGGTCCTTAGGGGGTCTAAGGCCCGAACTATGAGGTCCTTGGAGGGATAGGGGAAATCTTAAACATTCAACGATCTGACGGTTTAGTGCCTAGGGGCTCCGTTTTGTTAATAGTGTAAAGGCTCTGCTTTGTGTGCCTTGATATGTCGTGCACAGCTTTCTAGGTACTGAATAGTATTGGCATGTATGCACGGTGCCCGCAACTCAAAACTTTCAACCTCTCTTCCATACGCATCTCAACGCGGAACTGTCCTTGAACTTGAACGCGCCCGCTCTGGGCCAATTCACGAATGGGCCGGCCTAGGACAACAGTCAATTAGGCTTACATGCGCGTGAACGGACAAGATCAGTTGTATAATGTGTGTCTCGATGTGTCATTGTCCGTGTTTTGTCCTGCATGCTTTGTCCTGCATGTTACAGAACATACACACACCAGCCTACTGTTGTTGCTTGGCGTCGGGCGCAGAAGCTCCTAAACAAAGTACCCGGACTTTTGAGAAACGCCCGCGACAAACCTAGAAATTCCTTCTTCCCGTAACATAACATATAACAAATTCGATACCAGCGTTGGTCTCCTCAGTGTAATCTGCATTATGGCGGAGGTTGCTACAACTTGAAGGATGAGGGGAAGCAATATAGGGGCCTTAATAATCACATGGGGAATCGGTATTGCTACTTATTCCGAGTAGCAAGTAGCTGCATGCAGGGTTTAGCAGCGTTTGAGATGGTGCGCTTCGGATTCTCGAGTGTGTTTGATTAATGAGGTTACCTAAAGGCTCAGGGGACTTGGTAAGTAGGCTCGATTGTTTAGGTTTTGTTTGCAGGTTAAGCCGGCAATGTTGTGTAAAACCCTACTTCCGAATCCCTCGCCTTGCTAAGTTCTGGGAGTCTTCAGGTCAGCTGATACGAAACCGTTACGAAACCAACTTTTGTGCCGCCGACACAATCCTTGATGTGCTCACCTCAAATGAACGACTTGACAGCACAATTCTGTGCTGTTTGCCGCTGTATGTCCAGACTGGTAATTAGTACAAGACCCCAGCCACCAGGAACTACAAGTCACTTCAGGGCTTGCGTCCTGTAAAGATAACCGTAATGTAGCGGCCCAATCTCTTCAGCAACTTAGGGCTTTTTTTACGACAACCATGAAAAGGGAGCCCCTGGAGACAGTATTAGTTACTACTTGTAACTAGTCAGGCTGCTATATATGGTTCAGCGTCGGGTTTAGGGTTTCCCTTACACACCCTGACCCGCAAGGAAGCCCAGAACATGAACGGGTTTAGGGTCTAATTAGGCTGCTCGAAATAAGTCCACAAACCCCAATCCAACCGGTCCAAGTCTCTGTGTCTCAGGACAATCTCCATGGTTTGCAAAACGTTGAGTTTCACCGCGCAGAGGCTCAGGCGCGCAAGACCAACGCCTGTCATGAGGTTGCGAGTTGCGAGGTGTTTGATATAGTTTGGGAGTTCGCCAAACACCGGAAACAGCACGAAGCTGCCAACCTGGGCGTGGAGTCGCAGTATGGACAGTCAGAAAAGCCCCCTCGATCTAAGCAACCGTCCTCATACAAGTCCCCAGCTCCGCTACAACAGGGGCCTTAAGAATTAGAACAGGGTTTTGGGGTACTTATACAATAACCATATTAAGTAAGGAACCCCCACAGAGGTATTGGTAATCTACCCTACCCTGCCCTACCCTACCCTAACCCTACCCTAACCCTACCCTACCCTGCCATTGAAGCCCCTGTATTCTGTGTCAACTGATTCCGGCGAGCTCGATCTGAGAGTACGACTGAACCGCGGCTGATCCTAACGTTCATTGAGCATGAAGGGTTTCCCAGAGAACCCAGTACCCCTTAAAAAAGGAATATACCTTAAATCATAATATGAAGGCCCCCCATAATTTTTGGCATATTCCTTAATTAAGGGGTATTGGGTTCTCTGGGCTAACGTTGTTGAGCATTTTCCATGTAGGGTTTGTAGGGAAGGATCCATGGCCGGGAACACCTGGTTGAATCATGATATTCGCTTGTTCAGGATTTGCTTGTTAGGGCTTAGAGTTTAAGGCATAGACGGGTTTATGGTGCAGTGGCTCCGGCTTAGGGCTTAGCATGTCGCTTGTGAGGTGGCCTTTATAGCTTGCCGTTGATCATTTAGGGTTTACTGATATTCAAGGTGTAACGACTTGCTCTGAGGTGGAGGGGTTGTGGCTTCGTACAGGGGCGGTATGTATTTATTATACTATACTTGTAAGAAGGAACCCTCAACCTGGTATAGGTAATTATCAATGCCCCCATATCCCGAAATCCCCTATAGAACGCTTACCGTATCCCCTTTAAGGAACCCTTTTCAGGAACCTTATTAAGGCCCCTATACTGCATGTTCAGAAGAGCCGTTAAAGACCCCTTTAAAGGAACCCTACTCCAATTATTTAAGGCCCTATACTATAACTCCCTGAGAACCATAATAAGAATATTATGTTTCATATTCTCTCGGGTTGTATATGAACAAACATGGAAAATAACAAATTAAGGAGACCATAGTATATTACGCTTTCGCTGCAAGGTTCTACGAGGCCCGAAACAGGCAGCAGCCTTCGCCAAGCTGGTCCGCGGCTTCCTTTCAGCGCTTAGGATTTAGAGTTCAGTCGTTGTGTTTGGTTTTTTTAAGGGACCTTTTACCGTCTGATCGGACAATCCCGTGCTGCGGAAGCCCAAACTGAGCAGGGTTTAGGGTTTAGGGTTCAGGCTTCTGCAGCTGATCAAAGACGACTCGATGTAGGACAGATTCCAAGTTACTTTTGCTGCTAGAAACTGATGTTCTTGCAAGGTAGAGCCATTGGGGTAGGTTGGGAGTGGAAGGATAATAAGCACGGATTGAAAGCCATGACAGAGTAACATTGCCTACAGAATTCCACCTGGTAGACCTTCCCATTGGGCAATATCGGGATGTAATCAACTAGAATACATAGGGTTTTGGGGTAACAACATGATATAGTACGAAGGAATCTGCAATCCCTCATTTAGGGTTCAGGGCTATGCCTATGGGTTTTAGAAAGACCTAAAGCCGGTCAACCCTTACCCTAAGGGTCCAAGTACCTAATAATCATATACTCTCCAAAACCCTAACCTACATAACTACCATCCTGAAACCGCGTACCTAATTATTAGGCCCCTGTATTATAGAACCCTTCTAGTAGCCATTATAGTAGCCCCTTATAGACCCCTTAAAAAAAGGACCCTTTAATTACTGGGTCCTTTGGACCCTTGGGGTTAGATCAAACATGCAGAGATCCCGGAGTCCTGGGCAACCTTACCCAAGCTTCTCGATAGCCTGCCGGGGCTGTTTGGGATTCAGAGGTTGCGTTTATCCAAGGGTAAAAGGAGGGACCCTTAATAAGGACCCCCAGGTATATACCCTTAATATAGCTATTATATACCCATTATATAGCCCATTATAGGGCAGGGGTCCCCAGTAAGGGTCCCTCCTTTTCCCCTTTGAGTTTAGAAGTCTCAATCTCAGGGCTTGGGTTTAGGATCCAGACTTTGTCTTACCCATAGGCTCGATTCTGTGTTATTTTGGGATTACCCAAATTTCAACCACCAAAGGAGCTGCAATGGAGCCTAAAGGTAGAGGCTGGGATAAACCTTAAACCATAAAGCCGTCCTTTCCGGGTGACCTTGGGAACCCACAACGGGCTTGAAGCTTAGTCCCTAAACTCGGGGCCCCCAAAAGCACTTAAGCATCAGCATTTTATGGGGATACGGTTGATGGTATAAATCCTGCATTACCCATGATAAGGAATATACCATAATTCCCATAGTTTAGGGTCCTTAAGGTAATGCAGGATTTATATCATCAACCGTATCCCTACCTTACTGGCCTTCATTACAAGGGGGTCTATACGGGATATCCCTGTCCTTACTTTTGCTTATGTGCTTTACTGAAGCCTTGATCTATCACGGCCGACGTAAACCCTATGGCCGAAATTCATTAACCGTAAGCCGCCCTAAACCCAAAACCCTAAATGGCCCAAACCCCTAAAGTAAACCCCTAAACATAGAATCCCAACCCTCAACGCTAGAACCTTAAATCCAAAAGCCTGACTGAACCCGGCTGTCTCGAGAGTGTCGTACTATGTGTAACTATGTCTATACCTGTATCTATATATACATATATATATATATATATATATATATATATATGTATATCTGTATATACATATATGTGTTTGCATAGTTGTTATATATATATATACACATGCACCCACATCGATATGTAAAATAGATGGATAAATAGATATGTACATAGTAGGTAGGTAGGTAGGTAGGTAGATGGATGGTTTGATGGATAGGATGGATGGATGGGATGGATAGATGGATACATGCATGGATGGACAGATGTATGGATAGATGGAAGGATAGATAGATTGACAGATTGATAGATGGATAGATGGATGGATAGATAGATAAATCGATAGATGGATGGATCGATGAAGAGATAGATGGAGAGGTAGATAGATAGACAAATAGACATATTGTACCTGTTTCGTGTGTTATGGGTGTTTTGTATATTGTACATTTAGATGCGTATGTATATACATATATATATATATATATGTATATATACATACAAACAAACAAAAACAAACACACATACATACATACATACATACACATGCATACATACATACATACATACATACATACATACACATACATATGTATATATCTATCTATATATATATATATATATATATATATTTAAATGTTTATGACATGCGCACACATATATTGTGTATATGTAAATTCCACATGCAGTTTAAGCTTTACGTGGGCCTTTCTTTCTTCCGGCTCCTGGACGTTACAAAACGGGGAAAATTTCCCTAGGAGGTCTGACTCAACAAGCTCCGTGAGGGTCCATGTGCTGATACAGCATATACATTGGCCGTAACGCAGTCTTTACACTATATACTGTATGATTGCGTGGACCTTTAGGGAAGGCTCAAGCTATTTGGGGTTTTGGATATGTGCGTCGATGTCTAAGGGTTTGTAGCACATGGAAGGCGCGGAACGGCCAAGGGCTAGCGGAGGGCATGCGGGCTTGAGAAGTTTAGGTGTTCGGGGTTTAGGTTTCGAGCAAAAATAACAATAATGATAAGAATGATCATACTAGAAACAATTACAGCTTAGGACTCCGGGGTTTAGGGATTGGGCTTCCGTCGTGCCGAGATTGCCTGCCACTCTGTGCTTGTCCGGCCATGCACGCCTCAAGAAACTCGAAGGCGTGGAGGATTGTTCTGAAGCAGGGTCCGTTTTCGGGTGCCTTTCACTGCAAGTTCCTGTTCGTTTATGTAGCTTGAAGGGTGTGGATCCAAGCAGAAGCAAAGTGCATCCACTGCAACGAGTCGAAATGTGTCTCTTGACCAGAAGCATGTCAGGACACTTGGGAACGAAACCGCATCATCCCAACTCACAGCCCCGCGAGGGTTTAGGAATTAGGGGTTTAGCGGGTAGGGTTTTATTTAGGCTGTAGGGGCTTGGGGTTTAGGGCCACATGATCCTGGCGGAAACTAAATCTTGCTCCCAACGGTCATACTTGAAGCAAGGGTTCTCGCACGGCTCCGGTGATGGAGGCGCATTGCCTGGGATTTCATTGTCCGTAAGGTGCGGGCTCAACCCCAAATGCAGCCTGAACGATCTTGTCACTACTCTCAGACCGCCCGTTACGAGTCTTGGGACAAACCCCTAGCGGTGTGTTGTGGGATGAAAAGACCACAGATTCAAAATTTTGGTCGCGGGTGCCGCAGGCAGGATGCCGAGGTCGTCGGCGCAGAGGGACATAAGCTTCTGCATGGACGGGGTCCGAAACCCCAAAGCCTGAACCCTGACTTCAATCCGCTGTGCTTGGGGTGTAGCACATGGTGTTCAGGGGCCTAATTTAGAGGCCTTCACAATTAGAACCGGGTTTGGGGGCCCATTATGCTACAATTGCAATAAGGAACGCCCCCCATATAGTATAGGTAGTTGCTGAAGCCCCCTACAGTATAGAATTAGCAAACGTTGAGATAATAAGCCCGGGGTCTGCGAACACACTGTTTTCCGTCATAGAGGCAAACGTTCTCTGCCATCGTCTATCGAGGAAGCCAGAAAGTTGGAACATCATTGTCCTCATGGCCTTGAGGTAAAGTCTAAGAGATCCCAGCACTAATCCTCCTAAAGACACGTTCCAGCTTGTGGCTTGTACTATAGTAGACTGGCCCTCAACCCTAGACCATCAACTATGAACTGTAAACCCTAAGGTCACAACCAACAAACCCTGAATCCTAAAGCCTGAACCGTAGAAATGGAACAAAACAGTTCATATAAACTTTGAACCCTGAAACCTCCCGATGAACGTTGTCCCCCAAAACATGAGCAGCCCCCCCCCCCTTAAACCGCAAAAAAAACCCAAACCCTAACACGTTGAACCCTGAACCCTGGATTTCTGGGCTGGTCAGTCGGGTACCTACTTTACAACCAGGATACCGCTCAGCATCGGGTCAAATACTCCAAAACAACTTCCTCGCCTGACTCTCCAAGCAAGGCGGGGGGGGTCTTGAAGGTTCACCGGCAGGGGTCAAGTAGGTTATGAGCACCTTCATGTAGCTTGCAGATATCTTAATTCTATCGCGAAAATACTGAGTCCCCTGACCCTTGCAGCAGAATCTAGTTCTCTGCAGCCTGAGTGCGTGTGCCCTAGGATGAGGATCAGACGCACGCCGAATTTCATCGCCTCAGCACGTGTCGGCTTTATTAAGAGCCATTTGATGTGGACTCTAGGTCCTGTTCTAGGTTCAGTAACTAACCCTAAGGCTCAAAATGGCCTAGAAGCCTTATATAGTATGGTCTTTGGGCCCAAAGGCCTTCAAATATCAGTTCTCAGAGCCTATGGATAAGGTTTTCATTTAGTGTTCGGCAACTAAGCCCTAAAACCTAAAGTTTAGAAAAATAGGTGTTCGGTTGCTGCACAGTTCTGCTTAGATTCGCTGACCCGGTATCTGATCAAGACCCGATGTCTTTTAGGCTTGGAGGGTGTGGGTTTAGGTTTTAGCGTTTATATAGAGGTTTAGGGTTTATGCTCATGTTTTTTCGCCTTGGAGTGTAGGGAAGTGCTGGCTTGCAGGGTTTGGGGTTGTAGGGTTCGTGCGTTTCCCAGGATGTGGCGTTCGTGCATTGGCATTGCTGCCTCCGGAGTGGCACTGACTGCAACTTGTCCTTGCTATCTCAAGACTTCCTATCAATCATTCGCGATTGCGTGTGCGACGACCAGGATTAAAGAAGACAAGTGCACCGAAAAACATGCAGAAACAGGATGCAGATGGAAACACGCTCGGATTTGAGCCCATGCTTGGATGAACGGCCAACTGGAGTTAGGGCTTTGAGATCTTACTTGATGAGACAGTGCGTAGGAGATGCGGTGACTTTGCTGCTTCTGCTGGGCACAGCAATGGCCACCACAATCGTGATGCCCATAGTCTCTAGTAGTCATAGCCTTGACAGCTACGTACGAATCATAGCAACCCAAAGAACGAGTGCAAAGAACGAGTTTAAAGCCTTAGACAATTTTATAAAACCTAAGATGCCTGTAGATCTCGTGATTCATTTTAGTTCCGATGCACCCTAATATAGTCCTTATTATAAGGGACCCCAATCAATGACCCCTGATTCTCGGAAACTCTAAACCCCTTGTAGAGCCCTTTAAAGGAACCCTTATAGTAGTCTTATAACCCTTTAAAGGAGCCCTAGGGTACCCCTAATTTTCGGAAACTCCCGTACCTTATGACTTTCAGCCATGGCTCGCTGAATTCCAGGCTGCTCATGATGCTGCCGGCTGCATGGGTACATGTGTTGCCTGCCTGGGCTGTAGGGCTTTGGGTTTAAGGAATATAAACAAATCAATAGATAAATAAATAAATATACATATATACATATGTATATGTCATAGGGGTTCCTTTAAGGGTTCTATAAGGGATCTATAAGGGTTTAGGGTTGGGTTTTGGGTTTAGGGTGTAGGGTGTAGGGCTTAGGGAGTTTTTTGGGGGGTTCCCAGCACCTGGGGTATATAGGGCTTAGAGTTTAAGGGCGGAGGCTCTGCTACGTGGCCCACGGCATGACGTGCACAAGTGTACATAGGTATATACATATATATATATATATATACATATATATATATATATGTAGAGAGAGAGAGAGGGTTTAGGGTTTAGGTTTCAGGGTTTAGGGAATATATATATATATATATATATATGTATGTATGTATACGTATATGTATATGTATATGTATATGTGTATGTATATGAAAATGTATATGTATATGTATATATGTACGTATAAATGAGGCATGTATCTTTGTCCCTGTTACCTTGCAAACATAAGCGGGAAGCAGATGCAGATCATCAACTGCTTCGACGAACACGGGTCATGTCTTCGCCGCATAGTCCCTATATGTCTTGTGAGGCTCACTCACGAACGACGGCCGCAACAGTTAACAAGTTCTGCTCTCAATCCTGAACTACGACAAGGGCCAATTCAGCAAGAAATGACTGTCGTGGAGTCGTGTGATTACCATGACTGTTACATTGCTTGGTCCTGGGACCAGCACTGTCGTCTGAGGCTGTTTTTGCACGGACCAGTATGCCTGTCATGATCAGTATAGCTACAGGACCACTCTTGCTACAAGCTCAGTAATTACACAGGATGGTGTTGCAACTCTAAGGAAGAAACTGCCAAGTCCCAGGAGTGAACCTTCACAGAAACCCACGCTGCACGCCAATCGCAAGAAGTCCAGACACAGTTCATTGCCTTTACTGCGCTCAAACCCGGATATAACCGGGATTTCTATGTCAGGGCCAGAAGCAGCAGCCACAACCCAACTCGCAGATCCAAAAGAGGCTTGGCGGCATTTCGCATGACGAAAATGTCACCAGGCTTCATGTCAAAGACGGTATCTACCGGCACCTGAGGACACGACACGACTTCCACTGCATTTGACCGTATGGTGTCCGGGCTTACTGGCAGGCTGTATTCAAGGACGGACGAGGGCGTGCTTTGTGGCAATTTGCTGGCTCTACCGACATCTTGCTTGCTGCTTCTGTCAAAGACAGCATGTGTTATCGTGAGGGTCGTACAATGCAGGAAAAAGTAGTCGAACTCAGGAACGACGTTTCCGGACCAAAGCTGTAGACTGCCGTCGTTCCTCTCTCTGCAACAACGAGCGAACTATTTTGTGGGAAATCGCATTCTGTCCACAACAGTCGGAGCCCAGATAAGGGATACGTCAGGTCACCCTTTTATGCGAAGTATTCGCTCTAAGCTTACCTAAAAGTTTGGCTTTAGGGTTTGAGCCGTTCGGCTGTCTTAGATGAACCGAAAGTCGTCAAAGAAGGACACCTTAGCCTGATGTAATGTAGGACCTGGACCCGGGAACAATGAGGTACGACGGCAGAGCTGCTGCTTTGGAAGTTCCGAACCTTGAGTCCAAAATCGCGCACGTACCTGATACACCCGAAAACGCCCACCTTACAGCCCGAAGTTCTCCGACCAGGGAATTGCAAACAATCCTATATTCCCCAAGATCCTAAACCTTAGATCCCCTGAACCCTAAACCCCAAGATCCTAAACCCTAAATCCTAAAGACCCTAAAGCTGAAATCCTAAAGACCCTGATCCCCAAGATCCTAAACCCTAAATCCCAGAGACCCCAAACCTTAAACCCGAAACCCTTAAATAAGGGTACTACTGGGCATCCTAGCTAAAGTAGCTAAGGACCTAAGGATCCTATACCCTAAATCCTAAAGACCCTATTATAACCCGTAAAACCTAAATCCTGGAGACCCTATTATAGCCCTGAAACCCTAAATCCTACAGACCCTCTATGTTCCCCAAGATCCTAAACCTTAGATCCTAAACCCTAAAGTAGCTAAAGGCCCTAAAGCTTAAAGTAAAAGCCAGAAAGTTGAAATATGATTATCCTAAACCCTTTATAAAGTATCCTACCCTGAAACCATATTCCAACTTTCTGGAGTTCCCTTTAAACCCACCACGGTTCTCGCATTGGCACTCGCACGTCCGCGCATGCCAGGACTGAGCAGAAGGGATTCGCGATGGCGGTCCGGCCAGGCTTGGCCTGCGCACTTTCCCAGAGCCCCGGGAGGATCTATAGGGCTCCTTTAAAGGAATCTATAGGGTTCCTTTAAGGGCCAGGCTTGGCCTGTGCACTTTGGGGTTAGGGTTTAGGGCTTTAGGGTCTTGGGGCTTAGGGTTTAGGGTTTGATTTTACCCCGGGATGATCCCGAAAGTAGATCCCCCAATTTTTTGGGCCCTATACTACTAAGGGTACTTGATGGGAATCCCCATTAAGGGATCTGGTTTTGGGATCCTCCCGGGGGTCTGGCTTGGAGTTTTATTTAAGTATTGTCTACCCAAAGGCCCCAAAGTAGTTCCTTTTCGGGGCGCGTATATAGAATCCCATAAGGTAATCCCAAAAAGGAGCTACTATGGGGCCTTTCTCTAGTTCATGGTTGGGGTAGTATTGAAAAATGAGTTCGTAATCTCAGTTCGGTTTAAGTACCCATAAAGATGTAAAGTGTTACCTCGCAATGACAAACTTGCAGCACAATCGCTCACAATAAAAGCGAAGGTAATGATGGGAATCGAAAATAAGATTACTAAGAACTTTCAATAGTGCTTCTTGTAAAAGGGCCTTGAAAGGAATCAAAAAGGTCTCCTACAGGGTGTCAAGGGGTATAACGGCCTTAACACAGATTGGGATCCTTTTGGGGCTCTTTGAAGGTTTCTTGAGTGTTTGGATGGGGGTGAAACTAGGGGCCTTCATAGTTAGGCTAGGGTTTTGGGGTGTATTCTCGTAAAAGTATGCTACAACTTCCTCAACACACTGAGCCAAGACTCCAAAGCCCGTCTTAAGCAGAATATATGGCATAGGTTGGGTACGGCCCCCATACAGTAACAGTCCAGAATAGTGCTACTATAGACGTCCTCATAAAACCATATTACGAAGATTATCCAACTGTTACTGAGTGGGGGCAGTACCCAAAAGCATAGGTTTTGGGAGCCGGGTCGAAGGCTTTTCGGGCTCACGGTTACAGAGAGGCTCAACCTCCCGAAAGCTACTTCCCGTCTTCCGGGATCACACCGGGTTCCCAGAGAACCCAATACCACCCCCGTAATTAAGGAATATACTTAAATCATATTAGGGATCCTACTATAATTTAAGGTATACGTTGACGTTAATTAAGGGGTATTGGGATCTGGGTTTAGGATTGTAGGGTCAAAGGAAGACTTGAACGAACGCCATGCAGGTGTATAAAGGAGACACTAGACATGTACATACCGCGCGAATACATCTTACCTGATAAGACAAGGCCTTTATACAAATTCCGGCAATAGAGGCCCCAGTACCAAGCCTAATTTATAAGCCGGTATGCAACCGTGCATAACATCCCTCAGCAATAGAATGGGTCCTACAACCATAAACCCTACTCCTTAAAGCCCCAAACCCTAAACTCTAATCCCCCAAAACCAAAAGCCTAAACTCTACTCCCCCAAAACCCTAAACTCCAATCCTCAAAACCTTTAGGGAGACCGCCACACTTCCTGAATCCCAACCTGGGTGTTTTCCGACACTCCGGCCTGATGTCCATCATGGCGGCTGAGGGTTAAGTAGGGTTAATGTTTCATGGCTTATTCAGACTTCTTTAAGAGTTTTAGGGAGTATAGCAGGGATTTAAGGATTAAGGTCTTAGGGGTTTGTGGGTTTTGGGGCTTCAAGGGTTTAGGGAGCTTCGCCTAAGCTTTAAGGGTTTCGAGGGCCAAGGGCTTGACGGTTTTAGGCTTCTGAGGCTTTCGAACATTTAGGGTTGGGCGGTTCTCGGATTCGGTGGTTTAGGGTTTGGGGCTCACCGGGATTAGCGGTTTAGGGAGTGCGGGTTTTGAGAGGTCGTATGGTTTTTAAGGAGTCTACAGGTGTAGGAGTTATGGGTTTAGGGTTGGAAGGTGCAAAGTTGAAGGGTTTAGAGTCTAGGGTTATAATTTTAAGGGTCCAGCGGCTTGGGGTTTAAGGGCTCAGGGTTTGAGATATCGAGGGCTTCGATGCTTTGAAAAATGCTGGATTTGGGTATGCCTTCCAGAGTGGCCTCTTGAAAAAACAAAGATCAACCCAAATAATTGGTCATAGAAGAAATCAAGGCCCAAACCCTACGAACCCCTGAGCCCTGCACCCTAAACCTAAACCCTGCACCCCATGCGGACCGGGTGTACATGTGCTTTCTCGGGGCTGGGCTAGGAACTCGGCAGCTAGGGGGTGCTCATAGCAAAAGATGCTCATGTACACCCACAACCAAGAATCAACCAAGCCCGAACCTTCTACACTCGTCATCGCGTCGTACGGTGATCCTCCGAACTGCTTAATGGCTCACTGCCCAGGCTCAGGTGCCACCACTGTCACAATCGGGGTTTGGGGTTTAGGGGTTTAGGGTTTAAGGTTTAGGAACCGAAATACAACACTGAAAGAATTGATCCCCTCATTGGCAGCCGTGCTAAGATCGGTCATAGTGTCAGCAATGCATTACACTTCTAACAAACTGTGCGTCACAAGCATTAGTCAAACAAACGAGCGGCCATCTGTAGCACAGACAAGTCCAAATTCACCAAAGCCGGCAACAACCCAAATACTCATCTACCTCCACGTCGCACAACTTACACCCAACACGTTAGATCTACACTTGCTCAAGGACACTCGATGGTTTCTTAGCATATCTACACATACTGAAGCCTACCGAAACCCAAATTCCGGGCCTGAATGGACGCCTCAATATGGGTGGTTGTCAGTCCTTATTCTAATACGGCACCTATTTTTTAGGTTACCCGAAAAGGGACCCTAATTTTGACAACTACTCATATATAAACTTAAACTCCTGCCAAGCAGGCGCAACCCAAGAACCCGCACTTCCGAAGCTGGCCGAGCGTCGACATAGCGCGCGTTGCCAAGTCTCAGTGTTTCGATGGCCTCCTGATAGCTTAGATTTTGACGTTCTGGGCATGCAAGTGATGCATGCATGTAGCCATGTAGGCCTGCAAGGATGCAACCTGACGCGCGTATGCGCACGCATGCAGTAGAATCTTGGGTGTGGTATGTATCGTAAATGGGATGTGCGCTATCAGACAGGTGGCTACTTATGTTCATGCTGCAGTCGTTTACACTCGATATGAAACTGTGCACGGTCTTGCTTGAAATAAAGCTGCCATGGCCACAGCCGCCACATCAGCACTGTAAAATTGGGCAACCTCACCATCACCGTCATCGTCGCCATCATGATCATCATCGTCATGACAGTAACAACCAGATAAACAGTGTCCTCCGTGTCGTTGTCGTTGCCCAGATGCTCGCGCCACTGCTGAAATGTACAACTGTATAACGTCAACGAATCAGGTGTTGTACCAACTGCCCTTGCTGCTTCGTCCGAAACCCAACGCCCGGTGAAGGTCAAAAGCCACAGGCAACCCCCAACTTTAAAATCAGCTCCACATTGCCGAGGTCCATCCCAGACACTAAATTGTAGTACTTTCGGTTGGACAACCTGTTCGAGGCTTAGCGTCCGAAACGCATGCAAAGTAGGGCAACCCAACCAAAGGTAAGTCCTGACAAAGCCCGCTTGACGCGGTCCTTATGAAAGTCGTATACTGGGATTTGAAGCAACCTGGGTGACCTATTTCAAAACGTCCTTTCAGGAACATGCAGGTCTATAGTGCTCCAGAGCCCAGATTTCCAAAAACCCTAAACCCCCAAATCCCGTTAGAATACCAAAACACCCTGCCAAAACACGGCTGCCCCAATCTTAAACTGCCATAACATGTTTTGTTCGTAGGCTGTTCTTACAAGCCCTATGAACATGGAATATATAGCGACCCTACGAACAGGTTGATTCTTGCCTGGGTTAAGGAAAACCCTCATACCCTAATCCCCGAAACCCTAAACCCTAATTTCCTGGACCCCTAAACCCTAATACCCTCATGCCCCAACCCCCCAAACCCTAGTACTCTAGTCCCCGGAACCCTGATCCCTAAACCCTAAAACCCTATAATGTAGGGGCCTCAATAATTAGAATAGGGTTTTCCACTCCTCGGTAGCATGCGTATATTAAGGAACCCTTTAAAAGTTGTAGTATTGGTAATTGTTTAGACTTCTGTAGAAGCCCCTAAACCCTTGGAGACCCTTGAAAATCCTATAAACCCTAAATCCTTACATAGATCCCTAAAAACCCCTATAAACCCTAAAGCCCTGGTGGGTCGCCGTCCTTTGGCGCAGGGACTTCGCAGTTCTTGGGCAGGGGCATGCAGCAGGACGCCTGGAGGGTTTGGGGGCTGCTTGGGCGTTTTCGGGTTTAGGGTCTTTGGGGAGTTTAGGCTAGAATGATTCAATGATATAGCCTTTTTATTGGGTTCGGTGTTTTTTACATGGGGTTTAGGGCTCCTGGTGTTCTTAGGAGTTTCGAGGTTTAGGGCTAGGTCCTTCGATTGGCTGTTCTTAAGGCTTCTCGAGGGTTTGTATGAGTTCTTTAACGGATCGTGCGCTGCAAATTACTAAGGCTCGACGAGGCTAGTAACAAGGCGTTTTGCAGCGTTGCCGGTTCTTGAGGATCGGTTATAGCTTAGGATTTAGGTTTCGGGGTTGAAATTTTAGGTTTGCCGCGTTTCGGGGGCAAGCCGGCGATCAAAGCTTAGTATTAGCTTGGTAGGGAGTGGCGTCGGTGGCTCGTTGGAAAATGGCACCCCGAGACCATCCACGGACTTCCAATGTGCTTCGGTTTCAACACGCGAGTACTTCAAGTCCAAGATCATGACGTCGACATATTCACTTGACACAGTGGGCTTTCGAAATCAAACATGTGATTTTTGGTGCCGGGAAATGCAAACTCATATGTTAACCGTTGTCACTGTTGTCGCGCTGTGCGATGGTTGCCTCTCTCTCCCTCTCTTTCTATCTCCAGACTCCAGACCTTAAATCCTTTGCATACCAGACTGTCTGTGCCACCGAATGCCATGCCCGAAGCACAGAAGATGCTTGCAGCCACTTCAGGTCAGTGGAAGGTGTGAAGGCTTGCCAAACTCAGCACGACACGTGCTACGATGACGACCACGACGGTTATTGCTGGCACGTGGGCTTCTGTTGCTGCTGCTGCTGGTGCTGCTACGACGACTGCGACGGCGGCGATGGGGACGAGGACGACGTGGACTACCTACGGTTGTGGCGCCGCTGCTGCTAACTGCCGCTAGTACTTGAGCAAGGGTGACAAGCCTTGAGGCCGAAACAGGAACACCCCGGGCCAAAAAAATGCACTAACGCGTTTAGGGTTTAGGGTTCAGGGTTTAGGGCTTATAAGGTTTAGGACTGTATTTCATGTAGCTTCCCTGAGCCCTACCCCAAGGCCCCAAAGTAGTTCCTGTTTGGGGTTCATACTTAGAGTTCTATAAGGTGATCCCAAAAAGGAACTACTATGGGGCCTGTGGGTAGACCCTTAAAGAAGCCCTAAAAGGGAGCCTAAACCCCATAGATCCCTTTCATTAAAGGAACCCTATAAGCCCCTATAGATCCCCCAAGGGTAGAAACTAAAACATTTTTGCGCCTTCCCCTTCTCCGTCGGCCAAGGCGGAACTGGCCTTGGAGAGCCCCGAATGGGGGGTTTAGGGTTTAGGGGTTTAGGGGTTTATGGGTTTAGGGTTTCGGGTTTAGGATTTGGGGGTTTAGGGTTTAGGGGTTTAGGGTTTATGGGTTTAGGGTTTAGGATTTGGGGGTTTAGGGTTTAGGGGTTTAGGGTTTATGGGTTTAGGGTTTAGGGTTTAGGATTTGGGGGTTTAGGGTTTAGGGGTTTAGGGTTTATGGGTTTATGGTTTAGGATTTGGGGGTTTAGGGTTTAGGGGTTTAGGGCTTGGGGTTTATGATTTCGGGACGTTTAGGGTTTTAGGATGCCCTCCAGTGGTCAGGGATATTTCGCTGTGCTCTCGGTTTAGTGACCTGAGGGTCCATGCACCTACAATTACAGCAAATATTCACCCTAAAGTACCTATATAGAGACTACTTCAAGGACAAAAGCATATACTGCATGAGTACACGGAGGTCTAGGTGCGAGGCTGCGCGAAACTCTGACTCGATACCTGAGGTTGCAGACTGAAAGCTGGCGACTTGAATTTTACCATTGTTACATTCCACATTAATGATTAAGTTGATAGCAAGGACAAAAAGTCTGCTATGGAATATTGTACGGTTCAGAGCACCAGGCTGGCCGAAACTCAATGAATGGTTGCCCCGAGACAGGCTCCCAAGCCCATGAAGCCAAAGCGCCGGTAAAGCCCTCATCACATGAAACGCGGTTTAGGGGTTTAGGGTTTATGCACCACGCATCCGAAAGTCCTGAGAATACCTCGAAGTGCTGTAACCACACCTTTCCCCCAAGTCCAGTCCAGTCTCCATGTCATAAGCCCATGTAGGCCTCAGCACCTCAGCCGAAACCTCCAAAAGCCTAACAACCCAAGAAACCCTAAGCGGCGAACTTCTCAACCCTACACCCTACTTGGAGGGTCGGGGGACTTAGTAATTGGTTACTTTAGGGACTTATAAGTACCATAACCCCAATTAGGGTCCCTTTTAGGGTACTTATAAGTCTACTTACTAACTACTTGCTAAGTGCCCCGACCGCCCAAGTAAAACCGTATCCTATAAGTGGTGAAGCCCTAAGCTTTCAGCTACTACAAAAACTAAACCGGAAGCCCTCACCACTAGCCCCTACATGCCCTAAGCCCCTGCACCCAGACAAAAAATGACTAAGCCTAAGCCCAAAACTCCTAAAATCTAAACCCGAAGCCCCCAAGCCTAACCCCTAAATGCCCTAAACCCAGACACAGGATTCCTTCTAAATCCTACCTTAACACTGAACAACCTACCTTTTAGGATTAGTATGATTTCCTAATATAAGTCCTGAAAAATGTAGGTTCTTCCGGGTTAAGGTAACCCCTAAGCCCTAAACACTGACCCTAAACCGTGACACCGAATGACTAGGATGCCCAGACACCCAGGAATAAAAAGGGCTCCCTTCTCGGTATTGGGTACCTAAATAAGCAACCTAGGGCTACAAAAACGGAATAAGGGTACTACTGGGCCTCCTAGCATATTAAGGCCCTTATACTAAACCCCCATAATAGCCCTTATAGTAATCCTTATGGGCCCCTTTAAACGGAACCCTAAGATGATGAGCCCATGGCGTGCTCGACTCGAGGAGTTCCTCCTGCATTGGATGGGTCCCAAGAAACTCCACCTGGCACTTGCGAAGGCTCAGAGGGTTCAGAGTTTAGGGTCAGGGGTTTAGGGTTTCGGGTTAAGGGTTTAGAGGTTCAGTTTTGTTTTGTTTTGCGGCGTGGCTTGTGTCCAAAGACGCACTCCTGAATTCTAAAGGCTTCAGAGGGTTCTACTGTAAGGCTTCAACCTTAACACTCCTATCAGCGCTAACCTCCGAATTCTTAGTAGGCTTTTGACGCATACTATATACACTATAGGACTATGGGGAACTACCAGGGATGCTAATACTACCTATATACCCGCACTGAACAAACAATGCTGCTTCTCTGCTTTAAACCATCATTCCCCACCTTTCCGCCCACGTCTTCCCTTTATTCCTTCCGGGTCCCTAGACCCCAATATGGGGGGCCTTAATAATTTCAATAGGGTTTTGGGGCACGCTATACTAAAATTAGAAGAAGGAGCCCCAAAATAGTAGAGGAAAATTATTTAGGCCCCTATACTAAGCTCCTAAACCCGAAACCCTAAACCGACTGCTCCAGGGCGGAGACGTCCACCCTTGTGGAGCTGCAAAGGCTGGAAGCAGTGTCTGAAGAACTTACCTTCATGAAAAAATGGTAGTACTGGGTTCCTTTAAAGGGATCCTTTAAGGGATCGAGAGGTTTTAGGGTTTAGGGGTTTAGGGTTTACCTTTGGTTAGTGAGGAATGGAAGACTGGTAGTAATAGTAGTTATAATTGTACCCCCTTCCTCCATTCCCCACTAACCAAAGGTAAGAGAAGCCGCCCACCCTCCAGGGCCCAGAACGATGAACTCGGGGGGTGAAGCAACGCAAGAGGTGCATGGCCATCCTTGGCATCCGTGCGCACGTCAACGGCTCTTGCGGCCAGCGCCAGCATGACGGGCCCAAGTGGAAGCGCAAATCCGCGCTTGGGTGTGCTGCTGCTTTCCGGAGTTGCCCTTGACACGACGGTTTCAAGCAAGGGACTGACAGGTTGTGTCGATCTGGAGGGTGTATCTTCCAGGGTTTAGGGTTTAAGGGTTTAGGATGTAGGGGTTTAGAGATTCAGAAGGTCACTGGCACGAACAGCATAATTAGACCCTAGACAGCATCTCTATGAAGACAAGCTAATCAGGAGCCAAGACTTACCTTCCAAAAAACCCATGTAAACCAAAACACCCTTGCAAGACAACAACACTTCATACAACACCATGCAAAACCCTAAACCCTAAACACTAACCCCTAAACCCTAAACCCTAAACCCAACCTTACTCAACAAAAAGATCCAATATACACTTTAAGAAAGACCCGCAAGTCACTACGGTTGATGGTATAAATCCTGCATGACCCATAGTAAGGAATATACCATAATTCCCATAGTCTAGGGCCATTAAGGTCATGCAGGATTTATACCATCAACCGTAGGACTCTGGGCTTCTTCTAAATTGTCTAAACTTGCAAAGCGAAAACCAGCACAATTCTCCAGGGTTTTTCGGAGAGCGCCGAAACTTCGCCTTCCTAAACCCTAAACCCCTACACCCTAAACCCCTAAACCCTAAACCCCTAAACCCCAAACCCTAAACCCCTAAACCCCAAACCCCCTAAGCATATCGTGACTCGAATCCTGGCCTTGCCGGAGGCTTCGTCGAAAATGGCAGCCTTCTATCGTTGTTGGTGTTGGGGCTTAGGGTATAGGGTTTAGGGTAATTATAAGGTTTAGGGCTTTAGGGTTTTAGGGTTTAGGGTTTTCTATAGGGTCTATAGGGTTTTTGGATGCTACTCTGCGAAGGACACGCCTGGGAAGTTTAGGGTATCGGATCTAGCGTGTAGGATTCCCGGATTTGGATGTTGCTGGTGTTTGGTTGGATTTAATGAGTCAATGACCGGAAGCATTGCAACTACTCGGTGATGTGGCAATACGACAGACACATACAGTTGTAAAAGACTGTATGCAAACAAAGTATGATATAAGTGTAGGAGCATCTGTTGTGCGAACAAAGTTGGCAGGGCGACAACCTGTGCAAACATGTGTGTATAATATGTATATATATATATATAAGTTTATATGTATATGTGTGTGTGTGTGTTTATGCCTGTATACATGTGCTATGCAGAGAGACGGACAAACAGACATGCACTGCACTGCATTGCATTAACTACATTGCATCACGTTACAGTGGCATTGAATTGTATTACATTGCGCTCCTTCACATCACTCTGCATTAAGTTGCAGTGCACTATACTACAACAGAAGGCAACACAACCCAGCACATCACCGCACGACACACCAGCACGACTGCACAACACGACACAACACAACACTTTTAAAACAACACAACACAACACAACACCACGCAACACAAGACAACACGAGACAAAACAAAACAAGATACGATAAGATCGCATAATATTAACAAATACACAAATATTCATGCCCTAGCATCGAGACACTCAACTCTAGCGACTCTAGCGGAGCCTTGCCTTAAATCCACATGGTCTTATGTCTAGTGTGTGTTTGTTTGAAGCAGTTTTAAGTGTAGCAACTCGGTGTATAACAGTATAACAGTGACGATAAGATCAATGACAACAGTCGCAAAACAGACGCTCACACTGACGGTTTTGGGTTTTTTAGCTTCGTAAGAATAACAAATCTCATTCGTAATAATAACAAGATAAGCTCACACGGCTGGGGCCTGTAGCTCGACTTGGCCGCTGCGAACGTTCCTTGGACCGTGCTGCTTTCGGCCACACAAACAGAGCTCGGGGATTGGGGTTTAGGGTTTGAGGAGTTTAGAGAGTTTAGGGTTTAGAGAATTTAGGGATTAGGGTTGTTTAGGGATTAGGGTCTAGAGAGTTGAGGGTTTAGGGTTTAGGGGTTAGGGTCTAGGGTTTAGGGTTTAGAGTTTAGGGATGAGGGTTTACAGTTTAGGGATAAGGGTCCAGACGGTTGAGGGTTTAGGGTTTAGGAGTTTTGGGGTTTAGGCTCAAGGCTTGGGGTAGGTGAGCCAGGTTGGCCCTTGAGCCTTAGAAGCCTCTGACAAACTTCGTGCGTAGGATCCCCTTACACTCGGCGAAGCCCTAAACCCCAAACCCTTTCGGCCTGAATCTTGTATTCCTGGGCATCTCCTCAAGGGGTCTGGAATTTACGGAGGGAAGCTTTGGGGCTGCTCCAGAAACTCAACTTTAGGTGTTCCTGGTCTAGGGCATTTTGCATGTACTCAGATCGCGAGGGTTTTGCTTAGATAGTCTCTTCAACTATACCCTAAACCCTGAACATTATGGAACTTCGTGGCAGTTGCAGACCGCCTTTACGATTGAGGACCCGGGATCTGTAAACTATGCAACCCTAATGGGAACCAAATTCAGTGCCTAAAGAAGGTTTCGGGATATGCTGTAGTATAGTTATTAAGGGCGTCTAAGGCTTAAGGATATGTTGCAGTATCCATATATAAGGAGTCTGCGGTTTGGAGATTTCTTGTAGTAGAGTCGTTACACAAGGCGTCTAAGGGGATACGATTCGCATTACATGAACACATCTGAGTCTGATTTTTGTCCAGCGGATTTGGGAAGTCCTGGCATGCCACGTTCCGGCTTCCTGCTGCTTGAATGAGGAGCCAATGTTTTTTGCGTTCTTCAGCTCTTGCTTCCGGTTGATGATATAAATCCTGCATTACCCATAATAAGGAATATATGGGAATTATGGTATATTCCTCATTATGGGTCATGCAGGATTCAAATCATCAACAGTTCCCTGATGCTTGAACCGACAGTATGGATCTTCAGCTGCCTGAAGCGAAAACGCACCTCTCGTGCCTCCTGCATGAAAGATCGCTGTTTGATCTGCTCCAGCTGGTGCTACGCCAAGATTGGCGTTTATCACCGGCTTTACCTTCCGCGCCCTTATTTCCTGCCTGGTTTTGTTCTTTGCGATCAGTCCGGGCTTGGAGGCGGGTATGTAACCCTATGTCTAAAATTGCGTAACTACACACTAGAAAGCTGGACATGATTCGCTCCGAATGCCGTTCGGGTGGGTGGAGCCTTCTCAATTGAAGCCCAAACTCCTATGCGAATGTGACCCTCATGTTTTAGATTCATTGATCCCAAACCCTAAACCCCAAACCCCAAAACCCTTTACCCTGCACCCCAAACCCTGAATCCTAAACCTGAAACCCTAAACCCTATATGATTATATGACCCTATAAGCCCCTATATAACCCTATATAACTCTATATTACCCTAACCCTATAAAGCCCTTACAAACCCCTAACACTTAAACCTGAAACCCTAAACCCTGACCCCAAACGCAAGCCTGAGACAAGTCACTGCCGAATCGTCTCGCTGAATCTCAAGAGGAGCTCAAGCGTCTGAAACACGTTGACCTGGTAGGAGGTAGGGTTTACCCAGTGGGACTCTAAATATGAACTCCAAAAAGGAACTACTTTGGGGCCTTGGGGTAGGGTTCAGGGAAGCTACATGAAATAGAGTCCTAAACCTTATAAACCCTAAACCCTGAACCCTAAACCCCATTGGGTCCTTAGCGTTTAGGGATGGTATTGAACTCTCTGGTGTTTGAAGAGTCGCCTTCCCACTGTTGGTGTCGAAAGTGGTTTATACGTTACCTGGAACCTAAGAAACCTACCTTTTTAAGGCTCCTTAATATTATTTCCGTATGTAAGTCCTTAAAAGGGTAGAATATTTGGGATTTAGGTAAGACTTACTCGTTGAATCCGAGACCTGACACACGAAACCTTCAGCATTCGCAAGCCTTAAACATGAAAGCCACAAGCCTCAACCCCACACCCTAAACCCGAAACCCTAATATAGGGGCCTTGGAAATTAGAATAGGGTTTTGGGGATGTTTTGGGGTTGACCAGTCTACACTTATAACAAGGAACCCCCAAAAGAGTATAAGGTAATGATTTAAGCCCCTCTCTTAACCGAAACTGCAAATGTGATCAAGGTCTGCTCAGGCGACGGGAACACCGCGTGCCATGCACCTTCTCGCGAATCCTTCGCGTCCCTGAATATAGGGGCCTTAATAATTAGAATAGGGTTTTGGGGGCAATTATACTAGAGCTATAATCAGGAACCCCCCAAATAGTACAGGTATTTACTTAGGCCGTAAATGCTTCTAACTTGGAAGGCTTTTGTTCGGGGTTTGCCGGACAACAGACCTTCAGATGGGCGATACCGACACTGAAGGTCGCCCGGAAACCCAAGATAACATTGCATAGACGCTCAAATCCTGCTACCTCTCTGGGGCAACCGATGCTCTGCCTACGATCCCCGGAACCCGACACCCGGCCATGAGAAGATGAGATAACCAGAGAAAGGAACTCCAATCCAGGATCCAGGTTGATAAGTAGTGGACGAACAACCCGATCGATTGGGTTATATAGGGTGACAGCAGTGATGCTACTAGGCTTAGGGTTTAGAATGTTGGGGGTTCAGGGGCTGCAGATGGCTGCAGGCCTTCGCGCGACCAGGGGTGCACTTCAAGTGGTTCAAGGCTGGCTTCCAGGTCTGCTTGTCACTGACTGACGCACCACAGTACGATCTTTGTCCCGCTGGTATTACATCGCACAGATTATGGCGTGCAGGAACTTATAAGAAACATGCTGGTGGTGCACCTGAGGGCCCTGCCTGCGTCCTAAATCGCGCCCTACGGCTCTTTAACCCGGCCCTTGCAGCGGGATCCCAAACCCCTGCCCCTGAGCCCAACTGTTCCCTTCTTGCCACCGGAAATGAAACCTTAAACTACAAATCTCGGACAGCCTCAGACCCTAAACCTTCATTAAACCTATACCCCTGTAACAACCTTCACCATGCAGCCTAAACCCCAACTCCCACTTCGTAAAGGACCGGCTTGTTCCGCTGCCTCAACGGCCCGTTCCGATAGTTTGACGATGTCGTCGGCGGAGCGCCGATCTCCCTTGGGACACTCTCGAGTTCGTTTTTGTTTTTGGTTGGGGAGTGGGGGATGGCAGGGGGGCGGATAGAAGGTAGGCTGTCAGGGGTATGCTCCATAAGGGTACAAGTGCCCATGTACGGTAATGTGCACCCCTCATGTATCTATGTAAGAATGTCTTCAAAGCCAATGCTTCGAGGATATAGTTGCATTGAAACTTGGGGTTATGGGTAACAGCTGTTCGAGAGAGGCTGCAAGGGTGCAGGGGTCCTAGGTATTCGATACTAGAGGGAATTCTTCGCCTTTGCATCCTAAGATCTGCATCGTTGGGCAGCCAGCGACACTAGTAGAAGACTTAGTCCTTAGGGCGCCCCTGGCACGTTGCTGCTCTGCTCCAATGTAGCAACAAGCGAATCGATTTCGCTCGCTGCTTGTCATGTGAATGAACTGTCGCATGTCCTGGTTTATGCCTCAAACCACACGAGTTGCATGACTGATAGAACATGGAGAGTTCAAGCAAAACGGAGTGCACGCTGATGCCAACATGTACTGAGAATGTACTGTGACGGTGATGACGACGCGGGCGATAAATTAACATGACAACAACGATTCCTAATGACAATTCAGGGCGCATATGACCTTGCGAAGATGAACACTGGTGACACGGTGATGACGATGACGGTTGGCTCTGTCGACCAGTCACTTGCCCCGGCGTCCGTGAGCAGTCTCTGGTTCTACAAATTAATGCAAGGAAACTTCAACTCACAAATGGTCCAACTTGTGCCGATCGAGGAGTTGTCGTGCCATCAAAGGTTGCAGCATACCGCATGTGATTGACCGGTGGTCTCGAAAAAACGTCTGAATCCCGCCAGTACATTGGGGGAAAGCATTTTGGTCATGCCCCGGAATGCTACCTTCTTATTCTTCTGCGACTACCAGGAATACGACGACGAGGACCACGAGGACGACGACTACTAGTACCGTGACGGCTCCTATAGACAACTCCTACTGCTACTGCTCTGCTGCTGCTGGTGCTGCTGCTGCTGCAAGTGCTACTGCTACGGCTACTGAACTGCTGCACTGCTACTGCTACTGGCTACTGCTACTGGCTACTTGCTACTGCTACTGCTGCTGAACCTCCGCTGCTGCTGCTGCTGCTGCTGCTGCTGCTGCTGCTGCTGCGGCTGCGGCTGCGGCTGCGGCTGCGGCTGCTGCTGCTGCTGCTGCTGCTGCCGCTGCCACCGCCACTGCAACTGCCGCTGCGCCCGCGACCGCGATTGCCGCTGCTACTGCTGCTATCTGCTGCTGCCACTGCTACTAACTACGATTGCTATCGCTATTGCAACTCCAATGTTCTTGTTCAGACTAACGCTACTTGGTAGTAGTAAATATCCCGATGACGACGACGACGGCACATCCACCGCTGCTACTGCTACTGCAGCTACAACACAGTTGGGCATAGCTGAGCTGGGGTTGATGCATTCTGCACTTGTTATTTGTGCTGGATGAACCTGCAACACCCTTGCCTGCGGTTTGCCCGGATGTTGAATATACTATATCCGACTACTATACCCCCCTTAGAACCATCAGAAAACTAATATCTGTAATACTTTCTTGGGTTTTATATGAACAAAAATGAAGGTAACTCCTAAGGAGACTATAGACTAGTATCCTTCCTGCCCCGTGCCTCAGCCTCTAATACAAGGGTTAGGCTGCAGAGTTTCGTTTCGCTCGGAGCTGTTTTGAGCTTGTGGTCTTGAACCCCAAACGGCAGAATCTTGACTAAATCCCGTCAACACCTGGAAGCCCTTCACCAATTTCCTCATCATGATGTCTCCGAAAAAGCTGGCTAGAATCAAGTATGACAAGTTCTAGGTGGGTACCTGACCCCGGGCCTAAATCGGAAAGCCTCAATCCTGAACTCTCTACGAGACTATAACGGGCTTCTTTCTGTCTTCCAGCTTCGTGGCCGGTGAGTCCATCTTTGCTGCTGGGGGCTCAGTGGCTCGGGGCCCCCAATGCCCTGAAGCCGAAAACCTTACAGAACCCTTAGGGTTTACCTATAGTCTCCATTGTAGTTTTTTTTTTTGGTTAACCAAAATCTCTATTATAGGGTCCTAACCATACAATTGGATAACCAAAAAAAGGAACTACAATCGAGACTCTAGGTAGGTCGAAGTTGAACCCCACTGCCTTGCCCTATACCCCGAGCCCAGAATTAGCCACGAGCGGCAGCTGAGCTCCCTTGATGCCCCGGGAAAACTACGATCCCGAAAGGGTCCTACAGGGGCTTCAAAGGCATTGGGTGCAGTTGCGCAAGCTTTAGAGCGTCTGGTTTGGGGCTTTCGCGATTACAGTTTGGGCTGCAGGGCTGTTATGGTGCATATGCTTCAAATGTCAGTCCCCAGAATCCCTTCATCCCAGATCCCTCCTCCCTCATGCGTATTGCTTGTAGGCTTTAGTGTTTAAGGCAATGTGGGCGCCTAGATAATTACAAATTCTATTTTGGAGGTTCCTTATTACCAGAATAGTATTATGGGCCCCCAACACCCTACTTGGAGGGTCGGGGGACTTAGTAACTGGTTATTTTAGGGACTTATAAGTACCATAACCCCAATTAGGGTCCCTGTTAGGGTACTTATAAGTCTACTTACTAACTACTTGCTAAGTCCCCCGACCCCCCAAGTATTCTAACTGCTCAGGCCCCTGAATTAGGCTTCAGGGCTCAGGGCCTAAGGTAGGGCTCGGGGCTTGGCTTCAGATCATTATCATAAATCCTCCACCCCTAGCCAGAGATCCCAATACCCCGTAATTCAGGAATATACCTTAAAGTATAGAGTTCTTAACATTATGATTTAAGGTATATTCCTTAATTAAGGGGTATCAGAATCCCCTAAACCCTAAACTTCCCTAAACCCTATCGATCCCTTATATAGAGCCTTTTACAGGAACCCTAACCCTAGGGTATTCCTTTTTTTAAAGTGGTATTGGGATCTCTGGGTAAAGCTGCCCAGTCTCCAGAATTGGCATGCACGGATACCAGGGTCCCGGGCTGAAATCAAGGAGACTGACGACGCCTTCAGGGAAGTAACTCCCCAGAGAACCCAATTAAGGAATATACCTTAGGGTTCTTTGAAGGGATCTATAGGGTTCCTGTAAGGGATCTATAGGGTTTAGGGGATTCTATTATCCCTTCATTAAGGAATATACCTTAAATCATTTTAGGGATCATATATTATAATTTAGTGTATATTCTCTAGTGAAGGGGTATTGGGATCTCTTGGTCCCGACCTCCTACACCGAGGGGCCCTAGGGTTTTGCCTTTGAAACGTGCGGGACTACGATTAAGGAGATACTATGGCGAATAGCTTCGACCGCTATATTATGCCTGGCTTTGTTAAAGTAGATTCGTACTGGGACCTATTGAACGACCAGATTACCATCGCTGCGGCCAATCTGAAGACCCTGTATGTAATGGAGATTGTTAACCTGAGATTAGTGAGCAGATGTCTACAGTACTCATGACCATGCCAGTGGTTTGTCTTCGTCATCACCATACCCGAAGCCTAGACCCTCATCACTCTGCACTTTCCTGCCCTGCACACTAATGCCTGAAACCTCAACCCCAATCAGGCTAACCTCCCCAAACCCCTAAACCATACCCTCAGCCCCTAAACCCTGAACCCTAAACCTTAAACCCTGAACCCTCAGCCCCTAAAGCCTGAACCCCCTCCCGTTGAACCCCCAAAAACCAAACCCCTCGAGACTCAAAGCCTTGAGAATTCATCCCCTAACCCACACCCTGCAGCCTGGTACCCAAAACCCTCAGGGTAATATAGAGTTATAAAGGGCTGTATCGGGATTATAGGGTTATCTAGGGTTTTTTTTTTAAGTGTTATATAGGGTTTAGGGTCCAGGGTTTCGGTTTAGGATGAGGTTTAGGATGCGGAGGTTTCTGACTTGCACGTGTTCTTGCACCAATGGAGGCTACTTCTCCCATTCTGGATATATCAGAAGCATCCGACAGTACCACTCCGGGATCTACAAAGCTTCTGAATCCAATCCAAGCCCGAGACCAATTCCGCAGCTTGGTCGATAACGGAGCTCAAGTCGTGCTGCAGGCCATTCAGGGCACAGTCCTCCAGGAACTGCCGGCTCACAGGCTCAAGGACTGGGGATTCTCTAAGTTACCACAATAGGGATCTTTAATACACAAGATGGTTTCTCTATTATGGTTGCTTAAGTTCTGTCCTTAACAAGAACCCAGGAGTTCGTCCTCAGGCTTCCGGCCGAAACCGTAACAGCAGAAAGGACACTGATGATGGGTTTGTTCTGCCTGTTGCCGCACGTATGTTCACTGTCAGTGTTTGACCCTAAACTGCCCTAAACCCCACCCCAAGGCCCTAAAGTAGTTCCTTTTTGGGGTTCATATATGGAATCCTATAAGGTATTCCCCAAAAGGAACTACTTTGGGGCCTCTGGGTAAATCCTAAAACCATTTGCACGGGTCCGAAGTCGGACCAGTCCCTAAGGGTCCATGTACCGGATACTCACGAACAGTCTCCCTGCTAATTACGGTCCTATACTTACATCCCATGCCCTGAACACCTAATCCTGAAATCCTACAGCCGGCCGCCTCTGGACCGTTGGTTCCTGCAGTGGAACACTAGACCCTAAACTTGAACACTCCTGAAGCGGTAGTTGTCAACCTAGATAATCGATATCGCAGCTCAAACCCTGCTTTCTAACTCCGCCTGATCTACTGGCCTCTGGCCCGAATTACCTATATGGGGAGTATTTTAAGGCCTATGTATATAAATATTTGGTTACATTTATGGTATCCTGAAAGAACCCTGAAGCCCTAAACCTACCCTTACGGGAATCCTTGGAGGAACCTGTTTGGGGGCATGGCCCCTGTAAATTTCAATACTTAGTTAGTTGCTGAGTTCATAAGCCCAAAAGAAGCTAGACCTAAGAGTAACCTAGGAATAAAAAGGGTGCCCTTTTTGGTTTAAAGGGGGTTATAAGGGAACCTAAGCCTCAAAAAAGGGAATAAGGGCCTACTCTGGGTCCTAGGAAGTGTGCACTTTAGTTGTATAGTGGGCACTATTATTCCGAAAAGCGTAAAGCGTGTCCACTCAGAGTATCCGAAAGTCAGGGGAACCTTACTTTGGGGTCCTTATAATAAGGATCCTCATATTTAGGGTACCATATTACGGGTCCCCTAGTTTCGGAAACTCCCCTATAGCCCCTAAACCCTAATTCCTAAACCCTGAACCCCTAAACCCTAAATCCTAGACCCTAAAGCCTAAACCCCAAACCCTAAACCCTGAAGCCAATAAGCAGATGCCAAGTAGCGCCGCAACCCGACTTCTGTTTCGCTGCATGGCTCTTGCAGGCATCTAGCAAAACCTGAGTGGTGCGCAAAGGGGGGCGGGGTGGGGTTTAGGGTTTAGGGTTTCGGGTTTATGGCTTGAGGGTGGTGGGGGGGGGGTGGGGGGTGGGGGGTGGGTTGAAGGCGTTCTATAAGGCCTGTGTTTGGAAGGTCCGTAAGGATTCGAAAGGATTTCAGTAAGGACTTGACTGTTTACGGATGATGGGGAGCGATAAAGTTTCAACTGATTCGGCACAAAAAATCTAAGGGGTTTCGGCATCAGTGATCTGGAGCTGGTTCAGAACCTGCGGTTTACAGTTGGGCATTGTGGGGTGCAGGATTTTCAAGATTCAAGCTGTGCATATTTGAAGACCCAAGATAGTTGAGTTGGTAAGATCTCCTCGAAGAGATATCGCACGATAACTATAGCAAGGAACTCCCCAACCCAATTCTAATTATCAAGGCCCCTACATTAACTCCTAGGCCCAAAACCCAAAACTCCAAGAACCCTAGTCCCAAACCGATAACCCTTCTGCAACCCTTAACGGCACCCTCTATGTTCCCTTGAAAACCACAAAAACTTCTCAGCTTGAGGATTCGAGCTTGCTCGTGCCGGAGATCTCAGTGTGGCTTACCCAAAGGCCCCAAAGTAGTTCCTTTTTGGGGCTCATATATAATCCCATAGGGTACTCCCAAAAAGGAACCACTTTGGGGCCTCTGGGTAGGGCGTAGGGTTTGAGGTTTAGTTCGGAGTTTGGCAGGTTTGGTCTTCAAAGTTGAGGCTTTAGGGTTTAGGAGAAGCCCTAAACTGAAACGCATCATGAACCAAACAGGTGGAGGAAAGCCCTAAACACAAAACTCCCAAACCCTAAACACCAAGTCTGAAAACCCCCTAGCCACAAAGACCTGTAGTACTGTTGCGGTGTTTTGAAGGAACCCTTAAAGTAATGGAACGCGAAAACCCTGGACCTTAAACCAGCTCAGTGGCACCACAATGTCGGTGGCCGAGGACGAGAATGAATCGACAACCAAGCTCCTCCTGCCGGGAAGGTGGATTTAGGTTTCTGGCTTTAGGGTTTAGGCTCACGGGTTAGTCACTCGGAGCAAACTACAGTCAAAACAAGTCAAATCCACTCAAAGGGAGTACGGACGGATAGAACTGAGGTAAGTGCACGTCTAACCACTCAAGACCCCAACCAAGGCAAACCTAGACATCCTTATGCCCTGTGAATGGCCATGCACCTTTCCCAAGGACAAATGTGCCCAAGTGTGCCCAATTATTATATACGGTTGATGATATACATCCTGCATTACCTTAAGGACCCTAAACTCTGGGAATCATGGTATAATCCTTATTAAGGGTAGTGCAGGAATCATATCATCAACCGTATTAGCCCCTAAGATGCCTGTACAGGCACTACTTTAAGGTCAATGTACAAACCCAAAAGGGTCCAAAGTACCTTCATAGTAGAATGTAGGGTTTCTATGTTAGGAAGTACTATTATGATTTAGGGAAGTATCCCCCAATAACAGTACCTAGGACCCTTTGGGAAATTCATGAGCACATGGATTCTTCGGGTGAAACAGGATTCGCCTACACCTAGTAAACATTAGAATGGGCCCCCACCCTGGAAATCGTGGTATAACAGGAATGTAGTAGGGCCCTAATGTAACCCTTATAGTCACTATTACAGGGTGGGGGCCCCTTCTAAAGTAAAGCAGTACTGTCTGGCGTAGGCGACCTCCAGCAATCACGACGTTACTTCGATGTACACAGAAGCGGCGATACACCAACAAACAGATGGGCAGATAGATAGAGACACAGTTAGCCGTCTAAACCCAAACCGCTAGAAATACATAACCCCAATGCACACAACCCAAAAGCTGCGGAACATCTGAGCCAATAAATCTTGAATCGCCACCTCTTCCCTCCTAAGCACGACACCTCCAAATCCTAAGCCCCGTAAGCACAGGCCTGCCGAAAAAAGGCGATTGGACACACTCTGGCAGCCGAGTCGCAGTGCAAAACTCCAAGCTGGCGACCATGCTGCCATTGGCCTCAGGTTTAGGTTTGGGGTCGTCGGCCTTGACGTCTCGACAAGGGTGTCATCAGGATAGTTTTATAGCTTTATCAAGATCTTGGGAGCGTTTTGTGTCTGATAGAGGCTTACCATCTGCGGGACCAGCGGACTTAGGAAGCAGCTTGATGGAGTTCTGACTAGGATAAAACTCCTCAAACCTTAAACCCTTTCACCCCGATTAGGGAATTTAAGCGCTTGAGTCTCAAAGAGGGTCAACGCCAAGGTTTCGGGAGTACGGCCGAGGGTGAAGGATCCAACCAAGGTCCAGGATGTCGGGCTTCGGGAATGTAGTGCATAGATTTCAAATCTACCATGATTATGCTACCTTAGGATCATAGGATCATATATTTTATCATGATCTACGATGTTTATGCTATCTTAGGTCATGGATTTTATCATGTTGCAAGGAGCAAGAGCTTCATATACGTAGACTTCAGTCGAAGCAGAGCTCCCGGAAGACCGGATTGGAGTTTAAGGCTAAGGTGTCAGGGTTTATCGCTTCGTGTGTAGGGTTCATGTTACACAGGCTGGCATTCAAGTGTCTTGACAAGGATCTTTCAGTGCCATGACCTCCGTTTTGATTTACCTTTGGTTAGTAGGGAATGGAAGAATGGTGGTGGTAGTGGTAGTGGTAGTGGTAGTGGTAGTGGTAGTGGTAGTGGTAGTGGTAGTGGTAGTGGTAGTGGTAGTGGTAGTGGTAGTGGTAGTGGTAGTGGTAGTGGTAGTGGTAGTGGTAGTAGTAGTAGTAGTAGTAGTAGTAGTAGTAGTAGTAGTAGTAGTAGTAGTAGTAGTATATAGCTACAATTGTACCCCATTCCTCCATTCCCTACTAAGCAACGGTAAGTTGATCACGTCTGAAATCCAGTGATGCTAGCCTACTTGGAGGGTCGGGGGACTTAGTAACTGGTTATTTTAGGGACTTATAAGTACCATGGCCCCAATTAGGGTCCCTTTTAAGGTACTTATAAGTCTACTTACTACTACTTTTGGCTGATCGACGGTCCTGCTATGCCCCTCTTCGGCTGTCACGAGCACCAAAACAGCAGCTTTGATTTCGTGAGAACTTGAACAGCCTAAGCCCACGTATCAGCTTAGTATAACAAGCATTTTCCACATCATCATGTCACGAATCTTGCCACTGCAATCACCCAGAGGCCCCAAAGTAGTTCCTTTTTGGGATTACCCTATAGGATTCTATATATGAACTCCAAAAAGGAACTACCTTAGGGCCTTTGGGCAATGCCACAATCTTACATCAGAGAAGAAAAGCACAAAGGGACGGCATGACATCTCAGCTGTCTAGGGGCTGTTTTATTCAAGGGCTCTTATAGTAGGGATCCCTTACTATTGAAGGCTCCATATAAAGGTCCCTGCGTATCTGGGAAACTCCTTGTGGGAAGTGCAGTCCTGCAAAGTTTGGTTTCTCCTCCGGGAGCAGTGGAACTGGAGCGGGGAGGTCGTTCTTAAGACTCGGATTGGCATCAAGAGATATTGCAAACAAGAGCTTTGCAACAGAAGGAAAGGCCGCATCTACATTGCAAGGGTCCATGAATCCAAGTCCGAATATGGACTTTCCGAAAATAGGGGACCCTAATATAGTACCCTAAATAGTAGGATCCTTATTATAAGGACCCAAAATAAGGTACCCCTAATTTTCGGAAACTCCCATATGGGTACTTCGGGGACGAAGTACTCAGCTTCCCTGAGCAACTCGGAACTTCGGCCCTGATCCAGGTCAGCAGCAGTCTACCGATTAGAACACCTCCGTGCAGGATAAGTCCGCAAGCTGTAGGAAGACAAGCTGAAGTTGCTAAATGAAGTGTCGTGGGTTCCGCATGTTCGTCTGCCTTCTGACGAGGTAATTATATGCGGCTGCACTAGCTGCACCCCCTCGAACCATCCCGAACCTGCTGTGTGCAAGCCAGGCATCATGAATGCAAGTATTACCGGCATTTTTGAACGCGAAAATGTCGCCTTCGCTGTGTGGTTTGAAGCTGACTACTACTACCACTACTACGACGACGACTACTATTGCTACGGCTATCTTCTTCAGCTGCTGCTGCTACTGCTACCACTGCCACTACTTCGAACATGACGACTACTGCTCCTACTGACGCTAGGACTCCTACTACTCCTCCTGCTCCGACTCCCAAGCTGCTACTTTTACTCCTACCCATGCAACTTCGCCTACTCCTCGTCCTCCTGTTCCTGTTCCTACTACTACTGTTACTGTTACTGTTACTGTTACTCTTACTCTTACTCTTACTCTTACTCTTACTCTTACTCTTACTCTTACTCTTACTCCTACTACTCCTACTACTCCTACTACTCCTACTACTCCTACTACTCCTACTACTCCTACTACTCCTACTACTCCTACTACTCCTACTACTCCTACTACTCCTACTACTCCTACTACTCCTACTACTCCTACACCTACTCCTACTACTACTACTACTACTACTACGACTACTACGACTACTACTACTACTACTACTACTACTACTACTACTACTACTACTACTACTACTACTACTACTACACGGCCAAGGCCTCTGCTTGCCACTGTCACCATCCCCTGTAGCTGCGTAGGGGCCTTGATAATTGCAACAGGGTTTTGGGCCCATTATACTACAATTAAAATCGGGAATTATTCAAGGCCCTGTAGTAGACCCCAAGCCCTTCAAACAAGAAAAGACGGCGGTGAACTCATCCCCAAGTTTCTGTTGGGAGGGCTTACGGTTTGTGTTTTGGGGATTTTAGGGTTTAGGGTTAAGTTTCTGTTGGGGCTCTCACCCCCCTCCCCTCAACCTCTCAAGAAAACACCTCGAAACCCGAAACTCTACCCCTAGACTCTTAACATCCCGCAAACCCCTTCACCCATGTAAGACAAACAGACTTGGGCAAATGAAACAGGCCCTAACCCTAAACCCTGAACCCTAAACCCTATAAACCGTAAACCGCCAAAAGGAATCCTCTGGCAGAAGGCGTGTCCCTCAACGAAGGGAGAGAGCGCACACCAAAGGCAGCAAAACTTAAACTCTAACCCGCAAGCCCTGAAACCCCGTAAACCCTAACACCAAAAAAACTCACCCCCTTCTCAAAACAAGCAAGTGAAACCTAACCCCTAACCAACTTAGCTCAGCGACCTGGCAAGGAGTCGAAAATCGATTCCAAAGGCGCCTGGCAGTCGGAACAACCTCAGAGAGTTTAGGGCTTTAGAGCCTCAAGGTTTTCGTCTTTCTTTGGTGTCCTCTAAAGGTTGCTTTAAGCGTTCTGCAAGGGATCTAAGGGCTTTAGGGTTTAGGGGTTAGGACTTTAGGGTTTAGGGCTTCTAGAGTTTAGGATTTTGAGGCCATTATTAGTGTTTTGAAGTTTAGAACATAAGGTTAGGGCATGGCTTAAGTTTTATGGGGCTTCCTCACCAAGTACAAGAAGGAATATGGTTTAGGGCCTTGCGTGTATACGGCTGGGGACTTCCCCAATTGTTGATTCTACGGTTGATGATATACATCCTGCATTACCCATAAGGACTGGACCATATCTCCCATCTAGGGTCCTTAAGGTAATACAGGATTTGTCTCATCAACCGGTTGAAAATATGAATCCTGCATTACCGTAAGGACCCTAAACTATGGGAATAACGGTATATTCCTTATTCTGGGAAATGCTGGGTTTGTATCATCAACCGTAGGACATGGTGACTCTGAGTTTCCATCTTCAGGAAAAGTGCTGTTTCTTCGTATAGGATATTCAGTCTGCTTCTCTGGAGGGTAAGATAGGCTGCTGCAAAGGCTCTTAGGTCATATAGTTGTCTATGGTAGTATGTGGGAGAACCCCAAAACATGGGACCCCAATACAGTACCCTACTTAGCAGGATGCTAATTCTAGGGACCCAACAATAAGGTACCTTTCATGTTCGGAAACGCCCATATGGTATGGTAGTATATAGGGTTTTGGAATATGTACGAAGTTCGTTGAGGCCGGATTGCGGCGGGGACCCTGATCAGAAGTTGAGGCTGCCGAAACCCAACCCCCTAATCCCCAAACCCCAAATCGGCTGCCGAAACAGGGGGATTTGGCCTTTGCAGGTTTGGCGGGTCAAACAGAGAAGCCTGGACCCCTGGTTCGTTTTAGGGTTTCGGGTTTAGGGGTCAGGAGTTTAGGGTAAGGATTAAAGAGCCGATACATACACCGTGGTTTCTTGGAACTTTTCATCGTTGCGGGGGCGGATTGTTCTCTGAGTCAAGAATGGGTCATGGTGTTGGGTTGGGGAGGAGCCGGGTGCTTCGGGGTGCATACTTGGAGGGTCGGGGGACTTAGTAACTGGCTGTTTTAGGGACTTATAAGTACCATAACCCCAATTACGGTCCCTTTTAGAGTACTTATAAGTCTACTTACTAACTACTTACTAAGTCCCCCGACCCCCCAAGTAATCACTATACTCAGAACTACAGTCCGGTGCGGCGAAGATCAGCCGAAACCAAAGTCCTTAGCGCTAAACCAAGCAGCCCTAAAAACGCACAGACCCTGAAATTCGCGAAAACCAAAATCCCTACAGATCCTAATGCATCGTTTGTGGTGTCCTACAGGACATTCGAAACGTCTGCTTGTAGCAATAGGACGTTAGAGACAGGAGCAGAAAAGGCTTGATCCAGGTTCTAGCCCATAAACCTTCAAGCAAACCCGAATGTGAACTGTCCTTTGCACCCCCTTCTCTTCCAAGAGCTCTAGCAGCCGGCAGTCTACCGCCACGTACATCGTCTCATCATCTTTTAGTGCAGCCTAAACCCTAACCATGTCTAAGTAGAGACAGAGACGAGAAGCCGACGATGGCAGCATGTGGCGACTGGCTGAGATCCACTATCTCCCGCCGGACGACATCGTTTCTTCCTCAGGTACCGAAATGTGGTGGCGAGTCCAAAAGTAATGTCGTGCATATACATAGATATGCATACTACGCCGTTAAAATGAGGACAAGCCATGACATATTAGGGGTTCGGTTTCGAGTCTTGGATGTTCGCATTTCGCAGACGCACTCTCGAAAAAGATTTCGTCAAACCCGCTGCAGGGGCTTGCTTCACAAAATGCATAAAGCCCCGAAGCTCGGAACTCTTCACCCTAAACCCCTAAAACCCTAAGTCGTAAACCCTAAATCCTGAACCCTAAACCCAGAGGTAACCGGCTTATGCAAAAGACGGAGGCTCGCGACGTGCGATGCTTCGGTGCAAGGAAATAGACAGGGCTTCTCAGAAAACGCAGCCTAACATCTAAATCCCACGGCACGTGGGCGGCCTCTAACCCCCTATGTAAATTTCAAATCGTGAGCACATAAATTACGTAAGACATATAAACCTAATGCCCTCAAGATTAAGCCCGACAAGCCTACATCACCAGCGCATCCACTCCAAACTTAAACCATGTAACTTGCAAACATGAATTCCCTTTACCTGACGACGTACAATCAGTGTAAAGCAAACAACGGTGCAAGAACAGCCTAATCACTGCAAGCGGGCTTTTACGAACTCGGACAAGGCTTGGGTTGCATGTCCTAGTATACTTGTATAGAAGCTACAAGAAGATAGCATTGTTGAGAATGTCACACTCCTAAACTAGCCCCCTTATAACACCCTAACCCCTGCATACCCTACTACGACTCAGACAAGGAGGTGCTTTCAAAGCCTTTGAAAATATTAGTAGGTAAGATCCTCTTAAGCCCAATAAGAGCAAACACAAAATGTCCCAAGGCCCTACCTGGAGAACCTACAGTGGCCGAAGCGCGAACTGCCAAAGAAGTTCCCTTCACAAAGCGGTCATTTCCCTCCTGTCGGTCCGGGGAATGCGTATGCTGTGTTTTTCGCTTTGGGTTTTTGGTTTCGGACTTGAAGGTTTGAGCCCAAGGTGGGGGTTAGGATTGGCCGCTTTCCATTCCCGGAACAAGTACTTTGGCGGAGTTAACCGTCTTTTCGAAAGTGGTACTATGCTTTATGCTTCGGTCTGCGAACATTGAACCTCAAAACCCGGGGAACCTCTGAACTCGAAACTCTTGAAAGCACCCGGACTATGTCTGGAAGTTCAAGGTTGCAATTCAAGCATTTGGGTTGCATGATTCGAGTCTGAGAAGCTGCAAAACTCTAAGCCGCCACCCGACACGAAGAGGTGCTCAAACATAGCTTCTGATTATGGAACTGGCAAAGACGTGAGAGAAATCAGGATCTTGCTATTGTTGATGAAAGAAAATGTGCATAACCTCACGAAACTAGCGCATGTGTACACACACATACAACACTATATACACACATATATACATGTACATATACCTATACAATCAAATACATATGTATATACTTCTACATACGCATAGTCAAACACATATTATATGCAGATGCGTATACAGGTACAGACCTACACATCTGCACATATACATATGTACCCATATATATATATATATATATATATGTATGCATATATATATACACACACATACATGTATACCTACCTGTGTATTGTACATGCATGTGTGCATGCCTGTATGTATGTATGTATGTATGTATGTATGTACGCTAATATGCATACATATGTATGCAAGCATACATACCTTGTGTATTGTACATACATGTGTGCATGCCTGTATGTATGTATGTATGTACGCTTATATGCATACATATGTATGCAAGCATACATACCTACATACACATATCCCTACCTTGATATGAAATAACGTAATCCCCAATTGCAGAACGTGACACAACATTGCTAAACGATATAAACGCATAATGTATAGCAAAAGATGAGCGCAGTACAACACAACACAGCACAACACAGTGCACTACAATACACGAACTTTAACAATGTTTACAACATGACACGAGGTAACATAAGAAAACATGACATGACGCATCATAACAAAATACAGTGGACAATGACATAATAAAGCAGATCAGAATACAGCAGTGTATGTAACCGATTATGATGATAGGGCACAATATAGTATATAAGATGTATATGTATACATCAGATAACCATAACGATTGCTGAAATGAAGAGACTCGAGACGTCGACCCTTCAACGGTTCAACTCCACAACTTAAGCTTCTTCAACTCGAATCCCGCGAGGCCAAACCTGATATTCAACTTCGGCCTAAAGGCCGCAAAGTCGTTCCTTTTCGGGATTCTTATTTAGAATTCTACCGAAAGGAACTACTATGGGGCCCATGAGTAAGTCCTAAATCCCAAGACTGGAAATTTCTGAAGCGAGCATGAACGGAATAGCAAACCGCTCCAAACCCTCCTGGAGGAGGCTGAGGACGTCTGCTGGGTGCATCGGCTCCTCAAAAAAATCTATACTTTTGGGATTACACCGAGTTTTGTACTGTAGAACCATCAGAACCGGCTTCATGGCATCCGGGGCTCCAGCTTAAGAATCTCGGGAACTGAGGGGATAAGGGTTTGGGGTTTATGGATTTCTGGCGCTCGCACAAGTAACGAATGACAGGAAGGGTTTTTGGGCAGTCCGGTCGGGGTTCAGGATTTAGGATTTAGGGTTTAGAGTACACATCACCAACACAGGCAGTAAAAAGACAAACGAAGTCTGGGTTGGCCTTTAAACACCTTGAACAATATTTATATATAATAGGGCCCCTTATAAACCCAAATGAGGAAAATAAAAAATATGTCCCAACATCCTAGAAGTTAACGCATCTTCGCCCACCCTTCATGTTCAAATCGCCGCAGCCATGCAAGCCCAAGATCCAAAGAGCTCCGAAGCTCCCTGTGGGTACAAAATTATGGTCCCTTTTTGGGCACCCTAAATATGAGCATGTCGGGTTTAGGGTTTAGGGTTTAGGGGTTTAGAGGTTTAGGGGGGGTTTAGGGGGGAGCGAGTATTTATTTTGTCTATTTTTCTGGTTTTTTTTTGTATATTTTCCTGGTTTTAGTTCTGTTTTCCTTGGTTTTCTGAATCTAGCCTGGTGGCCGTGACCGTTCTCCACCTCTGACTGGAGTTCTTTTTTGTGTATTTTTCTGGTTTTTTTTGTATATTTTCCTGGTTTTAGTTATGCTTTCCTTGGTTTTCGGAATCTAGCCTGGTGGCCGTGACCGTTCTCCACCTCTGACTGGAATTCTTCCTTGCGTATTTTTTCTGGATTTTTGTGGATTTTTCGGTTTCAAAGCTTCCCAAACTTCTTCGCTCGTCTCGCGGCAGCTGCTGGACTGTCAGAAGCTCCTGCCACAATGCTGCAGTGTCTCTCACACTTCTTTTTTGCCCCGCGCGCTTATAGCATCCGCGAAGCTTCTGGATTGAAACTCTAAGACTCTGCGGTTGCGGTCTGGGTGGAGAGACGCCTGCTTGGTTTTTCGTAGGGAAAACACTGTTTTCCTACGGCTTCCGTGTCGTTTCCTTAGGTTTTCAGCAGGAAAACATACGTTACCTTGGTTGTTCCTCGGGAAAATCGGCTTTTCCGTGCATTGTCGCATTTTGTACGGATTTCGTGGTGTTGTTGTTACTGCTGGTGTTGATGATGTTGTTGATGTTGTTGTCGTTGTAGTTGTAGCTGTAGTAGTCGTGGTAGTGGTAGTTGCAGTAGTTGTAGTAGTCGTAGTAGCAGCAGTAATAGTAATAGGAATAGGAATAGGAATAGGAATATGGATAGTAATAGTAATAGTAATAGTAATAGTAATAGTAATAGTCATAGTCATAGTCATAGTCATAGTAATAGTCATAGTAATAGTAATAGTAATAGTAATAGTAATAGTAATAGTAATAGTAATAGTAATAGTAATAGTAATAGTAGTAGTAGTAGTAGTAGTTGTTGTTGTTGTTGTTGCTGTTGTTGTTGTTGTTGTTGATGTTGCTGTTGTTGTGCTTGTTGTTGGTGGTGTTGGTGCTGGTGCTGGTGTTGGTGCTGTTGTTGCATTTTGCTGCTGGTGGTGTCGTTGTTGTTGCTGTTCTTCCTGTTGTTCTCGTTGTGGTTGCATGCCTTTTGGTGTTATTTGTTACTGGTGTTGCTACTGCTCTTGGTGTTCATGTTGTGTTGTTGCTGCTGGGTGGAGTCTTTTTCTTTAAGGTTTGGCGGCCAGGTTATGTTTAAAAGGTTTGGCGGGATATGGGTTCGTTTGTGCGTCAAGCTATTGGGGGGATTCTAGTTTTCAGGGTTTGTTTGTGCGTCAAGCTGTCGCGGGAGTGTAGTTTGTTCAGGGTTTGCTTGTGCGTCAAGCTACTGGCAGCTACTGGGAGATTCCAGTGTTCGAGCTTGTTTTCCTGCGTCAAGCTATTGGGGAATTCCGGCTCGCGGCCTCCCCCATTAGCAAGCATGATGCTCGCATGGTTGGTCAAAAAACGCGTATGTGCTGTCAAGCAAGCATGCCACTCTTGCACGCCCGGCACATGCTTCCCAATTGCAATCACACTTTTCACAAGGTGAAGGGTGCTGCTTCTAAGTAAAAGATTCATCCTAGGATATCCTAGGCATCGACTGCTATGCTGTCATGCAATCACGGCTTATAGCAGCCGGGGGGGTTGGGGGGGGGCAACCCCTTCCAGTTGCAATCACGATCCTCGTATGGCTGGTTTACCGCAAATCGCATGCGGCCGGGGGGGTTTAAGGGCGGCAATCAAGATGCTCGCATGGTTGGTTTTAAACAAGAATATCTGCTGTCAAGCAAAGCTGCGGTCACGCGAGCTTGCACATGGTTTAAAGCAGTGGGGGGGTTGGGGGGGCGCAGCCCCCCGATTTGCAAGGATGATGCTCGCGTGGTTGGTAAAAACATGCGTATGTGCTGTCACGACTCCTATGCTGTCATGCAACCTGGCACACAGCTTACACAGCGGGGGGGTTGGGGGGGGCGCAGCCCCCCCCATTTGCAATCACGATGCTCGCATGTCTGGTTTACAACAAAATCTATGCGGCGGGGCGGTTTAAGGGGGGCAGTTCATGAGGATGCTCGCATGGTGGGGTTTTCAACAAAACGCATATATGCTGTCAAGCAAGCTCGGCACTCTCGCACGCCCGGGGCAGGCTTTCCATTTGCAAAGAGACTCTTTGCATGGTGAATGGCATTGTTTCAAGAAGACTTACATTTTATGCAGGGTGGGTTTCCAGAACGACGTCTATGCTGTCAAGCAAGCTTGCACACAGCTCAAAACAGCGGGGTCTCTGGTCTTTGCTTCTTGCTGTCTAATTATCCTGCTTTCGTTCTTGGGTTCTTTCTTTGCTCCGTTCTTTCTAACACTCCTTCTGGTCGTCCTTGCTGGCTTTCTGTCTTTCGATATTCATTTCTTCTGTTCTGTCTCTCTGTCTTTGCTGCGTTCTTATTTCCTTGCTTCTGTCTGTCCTTCTGTCCTTCCTTCCTTTCTTTCTTTCTCCCCATTCTGGTGTGTTGCTTTCTTGCCTTCTTCCTTTGTTCCCGTCTTCGTTCTTTCTTTCTTTCTGTTTTGTCCTTCTTTCCTTCCTTCCTGTCTTTCTGTCCTTCGTCCTTTCTTTCTTTCTCCTCTTCCTGGTGTCTTCCTTTCTTGCTTTCTTTGTTTGTTTCTTAGCTCCTTTCTTTCTTTCTGGCTTCCGTTTCTCTCCTTCTTTCTTTCGTTTGCGTTCAACCGAAAACCAGAAAAATAGACAGAAAAAAACCAGAAAAATTGACAAAAAAAATACGGTACCCGGTTTAGGGGGGTTTAGGGGTTTAGGCCAAGTCGTGTTGCCTGCATTTCTGCATTTTCGCAATGCTCAGATTCGTCGTCATCGAAGTTCTGAACTTTGTCCTGGGGCACTCCTTGAGCCGACCTTTCATTTGCCAGAGGATAAGTAAAACAAGGAACCCCCAAAACCCTATTCTAATCATCAAGGCCCCTAATATAGAACCCTACTATAGATCCCTGACAGAGCCCTTTAAAAGAACCCCTTAAAAGGAACCCTCTTCTAATTCATAGGTCCCTTAGAGCAACCCATATTCTAGACCCGTTCAAAGGAACCGTATTCCAATTAGTTCCCAAAGGCCCCAAAGTAGTTCCTTCTTGGGGCTCATATTTAAAACCCTGTAGGTAATCCCCGAAAGGAACTACCTACTTTGTGGCCTATGGGTAAGGCTCCTAAAGTAGGTGTTGAAGAGCTAAGATCTCCTCGGTGCCGACATCGAGGCCGCGAAGGACCGCGTCTGATGTAGGGGCTTTAAGGACTAGAATAGGACTCCTGTTAAGCATTCCTTTAAAGGGATCCCTTCAAAGGGGTCTATAAGGGATCTATAGTAGGGTTCTATGGTATAAGGGGGCCTTGATAATTAGAACAGGGTTTGCGGGGATACTGTACTATAACTTATGATAAGGAACCTCCCCTAAAATAGTATAGGTAATTATTCAGGCCCCTATATTAATGACTATGTTGGGCTTTGGGGTCAATGGAGATGGGGATTTTGGGGTTTTGATGCTGGGGCTTGCTTGGGCTTTAGGGGTTTGGGGTTTGGGATGTGTGCATGTTTTGGGCTTAAAAATGTTTGGTTTGGGGTTGGGCTAGGTGTACTTGCTCATGGTTGGCCTGAAATGTGCGGGAACGGAAGTGCCACGTACATCGCACATGCATGCTTGTGATCGTCTCGGTGTATGTCACGGTGTGCCTACTTTTAAGATATGCCCTTCGCAACAGCACCGCAGAAATCACTGCAGCGAATTCCGACAAACTTGATCGGGGTGGTGCGATGCGACACTTTCAACATCGGGCGGAACTAACTTCGTGGCGGCGGTATCCAAAATCCGTTCCGAAGTACCCCATAGGCCCCAAAGTAGTGCCTTTTTGGGATTACCTTATAGGATTCTAAGTATGAACCCCCAAAACAGGGCTACTTTGGGGAGTCCGAAAGTGTAGACCCTAAATGCGGAGAAGGGTCGGCACATTCCCTAAGGCTCCATGTGCCCATATAGTAGACACTCAGGCCTTAAAGTACCTTTATAGGGACTTTTTTAAGGCCTAAGTACCTATATAGGGACTTTTTTAAGGCCTAAGTACCTATATAGGGACTTTTTTAAGGCCTAAGTACCTAGTATATGGGTACATGGAGCCTTTGGGATTGCCCAAAGACAGTGGGCGCTGCAGGTCCTAGACCTCTGAGATGAGGCCTAGAAACCTTGGGCCTTTGTTAGGGTTCCTCTAAAGGGGTCTATGAGGGTTACTTAAGGGATCTATAAGGGTACTATTATTCCTCTGAGGTGAGGCCTTTGAAAGGTAATATGTAGGAAGCTTAGGGTTCCTTTAAAGGGTCTATAAGGGTACTATGAGGGTTCCTTTAAAGGGACTATAAGGGTACTATGAGGGTTCCTTTAAAGGGACTATAAGGGTACTATAAGGGTTTGGAGGGTTTGGTGTAGGAACCTGATTAAGAAACCTTGGGCCTTTATTTGGGTTCCTGTATGGGCTCCTTTAAAGGGCGCTATAAGGGTACTACAATGGTTTTGAGAGTTTGATGTAGGAACCTGATTCTGAAACCTTGGGGCTTTATTTATTCGGGTTCAGTAAAGTCTATGAATCCTACTATTTTGGGGCAATAGGCCCAGGGTTTCTTAATCAGTTTCCTACAGTAGCAGGCTTGGATTTTAGCGCATGGTGCAAACTGACGGCTCTCAGGGTTTAGGATTTAGGGCTCAAGGTTTAAGTGATGGCCCTCAAAGGAATCCTGAGTGCACTACAGTGGAACACGGTGGCTGCTGCATGCGCAGCAAAGAGCGCAGGATCTTCCAGAGATAACAAAACGTAGCAAGACGATAAAGCTTCCCGGCAGCCACTAGTTACTAGTGACTAGGAGCGAGAAAACCTATCATAAACAGCCAAGTAGTTGTGAAAATCGTACTTGTCATCATGCCCATGGTGGTAGAAGACGCCCCCGACCACAAAACCCAAATCCTACATCCAAATCCTCAACCCTATAAGCCAACAAAATCCCCATATCCTGCCTGCAGCGCTGCGAGCATCAGAGCTGGGAGAGGTGTCGGTAGAGGTGAGGGAATCCTCACTGCCTAGGCCGGGGGTTTACGTGGGTTTGCAAGGATGCAGGGCTGCTCTGAGTTACAGAAAATCAGAAAGCCATCACATGGGGTTGTATAGTTGCAGAGACAAAACAATCAGAATATTGAGTACACGTTGTGCCAAAGGATGTTGTTAGTGGTTTTTCGACCCCCCCAAATCACATGTAAGTACCCGAAATCATACGCGAGCAGAACAACGAGCAAGACGGAACACCTTTTGGCTATTCTATGGATCTCTGTCACACATCTGCCGTAACTTATGTCCTTGCACTTCTTCCTTCTCCTTGCTCCTAGGATGCTTCTCTGGTGCGCTTTGCTTTTCTCTCTCTCTCTCTCTCTCTCTCTGTGCACCTGCGCACCTAGTGGTATTTCTTTCTGTCTGCTCAACTATGTAACGTTTAGGTTCAGGGCTCGGGAGTCTGACAGTTTACGGAAGAGTCTCTTTGCAGACAGCCCATTGCCTGGAAAGGTCGTGAAAAAGAAAACCGAACCCTAGACCCTGTGCCTAGACCCCCCAACTACCCTCTAATATACACCAAATACCCACTATGAAGGGCCATAAGGACTCTATTCAAGGGCCCTTCGGTTGTCCTGGTGAACGCTAAACCCTAGACTCCAAACTCTACCCTAAGGCCCCAAAGTAGTTGTTTTTTGGGGTTCATATTTAGAATCCTATATGGTAATCCCAAAAAGAAATTACTTTGGGGCCTATGAGTAAACCCCAAGCCCTCAGGAAAAAAAGGCATCTCCCGGCACGACTCGCTCTCCGGAATTAAACTGTGATAGGGTTTAGGGTTTAGGGTATAAACACGCGGCCGTAACTTCTGGTTTAGGGTTTAGTGGTCTAGGGTTTTAGGAACTTAAGGGCTTAATGAATGTTTAAGGGTTTAGGGGTCGAGCTTGTGATCTCTACGGCTTGCAAGCAAAGCCACTAGAGTTCAACCTTCTCCAAAGACCGTAGCTGGGTTTAGGGTTTCAGGTTTAGGATACTTCTGGGCCACATTCTCCTACCAGGAAAACTCCCTATAGTTCAGCGACATAGGAGCCACCGGATTCATTCAAAGTTGCACCCAGAATGTGAACTCTTTAGGGGCGGGCTTGCTTCGGAGTATTGGCTTAACGGTCCGTGATCTAGCGCAAAAGCACGTGACAGCGGACATGCATAATTGTTATATATGCGAGAACACACATAGACTCCAAGATAGGAAGAGCTAAGTAAGAATCGCAGCTGCACAAGAATGCCCTCAGCCTAGCCCTGATCCAAACCCTCCGTCAGTGGTGTCCTAAGGTCCTAAACCCTCGACCCATCTCTTTCGCGCTGAACCCCAATACCCCAAAGCTTCGATGGTCATACTGCCGGCTCTGCTGCCATAGTCCGACTCGTCATCACTCACGTCCAAGTGTTCCAAACCTGGACCTTTGCAGACTGAGATTTAGGAGCCATGGCAGCTGAAGTTTGTCATGATCATACTTCGTACTCCGTCCCAAACTTTGATCCCCGTATTTTGACCGCCGGCTCCTCTTAACCCACCTAGACCTCAAACCCTGAGTATACAAGAGGGACAAGAAAAAGTGGATATCATTGCTAAGTATTCAGGCATCCACTACTCAGGCGGGTCTTCAGGAGCAGGAATCCCACCAGGCTTTGGGTCAGTGGGTCAGTGTTGTCGGCATACGACTAGACACTGACTCGATGCAGGTGACACTCCCCAAAGTCTTGAACATCACATGGAGCGCAGCGGCGCACTCGCGAAGGGTCCCACTGGCGGCTACGACGCATGCGCAAAACATGTGTAAGATCTACGCACGGATCCATGGAACAAGGCGCGGCGACCGTTATCCCTAAATCCTGGATCCTGGAAGCCTATCATATACCCTAAACCTAAACGCAAAACCCTAAACTCTAAACCTGGGATCCCAAATCCCTGAACCATAAAGCCAACCCTAGATCCTACGGCTGAGAATATAAATCCTGCATTACCTTAAGGCCCTTTAACTATGGGAATCATGGTATATTCCCAACTATGGGTAATTCAGGATTTATATTATCAATCGTAACCAGCCCTGAAGCCCCAGATAAAGGCAACCCGTCGAGGAGCCCTCAAGACTTTAAAGGAACCTTCAGCGGGAACCCTTAAGGTTTATGGGTTCGGGATTTGGGGTCTAGGGTTTAGGGTGCAGGGGTTTAGGGTATAGGATGGTTTAGGGCCTGAAGCCTCAAAAGAACCTGCTAGAAAGAACCCCTCATGCCTTCAAGGAACCTTAGACGAAAATTAAAGGAACCCTAAAAGCCTTTAGGGAACCTGAAGAAAGGGAACCCTCGAGAACTTGAATTCCCTGAGGGACCAATTACTCGTATTGTATGGACATTGGTCTTTAAAACTTTAAGTAGTCCTATACTTGGGCCCTAATTAGAGGGGCAATTCCCCAAACCATGCTCCCTCTTGAACCCCTAATCTACCTAGACCCTCCATCTACCCTCTATTAGACCCTAAATGCCCCTTATTGGGGACTATATACCCCTATTTGAGGGTACAAGGAGAACTGCCCAGACCTATATTGTCTTCCACCTGGAGGCTCATACCCTACCCCTTTTTTTGGGATACCTAGTTCTATGGGTTAGGATCTGTTATCTTAAACAGTAGGAAGTAGGCGTCCTTAAAAAAGGGGTAGGGTATGAGCCTCTAGGTAACTAGCAATACAAAGCTGCTGAAGCAAACACAGGGAATTACAATGGAGACTACAGGTATACTCTTGGGGCACACCTTATAGGATCCGAAATAATGTAAAGTTGGTGAAACCAAAAATGGGAACTACAACGGAGACTGTATCTATGCTGTATACTCTTCGCGCACAGGGACCCTTCGGGTTCCTCCCGACCCTGAACCCGAGGGATCCTATCGAACCCTGACCCTGGATCCAGAACACAACAGGCACACCAGTCCCGGAGAAGCAACCCCCTGACGAGAAACCAAGCACGACCACAGCAAGCGACGCTCTCTCCTTTTGAAGGTGGTGGTAAGTACAGCCAGAATCTACACTGACCACATGGCTAAAACAGTTGCTTAGCCAGCATGGGACATCAGCTTAAGAGCTGACAAACGACGCATCAGCCGCACGCTGACAGAAATGTATCTATCCCCCATCAGCGAGACGCTGACAAACGGTGACCCCTGCCCAGATTTTTGATCGGGCAAGGGCGGGCGGGAGATCGAAAATCAGGGCGGCTCCCGTGCTGCTCCCGGTCTACACACCGGTACAACCACAATCACTGTGCTTCAGACACACAGCTGCAAGTATGAACATGCCGCACTATCCAGGCACTCCGCACTCCCCAGAGACTCCCTGGCCTAGCCTGCCTCGCAACACACGACAACATCTGCATGCCACCACTCCCGGACACTGCAAAGACATACAAGGACACACCCTAGACAAACCACCCTAGCAAAGATTCTATCGGATCCCTCTTTTCGCCCCTCCGGTTCCCTCCGGTTCGACCCGCGGGATCCTATCGAACCCTGACCCTGAATCCAGAACACAACAGGCACACCAGTCCCGGAGAAGCAACCCCCTGACGAGAAACCAAGCACGACCACAGCACGCACCCACTTGCGTATGGTTGACGCGCGCATGCTGCCAAGTGACGCAGCTATTGCCGACTCCGGACTTGAAGCCAGCTGCGCTTGCCGAACCAGCGGCGTGTTTGCTTCAACAAAGAGCTCCACAAGTTGCGCACGCCACCGCTGTAGCTCGGCCTTTTCGATAGCTGCCCGGGACAACCCTAGCTTAGAGTCCGCGAGCCTCCGGGCTGCTCGCGTCGGCCAAGCATTGCGCTCTTTACGAGCCCCCGAGTGCTTGACAAGCCAAGACAAGGTGTCTTGCAAACCGGCGACTTCACTGGAGTTAGAAGATGCGAGCTTTTTAGCTAGAGAGACCTTCTGCCAAGCAGGGTCCAGTAGACCACGACGCTTGTTCCGTCGCTGCACGCGGGGCAGAGCTCTCAACTGCAAGGTGGAGAAAATCTGGATTGCTCTGCGACGGTCATGCTGAGGAACATATGAAGTCATCTCTGCAGTTAACTCGTCCACGGCTTCAAACATATAGGCTAGGTAAGCATCCTCTGGCAAATGCCCGCCAGCTGCACCATATGCTGCACGAAACCTTCGCAGGAGCTGCGCCCAAAGATCTGCGTCTGGCAACGAAAGATCCACGATTTCTGCGTCTGATTCACTTTCAGTGGAGGACGCCATAGCGCAGAATAGCACAGGACAGCACAGATCAAGATCGAAAATCAGGGCGGCTCCCGTGCTGCTCCCGGTCTACACACCGGTACAACCACAATCACTGTGCTTCAGACACACAGCTGCAAGTATGAACATGCCGCACTATCCAGGCACTCCGCACTCCCCAGAGACTCCCTGGCCTAGCCTGCCTCGCAACACACGACAACATCTGCATGCCACCACTCCCGGACACTGCAAAGACATACAAGGACACACCCTAGACAAACCACCCTAGCAAAGATTCTATCGGATCCCTCTTTTCGCCCCTCCGGTTCCCTCCGGTTCGACCCGCAAGCCTGAATCCTAAACCCAAAAAAACCCTAAAACTCTAAACCCTAGACCCTGAAACCCTAAATCCAAAACCCTAAATCCCAAAACCCTAAACCCTAAATCCAAAGACCCTAAATCCAAAAACCCTGAAAACCCCAAATCCAAAGACCCTAAAATCCCCAAACCCTAAAACCCGAAAACCAAAGACCCTAAATCCCAAAACCCTAAATCCCCAAACCCTAAAATACCTTAAAGCCATAGCCCCTTACATCAAAGACCCTAAAACATTAAATCCCTAAAGCCAAAGACCTTAAAACCCTAAACCAGAGTGGCCGCGCCTGGAGATGGCAGGGTCGAAGTGCTACTGCGCAGCCTCGGCGGGGATTTTAGGTTCTTTTAGCTTTAGGAGTCTAAGGACCCATGTATTAAGGCTTTGGGCCCAAAGACCATACTATATGAGGCCTTTGGGCTATTTTGATGCCCAGGGTAATTCCCATTCAATGATTTATGTAAGGGTTCCTGAACGGGTTCCCAACAATTTTGTTATAAGGGTAACTAATGTTATGCTAAGACTAAGAGTACTACAGGGCCTAAACCCTAAACCCCCTAAACCCTAAAACCCTAAATCCCGGTCGTAGGGTTTTCAAGGCCTTTAGGGCTCAAAGCAAGCAGGAGGAGGTCAAAAGAGTGTTGTATGAGGGATTTGTAGGGGCCTTATGGTAAGGGTGTTGCTGTAGGATCAAAGTAGAATAGGGTTCCGTGGGATATCCAAAGCAAGGGCGAGGACTTCAAACAAGGAAAATGTCGAGCATCTGCAGCCTTTCCCGTGGGATCGCTGTCTAGGTGGTGTATGTGGTGTTGACGGTTGAGTGTTGTGGTGGTGTTGAGGTCTGACCACAACTGGCGGTGGAACCGAGGCTGAGTACCCTGAGTCCCACCAGCGGTGAGCTTCAGGTATCCGCCGTCGGTGGTGAGTGGGTAGAAGTCGTGTAGAAGAGTGAATGGTGTCCAGTCGGATCGCCACGTCTGGCCTCCCACTTCGTCCTCGAAGGGAATCTCCAACCAGTAGCCGATGGTGATGCTGCATGATGTTCTCCAACAAGGAACCGTCCAAGTTGAGCTCCGAACTTGTTCATCACCGGAACCCATCCATCGGGAGCTCGTGAAGATCCCTGTCTTGTCTCTCTGACGTACTGCACTTGGGCACTGCCCCCGCCCTGTGACTGTCTATGTTAGGGGTCATGTTAAGGGTTGTAGAATATGGGTGGTCAAAATTAGGGTTCATTTTTGGGTACCCTGAATATTAGGTGCCGTATAATAATAATAAAGACCCAAAAAGGGACCATAATTTTGACAACCACCCATATGAATCTTATCTAACTGCTGCAGACCTCAGTGCAGACTGGGGGCAGTACCCGGAGCAGTACTGTACGGTTATATAGGGACGAAGGGAACTCACACTCCCAAGTCTGCACCTTGACCCCTAACACACAAATACAGGACTTTGGTTCAGGGACGTGTTGTCGTGCTACAGTCATACAGGGAGCATGCGGGGGATTGTCCGTAGTTGCTCTGAGCCCTAAACTCACAAACCTAAACTCAAAACCCTGATTCCTAAACCCGAAACACAAAAGCCAATCTACACCCGAAACCCTCAATCCTAGATCCTAAACTCCGAAATTCCAAACCCAAACCCAGAAACCGTAAATCCTAAATCCGAAACTCCAAAACTCGAAACCCAAAGCCCGAAACCCTGCATACTCAGTTGCCGTGGGACTCTCCAAATTTCGAGGCCAGCTTGCTGAATACCCAAGACATCACAGGAGGAGTCTGGGATGCAGGCTTGCACGTCATCGGAAGCGTTCAGGAAGGAGGGTTGGAGGGTCTGGGGTTTTAGGGTTTTAGGGTTTAGGGCTGCGGAATTATGCGGGAGGGCTTGAGATTGAGGGCTTTAAGATGTGAGGCTTAGGATTGTTGTGTGTTGGCTGTGGTTTCTTGTGGCATTTTACGTTTGACACTATGCCGCTGCGTTTAGAGAGTTTCGGAAAGGTTAGCGTCGGGGTTGCCGAACCAATCTCAAGCAAAAGCAGTCTACCTCAAACCGATACCCTCAGCATAAGAGAAACACTGGATACGACAGTAGCGAACCCCCAACATTATTGCAGCCCAAGCAGTGGGGGCCATGCTATAACCCTCCGTTTCAGATACCACCTTACTCCTTCGCAGCTTCCCTCATGAACTACGACTTACACAGGGCCTTAATAATGAGAACAGGGCTTTTGGGGCCCGTTATACTATAATCCTAATAAGGAGCCCCCAAAACTGGTGTAAATTATTAAGGCCCCTAGAATCGGGCTCGGTCGTGACTACGGGGCTTCAAGTTCGGAAACTTTTGATGCTCAGGGGCCGACGGATGAAGTTCTCGGTCTCGGTTTGCTCATCTTTCTCTACTACAGAAAGCCATAACGGTACCTAGGACCTGTGGGGGGGAAGACGCTTGGACTTCAAAAAAGTTCGAGCGGTATACGGCCTCATGATTCAACCAAAAGCAACCCTAAACCCTGGGCATGAACCCAAAACAGTCCTAAACCATCCTCAACCCTAAACTCCACAAAGTGATTAAGAACCCCCCAACCCCCAAATGCTAAAGTCCTATATACACCCGCGAAGGCTGAACCCCTGGCAAGCCGAAGGCCCTAAATCCAGAAATCCTTACGGCTGAAAGACCTAAACCCCATGCAGGACTTACTTGGAGGGTCGGGGGACTTAGTAACTGGTTATTTTAGGGACTTATAAGTACCATAACCCCAACTAGGGTCCCTTTTAGGGTACTTATAAGTCTACTTACTAAATAACTTACTAAGTCCCCCGACCCCCCAAGTAGGGTGAAATTCGGGTGTAGAGGCTTTGGGTTTGGGGATACGGATTGCGGTCTCGGGGTTCAGGGCTTTTGGGGATTTAGGGTTTAGGGGTTTAGGGGTTTAGGGTTTAGGGTTTAGGGTGAACCCCGAAACAGAGCTGGCTCCAGGGCTTGTTGGAGTGTCGGGTCTTGGACTTGAGATTAACCCGCAGTGTCCAGGTATCCAAATAGGTTCCTTTAAGGGGTACCATAAGGATTCTATAGGTGTTTAGGGTTAAAGGGTCCATGTCCATGTACCCAAATAGTATATACTTTGGCCCCGAAGTACATATATAGGGACTACTTGAAGGCCAATGTATATACTACATGGGTACACGGACCCTTAGGGTAATGTATGCTGTACACAAAAACAAACGCCCTGCATAAAGGAGTGCAGGGTCAGCACGCTTATCAAATTCCTACAAATTCCTGCAAACCTGTCTAGTACTCCATAAGACCTTACAAAGCCCTCATCCTTGAGATTGAACCCACCCATGTAAGGTAATCCTAAAGGCTCGCGGTGCCTATGTTGCATATATGTATATATATATATATATATATGTGTGTGTGTGTATCTATATATATATATATATGTGTATATATATATATATATATGTATATTATATGTATCTATATATATATATGTATATATATGTATATATATATATGTATATATGTATAGATGGTCCTTACAGGGCTACTGTATTAGGGCTTCTTTGCCGCAGTATAAACCACGAAGGTGCGTGGAGCCTTCGGGAAACCTTACCGGGCACCAAACCCCGACGCAAAACGCTCCCTGCAGTCTACTTGTCGGGTATCATGGGGAACTTAAGGTTAACTTTTGGTTATACAGGGACTATATAGGGACTACACTACCCAACAAAGGTTAAAGGTTATCTACTCTACTACTAGGACAGTCAGGCCGCAAGCAGGGCTCCATCGTTCTAGACAAGGTCGTCTCCCACTTGAGCCAGCATGAGTCAGGTGGTCATGAGTGTGAGCGAGAGCGAGAGTCACTCTGTGTGTATGTGCACACATGCGTATGTGTGTGTGTGTCTGTGAGTCTGCGTTTGTGTCTGTGTATGTCTATGAGCATGTGTATCTGTACGTGCATGTGCATGTGTATGTGTATGTGTATGCATGGCTATGTGTACGTGTAGGTATGTACGGGCATAGGTATGTACAAAAGGATGGTTGTGATATATGTATATACATATATATGTATATATGTATGTATGTATGTGCATCTGTATATAAAGGTAGGTAGGTATGCATGCGTTCATGCATGTGTATATATATATATATATATATATATATACATATGTAAACCCATGTCTTTCCGTTATGTGTCCGTTGATTTGTGCATGCGCGCGGTTGCTCTTATCTGCTTCGGCAGTATCTTTTGCAATAGGGGTTTATCGACATTAATTCGCTGCAAAGGTCCACATCGTACCCAAAACCTGCTATCGCACGCCCTCCAATTGTTTGCTGCTTAACGATCAACAAGTACTGGCACACAAGGCCTCCAAAAACAACTACGGGCCCAACATTCTTGAAGGGATTGTCCTGATTTTGAGGTTCCTTCTACTTCGCGTCTACATTGGAGTTCCCAATTTGGGAAAAACACAGCCTTTCAGCAGCCTCAAACAAGAAAAATACCTTCAACCCCGCAGCCCACAGGACGTATAAAATAAACTAAACCTTCAACACATTACGGTTTGGAACTCAAAATGTATAACACCTGAGGGTTATGGGCTGGGGCTTCTGGTTCAGGGGCTAATCATGAGGGTTTAGGCTTTAGGGCTTAGGGTGTAGGGCTTAAGGCTTCGGGTTGCGAGTTTGGGAGGGTCTGTGAATTCTTTCACGGGCTCGGGGTGCTCAGACTTCCAGAGGGATCCTAGCTGGGGTTTCAGACCAGATGAACCTTTCCAAAGGGGTTTTTGAAATTGGGATAGCAATGAAATCAAAGTTGATTAAAAAAAAAGTTAAGCAACGTATCATAGCGCAAGTAGCTAACCGTGTGTTAGTGCCTCGGTGAGTATGTGATTCGTGGTTACACGGACCAGTGGTTACAGGGATTACCCATAGGCCCCATAGTAGTTCCTTCTTGGGATTATCTTATAGGATTCTAAATATGAACCACAAAAAGGAACTACTATGGGGCCTTAGGGTAAGGGCTACCGCGGCCAATGCCTGTTTCTTCCTCTGCGAATCATCTCCATATCGGAGACGGGGTTTGGCCGCCTTAAAGGCGAGGACAGGCAAGCAAAGAGATAACGCGCGTTGTTAATTGTATATAGTTATACATACATGTATATGTAGAGAGAAAGAGAGAGATATATATATATATATATATATATATATATATATGTATATATAAGCACCATAGCCATAGACCCTAAACCATGTAGAAAAGCTTTCAGCTTTCTATCATAGCTGCTTATGTCGTCGGCCTACGCCTTTTCACTGCAGGGTCGTGTATGCTGGCAGCCTACTTTTGTTGAACACAACGATCGCGAACAAGACCTGGGAACAGCCGAAAGCTATGCATCATGCGAGGCATCCCCGCATAACAAAAAGCAACGACATGTAGAAGTGCTTCCTTCACTAAACCCTAGGAGACTGTTAAACCCCAGCCCGTCTATAAATGGCTACGTAGGCTTCGCGTGTGACTCACTGCCACATTGCCCCACTCTGAATGTACGCTTCACTCGCGCGCGCTTCACCTCCACGGGATGAATGAACCTCCGAAGAGGCAAATTTGCTCGAGAAAAAGAACCCGCTTTTGGAGTATAAAGCGCAGCGAAACGGTCGAAGAGGCCTCTAAAGCTCGACCACTTCTAGTTCCGCTGCCTTGGGAGAAAATGTAGACAGACAGATCCGGAAGAACTGTAAGCGTACCTGCTCTAAGCTACCATGGCACATCCAAATCACCTAACCTCCGAGCGAAGCCTAGAAGCTTAGATACAATCCACGATCCCGAAACCCCGAAATTACGTGACAACCCTAAACCCCACACTCCCTAGCCCTATTCCTAAGAAGAACCCAACCGCCATAGACTTCGGAGGTATAATGCCCTGAAGACGTACTTCTGGGCAAGTCCTCAGTACCGAAGACCTTTAAATGGAAAATATCTAGGACCTCAGCCCCAAACAACCACTACCAAGCTAGACTTCTTGTATTGCACAGCTGCGCACGTTTCCAAAGTTTGATGAGGTGCGAAAGTCGACTCTGCCGGGTTCTGCATTTTTTCGAGTACATGACTTGGTTTGAGTTTAAGTCTCATTGGTGCAAAAGGTTCACTCTTAAGATTGCACCCAATCGTAAAGCGACCCTGTAACAACTCCCACACACAAACAGAGCTTGCTGGTGATAGTGATGGCAACGATAGTGAGGACGGTATGATGTGCATGTTGATGATGACTGTAATTATGATGCTGGTGCACTTGCTGTCAAGTCCTATCACACGACATTTCAGACAACATCATCGTACAGACAGCATTACCCTACACAATGCCCAGATCATACACTACAAGCTCCAACTGTATACTTCTGCGTGGGCCTTGTCCCGAACAGTTCTTCCAGGATAATGAGAGGGCTGTGCAATGGTGTCGAAACCTGAAACCCAGGCCATGCGCTGCAGAAAATGGGAGCATTGGGAGCAGCATCTCTGCCACTCAAGCCCTTCGACCAGCACTATTGAACTGTTCCCCTGAGAAAGTAACAGCGCACAGCATGGGTCCAGCTCTTTTTCCACAAGCCCTTGGTTCTGCCAGAGTTCAGGTGAGAACTTTGCCTGTGCCAGACAGATCGCGCAGAATCAAGAAAGCAAAAACACTACAAACCAAGTCGCGAAACTGTTCAGAAAGTCTTTCTACCCTAGACGCTGAACATGAAAGCAGTTGAAGGCAGGGCAAATACCCCTTCCACCAGACACCGCGCAGAAAGTACTGGTCTGATTCGACTAAGAGACTCCAACATCCTTTAAATAATAAGGATTATACCTGAAAGTATAGTCAGATCCCAAATATGATTCAAGGTATCTTCCTTAATTGACGGATATTGGAGTCTCTGGGTGCTGAGGATAGTGACGCATTAGTCCCCGCAGTCAGTGTGATTGAAAGGAACCATGCCGCAGATTCTAAATCCCAGCATTCTTGAAGAGTCTCGTTGTCAGCTGACTTGATGTGGGAGCTGGCAACCATCAGATAGCAATGCTTTCAGGGATGCGATGCTACACAAAACGTTTCCTGCACCGCTTGAACTCTTCCCTTTATGTTACTTATCTTTGAGCAATCCTGCTTCTACCTCCCCCCACCTTGAAGCAATCCTGTTCCCACCATTCCTTAATATTTGACCTACGATTTGCCACACCCTTTTTTGCTCGTGATAGAACCCAGACATTGAACCCCACCTAAAGCAAAAACTTAACATATCCAAACCAAGAGTCTTCAGGCCTTACCCTCAAGAGCCCTAAGCCCCAATGCTCTCACGAAAACTGCCCATCAAACACTCCGGAATGCTTCTAGAACATTTATAGTAAACCCCAGAAAGTTGGAACATGGCTGTAGGAGGGTTCATGCTAGGATCCCTTTTGCTGTACCTGAAGGGCATGAGGATAATGATGTTCCAACTTTCTGGCTTCTACTGTATCGATCCGAACACTGTAAACAGCAATAACACATAATGGCCTAAAACCAATGCAACGACCAAAAGCCCAAAGGTGCTCGAAAGCCGAAACCCCCACCCCTGAACGAAAACCTGCAGTAAATTCTCCCGAGTTGGAAACGCGTTGTCCTCCTGCCCTGAAAGCAAATTACATGAAATTTCAGCACTACTCAGACTCCTCATCCTGCCCTCAAACCCTAAGCCTCCAAACCCCTAACAAACCCTACACCCTAAATCCCAGAACCCCCCACCCAACCTTAGGCAGTTTAAACACTAAACCCATAAACCCTATAAACCCTCTAAACCCTAAACCCTATAAACCCTAAACCGTATAAACCCTAAACCCCTAAACACTAAACCCATAAACCCTATAAGCCCTCTAAATACTAAACCCTCTAAACCCTAAACCCTCTAAACCCTAAACCCCTAAACACTAAACCCATAAACCCTATAAGCCCTCTAAATACTAAACCCTATAAACCCTAAACCCTCTAAACCCTAAACCCCTATAAACCCTATAAGCCCTATAAGCCCTAACCCCAACTTTAGGCATTTGACCGAAACGAGCCCCAGGGCGCGGCCTTAGCTCTTGAGGAGCTTGGGACTCAGTAAGTAGGTTCCTTTAAAGAGCTCCTTTAAGGGATCTATATAGGGATTTTATAAGGGGTAGTTTAGGCAACTTAGAGGAGCTTGGGGACTTAGTAAGTAGGTTATAATTGGGGTTATGAGTCCTCTAAGTGGGGTTATCCTAATTATAACCTACTTATAACCTTACTTACTAAGTCCCATGAGCCTTCAAATAGACCCTAAAGACCTTACTTACTAAGTCCCATGAGCCTTCAAGTAGCTCTAGAGGAGCTTGGCCTGCTCTGGGCTGCGTCCTCGGATGTGGGTTTAGGTTCCAGCGGTTGGGTTTAGGGCTTCTAGGGTTTATAGGGTTTCTAGGGTTTATAGGGTTTAGGGTCTATACGGTTTATACTGTTTAGGGTCTAGGGTTTATAGGGTTTATAGGGCTTATAGGGTTTAGGGGTTTAGGGTTTAGGGGTTTTCAAGGGTTTTAGGTTCGGGGTTTGGTGCTTTGAGGAGTTCAGGGTTTGGGGATTTGAGGTAGAGTTTTGAGGTTTCGGGTCCGGGGTTCAGGTGGTGGAAGGACTTGGGGTTCTGGGGCTCATGGGGTTTATGGGTTCAGGGTTTAGGGGACTCGGGTTTAGGGGACTACCGTAGGGTTTTGGGGTTTAGGGGGTTTAGGGTCTGGGGAAACGGGGATTCGGGTTTGGGATTCAGGGGTTTTGGGGATGAAGGTTTAGGGATTTGCCTAGGGCTCTAAGGACTCATTTGAGAAGGCTTTTGGGCTATTTTGATCCCCAGGGTATAGTATGGGAGTGCATGCGGTGCTTAAAGGTTTAGCGGTTTAAGGTCCAGAGATTGGGTTGTAAGGCGGGGTTTAGGTGGGGTGGGGGCTGTGTCAGGGTTCTGCACCTGCAAAAGAACGGAGCCATATAGGTGGTTGTCAAAATTCGAAGAAGCGTCTGGTAAGTAGCCCCCTACCATAGGCGTCGATAGACCCCTATATACAGACCCCTATGCTTTTCCTATAGGCCCCTATGCGCCCGATCCCTGCCACGGCCAGGAACCCCTACAGACAGACCCTATGCATTTTTGCTACTTTCCGAACTCTTACTCGAAGATGATGGTCGGACCCTTTTTGGGTCCTTAATATAGTATGGCACCTAATATTTAGGGTACCCAAAAAGGAACCATAATTTTGACAACCACCCATATAGGACTTAAGAAGTCTGCACCTCGTAAAGAGTAGTATCTTGTGGGGACGTGTAGGGATGAGAATTCTAAACGCGTCATGCAGCCTTATAGGGTTTTGGCACGTTTCCGCCGTTTCCGCTGGGTTTTAGGGCTTCAGCCGGTGGCTGTCTGTCGGTCGTTTCAGCTTTACAGTAATGCTTCGGGCTCCGGCTGAGACTTTATGGTTTCTGAGGTTTTGGCATCATGAGTGTTGGGCTTCCGTGATGTAGGGACTAAGGGTTTAGGGACCGGGGCATGGACCAGAGCGTCAAACACAGTCTCGACCCTATCAGGATTGGGGCTTAAGAGGGTCAAGGGCCGAGGGGGAAACACTAAACGTTTTTGGGTCTGGGTATGTTTAATGTAGGGGTTTAAATAATGACCAATGCTATTTTGGGGGTTACTCATTCTAGCTATTATAATATGGGCCCCAAAACCCTATTCCAATCATTCAGGCCCCTCATATTAGGGTTCAGCCTGAACTAACACTTAAACCCTGCACGTGGCTGAGGGTAATACCGAAGACTGAAAACCCTCGGAGTGGGTCCTGATCGGTTTTGGGGGTGGGTTCACGGACCCTTTTGGAACCTTAGTTTGGGACTCTACGTCCAGGTGCACTGCACCACCTGCAAGCCCGCTTGAAACCCTAAACACCTGTTGGATATGAAACATCAAGCCCCGTATTTCGAACCTCGGCCTCAAGCGAGCGGTTTAGGATGTAGGGTCTAGGACTCAGAAGAACCCACCCAAGTCTTCTTCCAACCACTTGCAGAAAGCAAACATCTACAAACCAAAAAAAAGATTTCCGCTCTCCCCACCTACACAGCAACGTACTGATGACCGGAAGACACCGCAAATCCTGAACCCAAACGTCACCTGATGATACCCCCAAACCCGGAGCCTTACCCAAGAGGTCCATGTAATAGCATATACACTGGCCTTCTCAAGTAATCCCTGGAAAGGTACTTTGGGGCCAAAGTATATACTGTTTGAGCACATGGACCCTTAAACCCTAAACCCAATAGAACCCTTAAAGAACCATCATGGTACCTTTAAGGGAATCCGTAAAGGAATTGTTTGAGCACTTGGACCCTTCGGGTCACATCCACGCAAACCCTGAAGCCCAAACCTAAAACCTTAAACGCTTACTTTGTAGGAACCCGTAAAGGAACCCTTGTAGATCCCCTTACCCCCATAGGACCCGGACCCAGCCACTGAACTCGACCGGAGTCGAGGTCGTAGATGCCTCGCGCCAAGGATTTGGGTGTAGGGGTTTACGGGGTGTGGGGTTTAGCCCGCCCTACCTCTATCTCTTGATTACTCTCTCTATCCATATGTTATACGTAGTAGTTGTAGATACATTATGTACTTGTATGTATACGCATGTGTATAAATATACATGTATACATGTAATGTAATGTATGCAGTATATACTTGGGCACGAAAGCAGCTGTACCCTTTTAAGGCCAAGGTATATACACTCTGAACCCTGAACACTTTTACATTGTTACTGCATAGGGACACAGTATCGGGGCCTGAATAATTAGAATAGGGTTTTGCATTATAGTATAACTATAATGGGTTCCAGAACAGTATAGAAACATGTTTAGGCCTCTGTATTAATTCAGATTCTTTGGCCTCCAAGCAGGAGGAGCCTCGCGGCTTACCAATGCAAACATGACGACACAAAGGTCGCTGCTGCTCCAAGAGACTCCAACGCCGCTCAACCGGTAAATATACGTGGATTTAGGGCAGTGTAGGGTTTAGGGCTTGCAGTTTCGGGCCTAGGGTTTCAATACTCATGAAAACTTAAAGACCAGGACCCTCCCTGTACCCTCAAACAGGGGTATATAGTCCCAAATAAGGGGCATTTAGGGTCTAATAGAGGGTAGATGGAGGGTCTAGGGACAATCGCTGGGTTTCTAGTCGGATGTCTGCTCCGATTGATCTTCCGGTGGGCTTGAGTTGGTGTTGAGGGCTCAGACGCCTGGTCTTCGGGCCCGAGAACCCAGAGATCCCAATACCCCTCAAGTAAGGACTATACCTGGGGTTAGGGTTCCTTTAAAGGGGTCTATATAAGGGATCTATAGGGTTTGGGGTTTAGGGGATTCTAATACCCCTTGATTAAGGAATATACCTTAAATCATAAAATTAAGGCCCCTATGATTGAAGGTATATTCCTAATCAAGGGGTATTGGGAAGGGGTTCTGGCAAGGTTTCGACGAAGGATTCTGGATTGTGTACTACAGGGACCTAGAAAGGCTTTAAGGGTCTACTTAGGGTGAGTTTTGGTTGTGCCTTGGAGCTTCTTACTGGGGCGAGAGGGCCTCCTGTGTCAGCCGCCCCATCTTTTCAAAACGGTCTGTGCAAGGCAGGTTGGAACTGTGGAAGCAATAACGATTGATCACCGAAGTACCGTGTGGCTCCTGTGGAGTTGCCAACTAGGACCCCACTTCAGGTGCAGCCAAATCACCAAGTCAATAAACCTGAACGCTAAACCCTTAAAGCAATAACAAACCCCAAACCGCTGACCCAAAAACCATAAGTCCCAAACCCTTAAACTTAAACCTGAAGCACCACACCCTGAAACCCTGAGCCCTCGTTGGCGCAAAAGAGCGCAGGCACGCACGCACCGCCGCCGCATGCGGGCCTCCTTGGATGTCCACTTGGCCTGACTTCACCTGTGAAGTTGGTGGGTAATGTAGGGGCATTAATAATTAGAATAGGGTTTGCGGGCGTACTATACTATAAGGATAATAAGGAGCCCCCAAAACCCTATTCTGATGATTAAGGCCCCTACATTACTACAGGTGTTCCTTTACACCACTCTAAGGGAACCACGACCCTCACCCCCTACCCAAGCACTCCAACCAACATCCCTCAATCAAGGATGCCTTCCTAAGAATCCCTGCTGCAATCTAAGGAATCTTCCCCAATTATGGCTTAACGGATGCGCCCTAAACCCTATGCCCCAAATCCTAAAACCCTAAATCCTAATCCCTCAGTCCTAAACCCGTAAAGCCTACATGCCAGCCCCTAGAAGCATAGCACCCGCGGCCCGATCCTGAACCTATACCTCATCAGGCCTACAAGCGCAAGCAGCAGTAGAGAGCCCATGAAATGCTAATTTTCGCTGTTTCTTAGGGATTATAATAACAAAGAATTAAAGAATATTTCTAAGTACCCCTAAGAAATTAAGGATTTTCCAATTGGGACAAGGGCTGTTCCAGAAGCCCGTCGTTGTCTTATCAAGCCGCTTATAGCCCTCAAAGCCTTGGAATCTGCACAACAACTCTCGGCTTTGACCGCCAAACCCCAACACTCTACCTCTCCCATTTCCCTGAAATCCTTCGACCCCCCCAAATCCCAAGACCCCAGGCACAGCACGCTTAACCTGTCCGGCTACGCATCTTGGACTTGCAGAGAGTTTGCAACTGGCTTGGTTTATGATTCCAAAACAAATATTGTCCGTTACTTGCTGCAGCAGACTCAAAGCCAAGAGCCACACAAACAGGATGCTTCCAAGTCGAACACACTTCAAATCTCCGCTGGATGACAGGCCACTTGCTCTGAGATTGTCGGTGCTTGATAGACATTTCGTGCACCACTACGCACTTCCCAGACTTCTTGCATCTGATACAGGGGTCAGAATCATGTGCAGTCGTATCCCCCTATAACCGTGTGTAGTACTACCGGAATATACACGCAACAGCGGTTCTTATCATTTAGGCACCTTCTCTGAACGAACCTAGACTCCTGACGGTCTCACCCTCCAAACCTTCAAGCTAGAGCAACAGCTAAACCCTTGGCTTGCGCGTCCTCGTACCCCAAATCTCAATCTCTTATGGTTCCCCTTATAGGACAAACTCTCTACAAATGTTAGACCATGAACCCAAAAAAAACTCTCAACTTCCTAAACCCTACCTTGTCGCGGATGTCCGTGCTTCCCTTGATGAGGTTGTTGATGGTGTTGAAGACATTCACCTTCACCTTGGTTCCAAGGGTAAAAGGAGGGACCCTTAATAAGGACCCCTAGGTATATACCCTTAATATAGCTATTATATACCCATTATATAGCCCATTATAGGGTAGGGGTCCCCATTAAGGGTCCCTACCCTAAACCCCTAAACCCGAAACCCCTAAAGCCTAAACCCCTGAACCCTAAACCCTAAACCCCCTGTAGGGGTCCCCATTAAGGGTCCCTCCTTTTAACCTTCACCTTGGTTTTTGCGCCTACCTTGTCGGGCTTGGTGGGAGCCTGGGTCTCTTCCCACAGGCCCCAAAGTAGTTCCTTTTTGGGATGACCTTAATAGGATTCTGAATATGAACCCCAAAAAGGAACTACTTTGGAGCCTTAGGGTTGGTTTTGAATCTGCTTCCGTGCAGGTGCTTTTCGGGTTAAGAGTTTTAGGGTCTTTGGGTCTTATGACTGCAGTCAGCACGCTTCCCGATCTGTGTATACCTACACATACATCTTCGAGTAACAAAAATCCGACCTTTCGTAGGATTGTGACTATAGCACACTTACATGAAGACTACCATGGGAAGCAGGCCTGTAAAGTAGGGTTCGGGGGGGGCCCAAAAAACTCTCATCCTCTAACCCGTAACCCCTAAACCTTACAAACCACCACGTGCAAGATGCAAACAATCGGCTGTAATCAGAGTAACCCGCCAAAACCAAGATGCACGGCCCAGGTAAAACCAAAAAGCTCTAACTTGTAACCATTGCAGGAGCGTCTTGTGCAGGTGTGCGTGTGTGTACATGGCTACATATGTATGTGTATATATATATATATATATATGAACATGTATGTGTATCTGTATATGTATATGTGTATGTATACAGGTATATGTCCATTTGTATGTGTATGTATGTGTGTACGTGTATGTATGTATGTATGTATGTATGTATGTATGTATGTATGTATGTATACATGTTTACATGTATGTATATAAATATGCATGCATGTATGTATATGGATATAAATATGAATATGAAAACCTACATGTGCATGTGTGTGTAAAGGTACACGTATGTGTATGTATATATATATATATATGTATATATATATATACATATGTGCTTATGCAGGCCCAAGCAATAGTCAAGCGGGTTAAAGAGCAGTTAGATGAGCAGGTCAACATAGAGAGGCGCGAGAGATGAGGTTCACGAACTTCCACAATGCTACAGTTAAGAGAAGGGTCTTAATCATTGGAACAGAGTTTGGGGGTACATCTAGGGTAAACATTGGTGAGTCCTAACGCTAAACGCATTCGACCTCTATATGGCTCACATACTACGCCATTCCCGGATACTGAGTCCACTGCAGCATGATCTGCGATCTCCTGCGCCGAATTGGCTTTCGTGGGTAAGCTTTAAGTTTCAACAATGACTTGCATGCAAGATCCTTACAATGCTACATGCTGTAGACTACAAGGGAAGATATTAATAACGTATTCAAACCCCTGTGTTGGCATCGAGTAGTGTCTTCTCAGAAGGCGCGATATCATCGTGCTCACTATGACCGCAACATGAGATCATGCTGCCTGGTGCCTTGCTTTGCAATGGATGCTTGCACCCAGAGTCTACAGTATCCCTTAACTAAGGAATATACCATTCGGGATCCCATTATAATTTACAGCATATTCCCTGATTAAGGGATCTTGGAGTCTGTGGGCAACGAGAGACCTCGATCCTCAAAAGTTTTCGTGGTTTAAACACATACCACGGATATCTTGGACAATTGAGCCAGCGCATTTGGTGAGAAGCTCGAGACACCACAACGCAACAAAATCAAAGACTGCACACCCTCAATCCTGACACTCCTCCGAACATGCTGCCGAACTCGGGATTGCAGTTTTGATGATGGCGTATGATAAACATTCTCATCAGTCTTGTGCTGCTTACAACTCGGTTGCACAGCACTCACCAAGTCCCCTGATCCTTCAGCAGCCTGATGCAGACTCCAGTCAAGTTCATGAGCTTGGCTCTTGGACTATGGGCTTAGGGTCTTGAAAATGAAGTCCAGGTTGTGCCAGGTGTTGGTCATGGACTTATCCAAAGGCCCCATCGTAGTTCCTGTTTGGGACTACCTTATAGAATTTTAAAAGGAACTACTTTGAGGCCTTTGGGTATCTTGTACAATAAGCACTTGGGTTGTAATTCGTGTAGGACTCGTGCCTCGATTTTTGGCGAAGGCTCGCAACCCCAACCCGTCCAAGCCCACTCCTTCTCCGAGGCTTTGTCACCCAGCTCCTGAAGAACAGCAGTGACTTAGTATCCCATGATGATCCCCATATTGCCGCACTGATTATATCCCGAAACCCCTATCAAAATATTCTAGCGCATGTATAACGACCGTGACAACGAGCCAGGTAGGGGCCTTGACCTTTCAATCGAACCTCTGGGCGCTTTGCAGTAGATTTCTGTAGGGACTATATATAACTAGGATACCCAGTAACCAAAGAATAAAAAGGCCTCTCTTTTTGGTATTGGGTAACTTTATAAGGAACCTAGGACTACAAAAAGGGAATAAGGGTACTACTGGAGATCCTAGATAAGCATACTACAACTAGTTATTTTAGTTATCAGACCCTAAGCAGAGTAACCAGGGTACCTCAAGGAAGGTCAATGTACCATTTTTGGGGGTTGTAACCCTTTTGACAAGGAGCGCACGGTACCCCAGGTAAACCTTGAACTAGAACTTACCTAGAATTGCGTGCAATGCCTGAATAACATGATCTTAGAAAGATCAGCAAGCCAACTCACGGCTGTTGCTGGGTATGGGGCTTGAGGTTTAGCCGGAGCAGATGCTGAACCGTAAACCCTAAGCTGCACCCTCTCGACGTTTAGGGTTTACGGGGTTTTAGGTTTAGGTTCTGTTCCGCACATGCCAACACTCAAAACCCTGAAGGTCACCAAAACTCGGCATCACGCTAGACAGGCTTTAGGGCCTTAGGTGTGTCCAAAAGCCAACACTTTAGGTGCTACCCTAAGGCTCCAACGTAGTTCCTTTTTGGGGTCCATATATAGAACCCTATAAGGTAATCCCAAAAAGGAACTACTATGGAGCCTCTGGCTAGTGGGCACATTCGCCTAAAACTACAAGATAGCCTCCGATAACATACATGGGTGGTTGTCAAAATTAGGGATTCCTTTAAGGGATCTATATAGGGTTTAGGGTTTAGGGGTTCCTTAAAGGGATCTATATGGGATCTATATGGGTGGTTGTCAAAATTAGGGTCCCTTTTTGCGTCCCGATTATAATACGGCATATTCAGGGTACCCAAACAGGGGCTCTGATTTTGACAACCACATACATCGAACACCCTCGTCGAATTCGAGTACTCACTCTTCTGGGTCAAGATCTGGGAGATTTCGAAAATAGGGGACCCCAGTATAGTACTCTAAATAGTAGGATCCTTGTTATCAGGGCCCCAAAATACGGTACACTGGTCTGAGGAGCTTCGGTGAGCTGCCCGAATTCCGAGCATGAGTCCCCTATGCTCTAGATCCTTGCCCTAACCGACCAAAACCTACTGTTTCGTAGGGTCCCTATGGTACGAATCTACAAAAAAAGTAAGTTATGGTAGTCCACTTGGAGGTTCATGGGTAGTTATAAGTAGAGTTATAAGCAGGGTAACTGTACTTATAACCCATAATAGGGGACTTATGACCCTACTTATAACTACCCATGAACCTCCAAGTATGCAAAACCCTAGAAACCCCAAACCTACCCTAAACCCCAACACCCTAAACCCTAAACCCCCCCCCAAACCTACCCTAAACCCCAATGCTGGTCCCCCATGCTCTCGAGCCTTGTGCGCCGTCTCTGCCACCGAGGACAGGCCAGCGAGAAGGCCCTCCAGAGCTCCCTTGCCCTGCAACATAGGGTTTAAGGGGATAGGGGTTTAGGGGTTCAGGGGGATAGGGGTTTAGGGGTTTAAGGGGATAGGGGTTTAGGGGTTTAGGGGGATAGGGGTTTAGGGGCTTAGGGGTTTTAGGGTTTAGGGGTTTAGGGGTTTAGGGTTTAGGGTTTAGGGGTTTAGGGGCTTAGGGTTTAGGGGTTTTAGGGTTTAGGGTTTAGGGGCTTAGGGGTTTAGGGGTTTAGGGGCTTAGGGGTTTAGGGGTTTAGGGTTTAGGGGTTTAGGGGGATAGGGGTTTTTGGGATTTTGGGATTAGGGTAATGCAGGGCGGGTATAGGGGTTGGGCTTATCTTGTCAGCTCCTGCCTTTGAAAGTCTGGTTTGTTAACGCTCTTGTGAAGGTTTTTTGTTGCGTGTTGAGGGTTTAGATTCAGATTTGCGGACCCCGAAAACTGACCGCATAACCTACGGTCTCTTGCCCATGGGGCCTTACCCGCAAATCATCCTAGACCCTAAAGCTAAAGCCTGATATCGGGGCCTATAATAGTCAGAATAGGGTTTCATACTATAATACTATGATGATAATAAGGAAACCCCTAAAAAGTATAGTTAATTATGAAGGCCCCTATGTTAAACCCGTGCCCAGGCGTCCAATCTTCCCGTGCTTATCTTGAGCCTCCGGATTAGAGGTTGGGGGCCTGGGATGTAGTTCTGCCGTCTTAGCCCATTCTACGATAACACCGGTCTGGCTTTCCGCCCCAGCCGGGCTAAACGACGCATCTCCCCACGCATGAAGCTGACAAGCCGCGTCAACGTCTTGAAGCTCGCTCACCTTGCCGTACAAGAGACCACGGTCCGGAAACTTTCGGAGGTAGCGAATGATGGCATGGCAGTACTGGATAATTAGCCTTTTGGGGCCTCTTAGCTGCCACATGCGCAGCTCGACTCACGGACCACGCTATATCCGCCCTCGTCTTAGTGGCCATCCACGTGAGCTCGCCCAACTCATACCTTACCCCAAATTGGTGGGTAGCTTGTGCGAAAGTTGTACATGTAGGAGTATATTACAAACCCGATGCTGAATCAGCCTTCATAGCCCTACTTCTCAGAAACTCCAGCATTGCTCATCTAGACCCTCCGTTGTAAGCTTTTGGGTGGGTCGGTTCGTTTATGTTTGCAGTGTCCTAGCCATAGACCTGGTTGATATGTCGGTTAGACTCACAACAAAGAGGATAAGTATAGTGTACATGCAGGGAATGAGAAAAACAACTCCTGAAGATCCACCCTTAGTCCCAAACCCTGAACATGTCCATAGAGTATAGATATATCCGTATATCTATATATACACATACGTACGTACACACATACATACATACATGCGGGTACCCAGCAGCCAGTGGTGCAACCCCCAAAATTGTGATGGCCTGCGCGGCTCCACCTCCCTTCAAATAAGTGGCGGTAGCACCTCCGGGCTGGCGTTTAGGACTTGATCGGAATTCTACTGATTTCATCATCCTGTTTATGGGGTTTGCACAGATGATGGATCAGTCAGGTGGAGTCATAAGCATTCTAACCCCGGTTCGGTGAAATTCCGGGTTATGGCCAGGCAGACTCGAGTTTCTTCCAGGATTCAGGGCTGAAGTTTTTAGGCACACCTGCATTTTACTTGGAGGGTCGGGGGACTTAGTAGCTGGTTATTTTAGGGACTTATAAGTACCATAACCCCCATTAGGGTCCCTTTTAGGGTACTTATAAGTCTACTTACTAACTACTTACTAAGTCCCCCGACCCCCAAGTACAGGTCTTGAAGTACCCTGCACACCGAAACCTGACCTAACACCCCAAACTCGCTCTAAACCCCAAAGCAAGTACAGACCATAGACACCCTTGAGACGAGCAGTGAACTGACCACCGCTCAGAAAAGAACCGCCAAGGCCTGAACCGTGCGTGCAGCGAGAAAAAGCTACTACCCTAAGGCTCCATGTGCCCATATAGTAGATACTTAGGCCTTAAAGTACCTTTTTAGGGACCCCTTTAAGGCCTAAGTACCTACTATATGGGTACATGGAGCCTTTGGGCTACCTGCACCGAAACCTGGAGTCTGACCTCAGACCCAAAGATTAGAAGCTGCCCCCACCCTGTAATAGTGGTCTACTATTTGCTTAAGAACCCCACCCCAAAAAAAATAAAAAATATATTCCTTATGGGTGTAATATAGGGATTGTTATTTTTAGGTTTTGGGGGCTTCTTAAGCAAATAGTAGTGGTATAGTAGGAGTAGAATAGGGCCCTATAAATAGTCCTTATAGTCACTATTACAGGGTGGGGGCAGCTTCTAACCCAAAGACCTCAACCCGGAGAACAGACCGAGACCGCCCATCCCAGACTTTCACCAACACCCTGAACCCTGAACTGCCCAGACCTTCCAAAATCCCTTAATTAAGGAATATACCTTAGTTCATATAAGGGGTCCTATTATAATTTAAGGTATATTCCTTAATTAAAGGATTTGGGAAGGTCTGGGTGCACTCCAGCGCCCTTACCACGTAGAATAGGTGTCTTTACAAGGGTTCTTGAAGGCTTCTACAATGCTCACTGTACTGGTTACTTTAAGGGTTCGGTGATGTAGGGGCCGTAATAATCACAAGGCAGTTTGGGGATATGCCATACTATTTGTATGAGAACCACGAGATCCCAATACCCCTTAATTACGGAATATACCTCAAATCCTAATATTAAGGGCTCTCTAATTTTAGGTATATTCCTGAAATACTGGGCATCGGGTTCTCTGGGAATGGAGCCCTAAGGAATCGTATCGGTAAGTACTTAGGTTCAAGGCCTTTGAACCTTGAATTCGGAATTAACCTGTTGACAGCTGGAGCGAATACTGTCTTCCCAGACCTCTTTAATTTAAGGATCCCCAAAAAGAGTCCCCCCCCCCCCAAAAAAAAAAAAAGTCAGTTCGTGGCTTATCATTGCCCTAAACTGCTAAAGACCTGAGCCGATAAACCCTACACCATGTTCCCAGAGACTCCAATATCCCTTCATTAAGGAATAGACTTTAAATTTTAGTAAAATCCCTAGTTACTATGATTTTAAGGTGCATTCCTTCATTAAGGGATAGAGTGCCTGGGTTGTGTCGGGTTAGATAACTCCCATATGCTACCGCGATGGAATTAGGTCCTAAGCATCCTTCTTATGGTTTTTGGGGACCTAGCGCAAACAAACGTAGTGCACAACCCTAAACCCTAAACCCTAAACCCTAAACCCTGGTACACCCCAAGCGGGTCCTACAAATCGGAGGTCGGGCGACGTCTGAAGCCTTTGACTCTCTCAGTCCCACGGTTGAGGGTTATATATATATATATATATATATGTATATATACATATACGCAGAGGGTTTAGGGTTTAGGGGTTATTTGGATGGGGATTTCGGGTGATTAATGATTAAGGCTCGGAGTTGTTTTAAAGATTAAAGATGAGCTGATCGCCAACGCCGGCTCTCAACCCTACACCCTAGAAGACCATCGTTCGACCTCCCTGGTCCAAATACTGCATGCTGGGATTCAGCTGGGAGCTGGGGTTTGGAGAGATGCCACTCTCCCTACATAACCCCAAGCCTAAACTCAACATGGAAGCTAAACGAACTACCTTTTCAATGACATATGTCAGGGTGCTGGGCCCTCTCTGAGCTTTTAAGTGCTTGGCGCTGGAAAGCCTACATCCTGAAATGCGAGCTTGTGGCCTTTGATAGCACCGCAAGCGGTGTGCCCGAGCCTCAGTTAAGCATTCGCAGGGTTCAACCTAAAAAGCCTGGTTCCGCAAGCTTTCCACAGGGATTCTGCAAGTGTGACTATAAGGCTGTTTTACGAGTGCTGTTAAGCGTTTAGGGGTCAGGGTCTACGACTGTCGCTGTCTCCTGCTGCAGCTAGGAAATGAGATGAAGAGGTCAAGGTCGCGGGTTCAACAGTTTAAGGTGTGTGGGTGTATGGGGTCTATACAGCACTGTGTCTTTGCATGTCTATCGTTTTCCCAAAGGGTCCAAACATACTACCATTATGGAACTGGGTCCTAAAAGACCATCCTTACCATGGTTTAGGGGCCACCTTGCAGAATACTAGTATATATGGGTGGTTGTCAAAATAAGGGTCCCGTTTTGGGTATCATAAATATTTGGTGCAGAATTAACATAGGATAGGGACCCAAAAAAGGACCCTAATTTTGACAACCACTCATATGGACCCTCTCGGCTTAGCTCTCGGTCAGGGTATTTAGGGCACTTGAACGACTTCCCGATACTTGAGCCTCCTCAGATTTGGGGAGCATGTGCACTTAAGCTTTTTGGAGACTTACATGTGGGTGGTTGTCAAAATTAGGGTCCCTTTTTGGGTACCCTAAATAAGAGGTGCCGTATTATAATAGGGACCCCAAAAGGGACCCTAATTTTGACAACCACCCATGTAAGATGTAAGTGCCAGGTTACTTTAAGCCGAGAGCCATCTTGCTTGCAGCCGTACTTGCACGTGGCTTACAAGGGGGCCGTTTTCGTGAGCACCGGGTTCGATGGGGTCGTGTAGTAGCAACAGGAGCCCTAAGGAATACGATTCGCACTTCATGACATTAAAGGAGGCTTCGGGGACGTTAGGGTGCAAGTAGGGTCCTGCTCTCGACATCGCATCAGCCGAGTTCCGAAAGTCAAAGCGGTATTGCCACGCGGCGAAGGCGACAGTATGGGTTCTGGCCTTACTATAGTGGCCTTAACAAATAGAATAGGGTTTTGGGATACATTACTATATAGAGCCAGATTAAGGAACCTCCACAATAGTATTGGTAGTTATGCAGGCCCCTATATTGGTATGCTTTAGGGCTTGGCGCTCTTTTTCTAAGTCCGACTTGCTGAAACCACATCGATCAAGAACCCGCGGCCACAGGGAAAGACTGTCTGGTGTGGACACGTTTTGATTGTATATCATATCCTGCACCCCCTAAACCCCATTAAAACAAGGCGGACTCAGAGAAACAAGATCCAAAAGCAACGATTCCAGAACTCTCAACTTTCACTAACTCTCCCAGAAGCCCAGTCGCCTAGAGTAATTATAGAGTAGGCTTATATGCAGGGTGTAGCAACAACCCGTGTGATAAGTGGGCTTCTACTTGGAGGTTCATGGGTAGTTATAAGTAGGGTTATACGTCCCCTAATATGGGTTATAAGTACAGTTGCCCTACTTATAACCCTACTTATAACTACCCATGAACCTCCAAGTAGGATCACTCACAAGGCCGGGTCACACGAGCACGAGTCGCGTCTTGAGCGCAGCAGTGCCTCTTCAACCGCGTCTTTGATCTCTCGGTGCTTTACCCTAAGGCTCCATGTGCCCATATAGTAGATACTTAGGCCGTAAAGTACCTATGTAGGGACCCCTTTAAGTAGGATGGGTACATGGATCCTTTGGGTTACTTAGGGTCGTTCACAGGGTTTAGCGGCCTCACATGAGAAGAGCGTCGAGATATCAAGCGAAGCGAAGCAAGGGCACACACATGTAATAGTCGCTAAAACATCCGACAGCCCAACGGAACATCCTGACACAGAACACCAGCTTTAATTTGTAAGATCGTTATAAGTTGCATACCCCCTGATCCTTCAAGTCTACGGCTTTATACAGCCCTATGGCACCAATTCGAAACCGCCATGCCGCGACACTCACAAAAAAACAATTAACCTGGTCGCCGCAGTTCGTGCCTGCCCAAAAGCTAACGAGAATCAAAACCCAAAGATAATGTCTTCGAGCTATACAGCATTATGAGATCGAGGCTATGACCATGTGGAAACCATGTTCTATCTATGCGGGCCCTTACATTATCGATGTAGGGTTCAGGGCTTCAGGGGTTGCTAGTGATCAGACCACACACATCCGAAACTCGAACCCTGCTCAGCTTGGGTTGTCAAGCTGACGGCCCAACGTTGACAAAGCTTCGAGACTCCAACATCTCCTTAACGACAGGTGTCCGTACTGAAGATCTCAGCTATAGTCATAGTCTGAATCTGAAGAGTATGCCTCCTGATTGAGGGCCTCTACTAGAATTAATTTGAGGAATAAATTCCTTCAACTAAAAAACCCAGCTTTCAAATGCGTTGGAGCTGCAAAACTCGAGGCTGCCCACGATGCTTCCCCTCGCTTGGGTCACAGTGTTTCCTGCCTGTATGACACACAGGGTTTCGGGTTAGGGAGAGTGTAGGGTTTAGGGTTTAGGATCCTTCTGTCCATGTATCTCTCGGCCGAGCTGCCCATCCATCTGCCTGCTTATCTTTCTATCTATCTTACCAACCTACCGGGCTACCTGCCTAACTATCGATCTACCTACCTGCCTTCCTGCTTGCCTCCCAATCTGTCTATCTAACGTTCTACCGCCTGTCTATCTATGCTTCTATCTACATAATGCCCTATCTCCCTGTCTCGGCAAGGACTCCCTTGATTCCGTTCGTTGGCTTGTGTGCTTTCCGTTTCGCTTAAGCTTGAATCCGGTTCATTCAAGTACCGCTACTTGCGTGCATTGCTGCATTCATTGCAACCATCGTGTTCACTGCATTCGTTGCATGCATCGCATTTAACCATCCATTCATCTATTCAGTCATTTGCTCACGAGTCACTCAACCACGGCATTCGTCGATTCATGCATGAACCATTCGTGATGCAAGTGCCGGCTTACATCTGACCACGAAGTGCAGAAAGTCAATCGTGGTTCCCGGCGACCAATCCGTACATACATTGACATACATATACGTATGTAATATATATATATATATATATACACACACACACCCACAGTGTCTGTCTATCTCCCGCCACATAATTATACATACATATATATATATATATATATGTTTCTGTTTGTTTTATTAACTTATACATATATCCATGACTGCACTTCAATATAAAGACCTCAGCTCTAAGAACCGCAAAGGCTGAAGTTTTGCACCGAGTGTGGGAAACAACAGGCGACTGCAATCGGAACACCAAGTGTTCATGCTGAGAAGCATCAGGGATGTTCTTCTGGATGTTTAGGTAAACTTTGGGGTTCATATTTAGACTACTTTGGGGCCTCTGGGTAAGGCCGTATCTGTTCTTCGGGATGCAGGTCCTCAGCAAAACGGATGTCAGGGTTTCGGAGTTTTGGTGTAGGGCTGCCGGGCATCAGAATAGAGGCCAAGTGTCGTTTCGCATGACGAAGACATCACCCGGCAGGACATCGAACACCAACTCCAGGGGGACCTCGCTTGGCTTGGGAATCTGGGTTGGTGGCATTGTCCCTACATGAGGCTTGTTCAGCGTTGCAGGACGGTGCACGGTCCGTGCACGCCACGGATTCTTTGCACACCTTCTCTGGCACGGTTGTACGGAGATTGCTGACTATGTGGCGTTTGGAGGGCTTGTTGAATGGCTGGACTATATGAATGCCGGCAAAAACCTGCGCCTTAATTAAACCCAAAGTCCTACACCACCACAAACTGGCTGAGCGTAGAAGGCATTGTCTTGAGACAGGAAGCCTCAATCTTCCACCTGATGGCCTCCCAACACGAGCGTAGCCGGAAGTTTTAGGTAATGCATTTCGTGGGCGCGTGGCTTTTGTCTCTTGCTCTAAGGGCTTATGCGGCTTAGGTGCCTCTTTTTCGTCGGGTTCCCTTGCACTTCCAGCAGCGATGGAACAATCACGTGCAAGACACGACAGACTCACGAAATGCAAACACACAGAACGTACTCTACTACATAGGAAGCTGACAAGCAACCTCTGAGCAGAGCGATGCAAGCAAACACTAAGCATTCAGAGATCACGTCCGAAGGGCACGCGAGTCAGCGCAGCCGACAATGGCCTTAGTCGATAGGCAACGTCTGCTCGACAGCGGTCTGCAGAATGTGCACCGAAAGTGTGAGCTCTTGTGGACAAGTAGTAGTTGGAAATCTGTGTAGATACATGTCCATATTTGTATAAATATATACATGCCCATGCTTTGCCGTGTGTTCACATAGCGCTGTTGCTTGCTTGCTTGCCTGCCTGTCTGCCTGCTTGCTGGCTTGCTTCTTTCCTTGCATACTTACTCACTTTTACTCACTTCGGCGAACCTCTTCAGAAGCTGTGGCCCAAAGGACATCGGTAGGCGCACACACACACAGAACAATGTGTGAGTGTGAGAACACACGAACCTGCATGGCACAGGCGGTACAGGATTCAAGCTACCTGCTCACTGGTTGTTCTTCTTCAACCGGGCACCCTAAACCCTAAACCCAAAACTCTAAACCTATAAACCCTAAACCCTAAACCTATAAACCCTAAACCCTAAACTCTAAACCCTAAACCCTAAACTCTAAACCCAAAACTCTAAACCCTAAACCCTAAACCCTTGTACGGAGTCGTGGAGTCGTAGAGGACCGCTGCAACACGGACGAGACCCAAAACTCCGAAGTCGACCTTTAGGGCTACAGGCTTAGGGTTCACGGTTTAGGAACCCAAAGGGTCCTAGGTACTGTTATGGGGGATACCTGCCCAAATCATAATAGTAATTCCTAATATAGAAACCCTACATTCTACTATAGAGGTACTTTGGACCCTTTGGAGAAGGCGTAGGGCTTTTAGGGTTTCAGGGGTTTAGGAAGGCGTAGGGCTTTTAGGGTTTAGGGTGTTCTAGGAAGGTGTAGGGATTCTAGGGTTTAGGGTTTCAGGGTTAGGGGGTTAGGGTTTAGGGTTTAGGAAGGTAGGTAGACCCTCAACTGCTGGTAAAACCCATACCTAAAGTCTCCATTGTAGTTCCTTTTCTTGGTTAGCCCAAAATTAGCCCAAAAACCTATACTATAGGATCCTAACCATAAAACTGGTTAACCAAAAAAAGGAACTACAATGGGGACTATAGGTAAACCCTAAAGGGGTCCCTGTATAGGTACTTTGAGGCCTAAGTACCTACTATATGGGCACATGGAGCCTTAGGGTGGTAAACCCATGAACCCAAAACTTCATGCTGACAGGCTTCCGTGTGCGGTGCCTGGCCAATGGTCGCCAGGGCCTTTCCTCGCCAGGGTGGAGAGACTAAACCTAACCCTAATCCCTAAACCCTAAACCCTGAACCCTAAACCCTAAACCGTGTGGGGCCGATAGCTCCGAGGTTCAATTCTTCGGGTTCAGAGTTTTACGTTTCAAGCTACATGCTTACGGGTTGACGCTTGGACATTTAGGAGGACAGCCTCGTATACGGTATGCGCTTGCAGGCTTGCTAAGCAAACCCCCTGCCCCGGAGCAGAATCATGTCCATGGGTTTAGGGGTATTCTTGCAAGTCCTCAAGCTTTTTCCCACGAAGGGGTATGACCATCTCGCGTGGCTCAAATGTCACATCTTTGCTTTGCATACGGTCTTAAAACAAACAAGTCCACGAGGGTCCATATGTGCTGCTAGTATTATGGAATTGGGCGCTGAAAGACCGTGCCTGTCCTGCATTTTGGGACTTAGTGGCATGGTTCTGGCACATCTGGGGCGTCTTGGCAAGATATAACCCACGCTCTCTGTATCCCACGCTTCTGACTTCCCAAACTCTAATCGGAGTAACCAATGAACTTGTCGTGTGCTCACGTTGCATTCCATATCCTCATTCTGAGGTGCTTTCCATCCCAGGCGAGCTGCCCAGAAATTTCTGAAAACCCTGAAACGAGCATAAGGAAGGTTCGGGGCTTTAGGGTTCAAGGTTAAGGGTGTGGATGCCGTGAACAGGATCCCCATCATGATTTACGATAATATCTCGGTTGCTTAGCTGTTACTGGAACCCCGACCTTAACTTTGTCTAGGGTGTGGGTTTCCCGCTGTCACAAGCCCTAGCCCTAATCGTGGTTCCTCGGTGTCCCCATATTGATGAGGGCGCATTTTCTCTTGTTGTTCAAAGTTGATAAGAGATTCCTCAAATAGACGGACAAGAGGAACCTACGTAGATGTTTGCAGACCTGAATTTCATAGTTGATTTTAGAGTGGGTTTGGTGGGGCTTGTTGCTACACGCATAATATTCAATTAAGGAGCCCGAAACAATCATTGCAAGCTATTCTAGCGGGCCCCTATACAAACCCATGAACCGCACAACCCCCCCTCAAAACCCTACGGGCCCACAAAGACACAAACTACGCTCAACTCATCTTCTCCGCTATAGTCCCAAATAGTTATACTACAAGATAGTCCCCAAACCCTATTCTGGTGATTAGAGCGGAGTCACGCATTTGCCCGTCGAACTTGCCGGCCAGGGTGTTGCCATGGGCGAAGCCTTGGGCGCTGACAGCGTGAGGGCCTTCATCATGCTGCTTTCGGTGCTTATGGTATTTACAAGGCTTTTGCTTGGTTTCTTGAGGTGGTTGTAGCGATTTAATAGGTGGCCTTGATCATTGTAGATTATAGGAAGCGGATAACTACAGCTTCAAAATGTTTCAAACTTCTATGGTCCTGCTGCTTTTCAGTGTGTTGAGGTGCGATCCTAAGACCTCAACCCGAAACCATGTAATGTAGGAACCTGATTAAGCAAGCCTGGGCCTATAACCCCAAAATAAGGAACCCTAACAAACCCTCAACACCCTCAACCCAAAACCAAGCGGCGCTCATTACCCTCCTTCATGATCTTCAGCGCGGCCTCTTGCTTGAGATGGCTTAGGGTTGAGAGGATCAGGGAACTTACTGTGATAAGCAGGTTCCGGAAAAAAGGGATACCAAGTTGGTCATAACTAGATATAGGATATACTTTGAGCTATGCGTAAGATTGGATGAACTGAGTTCTTTGTTGAACCCTGTTAACCCTAGAAAACCCCAAACCTCTGGAGTTGAACTCTAATCCCCTATCACGAACCTGAACCCTAAACACAAAAAGTGTTCAAACCCGAATCCGAAAGTTTTAGGGTTGCTTATTATAGTTTCCTTATTTAAATCCTTAAGACGGTAGGTTATTCCCGCCTAAGGTAAAGCCTCAACCCTAAGGTTCAAAGGGCTGATATGTGAGAAGGCTCTGGGGTCGTTTGGGGTTTACTTCTGGGCTTAGGACTTAGAGTCTTGGGGTCTAGTTTGGGGTCTAGGGTTTAGGGATACTATATACCCAGAGATCCCAATACCCCTTAATTAAGGGAATATACCTTAAATCATAATATTAAGGCCTCTATAATTTAAGGTATATTCCTTAATTAGGCGGTATTATAATTTAAGGTATATTCCTTAATTAAGGGGTATTGGGTTCTCTGGGTAAGGGGCCTCAATATTATGATTTAAAGTATATTCCTTAATTAAGGGGTATTGGGATCTCTGGGTAAGGCAGCGACCTGAATCTCGGTACCCGGAGCCGTCGCAACAGCTAGAACCTCAACAGGACTAATCCTGCACCAGTTACCCAGGGGCCCCAAAGTGGTTCCTTTTTGGGTAGTATATTCGAGTCCCTAATCAAAAAAGAGGTCACACCCAGAAAAGAAACTACTTTGGGGCCCCTGGGTAAGTGTTTCGGGGTTTAGGTTTTAGGTTTGGGCTGAGGGTTCACACATCCACCAAGCCCTGCCAACGCCCGAAAGCACCAAACTAAGGCACCGACGAATCCTCAAAACTCCCATAAATACCCAGAAAGCCTGCGACAACACCCTCGTGACCTAAACAATCCACCCCCTTGACCCCAACAAACCTAGAACCTTAACTTACCACCCTCCCCCCTGTGCCCCGAAAAACCCTCAAATCTGCAAGCCAGAAGAAACAAAAACACAATCCTCTGGCTCGCCTCCGGGGCCATCGGGGGGTCCTTTACAGGAGGTCTCACGTGCTTGTCGCGCTGGGGCTGTTTGGGGTTTACAGGGTTTGTGGTTTGGGTGTTGAAGGTTCCGGGTATCCCAAACTCCTCAAAAAACCCACCCACCCTATAAAACCTGTGAGCAGTAAATAAAGGCCCTGTAATCCCTGTAAATCCAAATTAAACCCAAAACCCCTAAACCCTAGACTCAACCCTAAACTTGAACTCTGTAGAATAACAGCATTTTTTTGGGGGGGGTTGGGCCAGTATTCTACCTGCTTTCCGGAGGTTAGGTAAGGCCTAAGTCAATCTAGGGCGCATGGTATGCTTCTTGCTCTAGGCTTACGGCTTTAACGCTTCGGATCTTGTCATCCTCTGATTTGCCATCAGCTTGCCAGGCCTTAAACTATTACTAGTATTACTAGTATTATCAGTATTGTTTTTAATATTACGTTTTAGTTTTACTATTACTATGTATTATTGTATCATATGATTCGTATTAATACTAAACTAAAGAGCAATTCCCAGAGATCCCAATAACCCTGAATTAAGGAATATTGCTTAAATCATAATCTTAAGCCCTTTTTTAAGGTATAATCCTTAATTAGGGGGTATTGGGTTCTCTGGTATGGGCCTTTCGCGAAGCCACGAAAGTTCGGATCAGTCACCCTGTAGACTGGAAGAAGATCCTTGTCCATGCAACTCTGGCCAGTTACCTCACAGCGTCTTGCAAAGATACTTACAGCAACCCTACACCCTAATCCGCCGAAACCCTAATCGGCACTATGTCTTGCACATGTAATGAGACCCCCTGTAAGGCAATGAAATCGCAGCCTCGGAGGTGGAGATGAAACTGCCCGATTAACGGGTTCAGGAGCTTATGGTTAAGAGTCTAGGGCTGCAAACCCTAGAACACCAAATCCATTATGCCTACCAGTCAGACCCTGGCTAGATATTATTGAGTTCGCCCGCAAACCCGTGGGTCACCAAAACAGGAAAGCCTGCAAAACCTCAAATGGCACATGCCAGAACCCGAGCATCTTAGCCTCCTCTATGAAATCATTGTTAAACAGTGTTTAGAAATCTCAAGTGTAGAACTCTGGCAGAACTCTTAGAAAACCCTTGCTGAACCTTAGTAGACTAATACCCTGACTAAACCTTTAAACTAAAATTTGTCGACCCAACCACCTTAAACCCCTCTTGAGGGTTTAGGGTCATATTTAGGTCCGTTGACTGAGGGATCCCTTGTTGATGGGCTTACAGTTCAGGGCTTTAAGGTCTGGCGTTGGGGAATCCCTTCCGTTTAACTTGGAGGTCTCAAAAGCTGGGATGAAAGTATGTAGGATTCAAGAACTCTGAGTTTGGGATTCACCGAAACCCTACCCCTGACCCCAAATCTCAACCCTGCACCCCAAATATCAACCCTAAACTTCAAACCCCCAATCTAAACCCTAAACCCCAAACCCCCAATCTAAACGCTAAACCCTAATTAAACCCCAAATCTAAACCCTAGACCTATACCGACCTATACCCTAAACCCGAAACCCAAACCCCTCAACCCGAGCCCTTCGAGCACAGTCCCATCCCGTCTCCTGCGGCGTCCGCACGGATGCGCGGCCCAAAGCCACGTCCATGGAGGGAGGCAAATTTGACTTGGAGGCGGCGAGGAGAGCCTTTGTTACGGCGCTGATTATTGTTATTGTAGTTTTAATATTAGTATATTCATATTAGTATTAATATTAGCAGTAGTCTTATAACATGTATATTAACATCTTATTACAGGGTTTATAGGGTTCCGGTCAGGGGTTTGCGGCTTTAGAGGTTACGGGTTTAGGGGTGTAGGTTAGGGGTTTACGGGGTTTGGGGTTCAGTTTAGGAGCTTCGGGATTCAGGAGTTCAGGGGTTTAGGGGCTTAGGGGTTCATGGGTCAAGGGGTTGAGGGGTTCAGGGGTTCAGAGGTCTGGGGGTTTAGGGGATGAGGGCTTTGGGAGTTTAGGGTTTAGGATTCAGGGAGATCTTCTCGAGGGTTAAACTGTGGATATGACTGATAAGGTGCTTACACGGGTTTTGGATGTAGGGAGTTGTTAGTTGGGTTAACGGGGTGACAAGCGTTTATAGACTTACGGAAGCTTATGGTTTGGAGGTTTAGGATGAACCGGTTAGGGTAAAGGATGTTGGGGTGCTTCAACCTTCGCCATGCTTCTATTGTTGTTGCATTCGCACATCATGAGTTGGGTGGTTGTCAGAATTAGGGTCCCGTTTTTGGGTACCCTAAATATTAGGTGCCGTATTATAATGAGGACGCGAAAAGGGACCCGAATTGTGACAACCACCCAATTGAAGTACTCCACTCTGACCCGCGGCAGTCGGTGATTTCGGTGCCGTCGTGGCAGTACAGGAAGTAGACGCTCCAGTAGGACTTCCACCAGACGGCACGCATGTGCCCGCAGCCTTTGCCTGCTTTTTTGCACTCGCGCTGACGATGGTCCTCTGCGCCGCACACCAGCCACTTCTTCGCCCTCTCTTGCTTTGGCAATGCGCCCGTATCGTGAGAGAAAGGGCACTTCTGTCCTCTCCTGCATCCCACAGCTTTGAAGAGGTACTTGCATGGCAGTTGCATCAGATTTTCGTGTAACTTCTTTTTCAGTAGCGAAAATGTTTGCTGAGACTGCTGTCAGTGGCATCATGCCTGCTGCTGCTAGTGCCAGCGCCTACGGCGACGCATGCATGGGGTTCCAACATGGCTGCTTCGGATGCTACAGAACCGACAACGACTGCTGCCAAACTTCTGGTGAACTATGTAAACACTCAAGACTACCGTGGCAGTAATTGCTAGTATGGTATAGGGCGCCTTCTCAATTTGAATAGGGTATTGGTTCATATTATAGCATGCTCACAATAACTAGCGAACCGGTAGGAATCATATTTGTAACTGTTCAGGCTTGCATACAACCACCCCCAGGCACCACTCGGTGCCGCAAAGATGCCGAACTAAGATCAGGCAAGATCCTTTTTCCGTGCACTTAAAGGGCACTACAAGGCTAATAACATACTGAAAAGGTTTAGGGTTTAGGGCACTACAAGGGTACTAGAGCATGTGCCAAAACGGTAGAGTGCTATAAGATACTACAAGGGTTTTCGAAATCTCCAAACCCCTAAACCCTAAACCGCGAAAACCCTGAAGTGAAGCCTCGCACCCAAAAGTGAATCTCGGAAAGTTGGAACATGGATTTGGGATGATTACTGCTTGGACCCCCTAGCTTCTATCTCTCCAGGACATGAGGATTTTGATGTTCCAACTTTCTGGTTCAACTCATGGTCCCTTTGAACCTAAGCCCTACATCCTACACCCTATATAAACCCTAAAGCCTACCCCAAACCCCTAAACCCGAAACCTGGACCTCTGAACCCTAACCCCTAAACCCCTAAAGCCCTGACCCCAAAGACTATACCCTAATAGTACCCTTATACTATCCCTTTAAAGGATCTCTTTCAAGAGCCCTATTCTAATTAGTGGAATCCCCAACCCTGAAGCCTACCCTAAACCCCTAAGGAACCCTTAAAGGTTAAAGGAACCCCAAATGAACCCTGGACCCTGTTTCCAATGTCCGAGGCCGGGAACCCCTTGCTCCGGCGATCGGCCCAGGAATTCCACCTGGGAGTTCCCGAAAATTAGGGTCCATTAAAGTTCCTTCAAAGGGTTACTATAAGGGTACCATATGGACTCCTTTAAGGAACATGGGTTGCCTTTAAAGGGATCCATAAGGGTTCCCTTAAAGGGATCCATAAGGGTTCTATAAAGGGTTGTAGTGTTTAGAGTTTCCGAAAATGGCGGTGCCTTATTTGGGGGGGTCCTAGGGTTCCTTCTAAGGGTTCCCTTCAAGGTTCCTTTAAGGGTGCTACAGGGTATTTGGGTTTAGGGTTTAGGGGTTTAGGGTATTTGGGGTGCCTTATTCTGCGGTCCTTCAGTTAAGGATCCTACTATTTAAGGTAACTTTTTAGGGTCCCCTATTTTCGGAAACTCCCCTATCGGCCCTAGGCCCTGAACCCTTAACCCTGCTACATTAGGGTCCCGTGTTGTTGGAAACTCCCACCTTGCCGGTCTCCAGGTCGTAAATGCCACCTCCAAGAAAGGGCTTGGGGTTTAGGGCTGATACGGTTTATAGAGTTTATAGGGTTCAGGGTTTTGGTTTAGGGCCTATGGCCTAGGGTTTAGGGTTTGGGGGTTTAGGGTTTTGGGCTTAGCGTTTGGGGCGTTTCAGGTTTAGGGTTTCGGGACTACCAGTCTCCGTGTCGTGATGCCAACTAGACGGAAGGAATATTCAGGGTTGAGGGTTGCTTTCATAAGCGGTTTAAAAAGGTTACCATATAAATCAATAATATGGGTGGCTACAATTGGCTGTTCTAACCCTGAGGGTCCAAGTATCTAATGATCATCTACTCACCAAAACCCTAACCTACATGACTACTATCCTAAAACCGAGTACCTAATTCTTGGGTCCTTTGGACCCTTGGGATAAAGGTTACCATAAGGATTAAGAGAAAGGGGTTACTATAAGGCTCTGCAGGTCGTAGATGCCACCCAGACGGAAGGCCACGGCCCGGTCAGGGGCTTAGGGTTTGTAGGGTTTTGGGCTTTGGGGTTTAGGGCTTTAGGGTTTGGGGTTTGGGGCTTTAGGGTTTGGGGCTTTAGGGTTTGGGGTTTAGGGGTTTGGGGTTTAGGGGTTCTGCTTGAACCATTGGGTTCAGGGTTTCTTGCCCGACCAGCGGTAAGGGCTTTGCTCCTGGTCACTGGCGCTGCTGCCGCGCCCTGTCAAGGAGCCCTGAAAGGTACCCTTACCTTAAACCCGGACCCCTAAATAAAGCCCCAAACCCCAACCCTAAACCCTAACCGCAAAGCCCTTAGAGGAAGACTTTAAGGAACCCTTAAAGGAGCCCTTAAAGGTACCCTTAAAGGTCGGGCTGCTGTGGCTGTGTCTCTGCATCAAGGACGCCTGAAGTGCAAAGAGCAAGGTTCAAACCTCCGCTACCATCCCTCAGTGAGCTCTAGAGTAAGAGTCGCAGCATTTAGAAGCGGTCGCGATAGTATTTCGAGTTTACGGGTTAAGCAGTATTGGGATCTCAATCTTGGGGCTGTATGCGGCTGTTGAAAGCTTACAACTAGCGGCTGTGCAGGGTGCCTTACTGTAGCAAGATCACCCTAAACCCTAAACCCTTGTAGCGGAATTCAATGAGTTGCACAATATAATCTATCACTTGTTTCTCTGATCAAAAGTCTTGGGCTCTCTTGGAAGCGTTGATATCCTAGAGCCCCAGACCTAAACCCTAAGTAAACCCCATCTCCGACCTAACAAGAACCCAGGTTCTCCCTCACATTGTCACATCACCTAATAATAGTCATGATAAGCAATACTAGCTATAATTACCATTGTATTTTATAATAATAACCATATTCATAATGATATTCACATCCTGCTCCCATCGCAATTTGCTACTTGCCTCTCGTAGGAGACTTGATGGATTCAGGGTCAGAACACTCTGGTACGGTTGAGGGTTTAGGATTTAGGGTTTAGGGTTTAGGACAAAGTTATCTACGATACTAGGTAGTAGGGTGCATTACGACATACTCAGTAGCCTAAGCCTAGGCCCAACTACCTGATTCTCATCACGGTGAACCCTGAGTTGTAGGGCCCCAAACAAGCACATAAGCAAAGATAAGGATAGGAATATCCCATACAAACCCCCTTATCATGAAGCCCAGAAAAGTTGGGATATCCCTGTAATATGCTTATGTGTATGTCCATTCTGGGCCCCCAAGTTTAATGCTTCTTCCCTTTTTTTCGCCTTGGAGGTCGACCTTGCCGCTGGTCACTGCATCGCGAAGTGGCTGACCTTCAGGAAACCAGAAGCCCTAAACCCCAAACCAGAAACCATAAACCGTAAACCCTGAACCCTAAAACCTAAAGCCTCACTATCCAAATACCACATACTCAATACTCTGCCAAATACTAGCCTACATTGCGACGTTTGGGGATCACGGGACTATAACCTGTATGCGCAATGCTTAGCCCCTAAACCTTGAACCCTAAGCACCAAGCTATGCTTGAAGATGAGGGGACTTGGCAAGCAGGTTCAAGCCAGAGTAGCGCAGAGGGATGCCACCACTTAGGGTACTGATAAAGCTACTTGTGAAATCACCTGCTCCTCTAGAGAAACCACGCCTCACCCACACAGCCACTGAGTCATCCCTGCATGTGCATGTCAAATAAGACAGTAAAGAACCTGGTAAGTTGAGCCAGGTAGGGGCTGTGCCAAACTATGTCTGCATATGCAAACCGCGGAGACTACTGACAACAGTTCGTTGAGGGCGAGGGTCAGTGTTGATGGCGACTACATCATCATCCGTACAAAGCTGGCGCCGCGGCCGCAAGAAAAAGACTGACGACACGAAGCCTGAAGCTCTCGAGACCCCAAACCTTTTGTGACACCGTTAAGCACCCTTGATTGCAGCGCTTAGGCTTTAAACCCCTGCGATACATCCAGACCCAAACCATAAGACTGGAACAACCCTAAACCCTAAAGCCGATCAAGACAGGCAGCTGAACTTCAGAAGGAATTCCATCGTCTGGAAGACATTCACCTCTGAGTTTCTGCAAGCCACGAGTTTGTGTGTGAGCTGGAAGGTTGACGGCGTATCGCTTTGGCGTGCATGCAGCAGGGTGCAAGGTGTTGAAGCAAAACTCTCAGCATACTACGACGACGACGACGACGCCTCCTACTACTACAACGACGACGACTACTATTATTATTTTCACTACTACTACTACTACTACTACTACTACTACTACTACTACTACTACTGCTACTACTGCTACTACTGCTACTACTGCTACTACTACTTCTACTGCTACTGCTACTGCTACTGCGACTGCGACTGCGACTGCGACTGCAACTGCGACTGCTACTGCTACTGCTGCTGCTACTGCTACTACTACTACTACTACTACTACTACTACGACTACGACTACGACTACGACGACTACTACTACTACTACTACTACGACTACTACTACTACTACTACTACTACTACTACTACTACTACTACTACTACTACTACTACTATTGAAGGGTGCCTTTTGTTCAGGGCTAGGACCTCAGGCTTAGCATGTAGCGTTCACTAGGGGGAACGATCTGAGGTTCAGGGCAGAGGTCTTTTCGGATGTAGGGTGGAAGGGTTGAGGGTTCAGGGCTTTAGGATTTAGGGTTTAGGGTTGAGGATAGAGAATGGGCAGTTGTGTCACCCTCCGACAAACAAAACCACACACCAAAAACATAAGCACGGAAACTAATACTTTGTCTGTATCTGCACGCTCCGTTGAAGCTCCCTTTCGGCTAGCCCACATTTCCTGTTGAGGATCCCCAAAAGAAATTCCCACATCCTTACCTACTCAGCTGCTGAGATCAGGTTTGGGCTGTAGAAGGGTTCCACAGGGTCATTCGACGCCTTTTTTTATAAGTCGAAGCATGAACATGTGTGTATCATGCGTATGTGTATGTGCATTTGTAGATGTAGACATACATACATACATACATACATCCATCCATGCATACATACATACATACATATATATATATATATATACATGTAAGTGTAGCTTTAGTCTTTTGGATAATGTTTGAAATCTTAAGGTCTGCTGCCGCAGAGTTGGGAGCTTTCAAGGTTTGTAGGAGGGCCAGAGTTTTGGGTTTGGGCTTGGACCAACTAGCCTCCGGCGATTCATGCTTTGGGGTCTGGGGCCAACCATGTCGGTGTTCAGTTAAACCTTTTTCTGAGATATCCCGACCTGAAGCCATGTGCAGAAGGCTTGGAAACAGCTGGCAGAGCGCCGACGGCGAATATTCCGAGATCAATGCTGCCAGCTAGGTAGAAGTGACTGTGTGGCATCACCCAGGAAACTTCCGGTTTGCGATTTGAGGCTGAGGGTGAACCTAAACCCGATCTTGTCAAACCCCTCAAAGCATGTCAAAGAACCCCACAACTCCGAAACATTCTCAGAACCCTTCAGCCTCAAAGCCTGACATTTAGGGGTTTGCAGTTTAGGGCTGGGGGTTTAGGGTTTAGGGTCTACAGAGTCTAGGGTTTATATAGGATTAAGCCTTAAACTGAACCCCGAACCCTAAACCCTGAACCCTACAAGTTCAGCCCCCTGCCTTCACCGCATGCGCAGCGATCTGCTCCGCAGTGGCACCCTTGCCCAGCTCCGCTGCAGCCTTGCAAGCAGATTGAAGCTAAGAGTCGGAATACCTAATACTCAGACATAGTATCACTATGTGTGTGTATATATATATATATGTAATTCTATATCTATATTTGTATATATGTAGATACACAGCAATGTATATGTGTGTGTGTATATATATATAGATACATATGTGTGTGTGTCTGTCAGGACTAGGTTTCCGCCAAAGTACTATCCTGAGCCCAACACCGTTTGCGCTAACAGCCTGACAGTCGGAACTTCAAGGGGGCGTGGAAGATCGGTTGAAGCTCACGGCTTGTGGGTTAGGGTTGAGTATAAGAGTTAGGGGCTTCAGGCAGATTTAGGGCTTTAGGGATCTGGGGTTTCAGCATGAAGATTTCAGATTCGACCGGTTCTGTAGCAGTGCTGGGTATGTATGTCTACAGCCTGAGGGGCGTATGGCCGTTTGACGCGTGTCTAGTTCTTCACACGGCCTTACTTTATAGCCTTGAAGTGCAGAACATCTCTGAGTCATGCAACTCAGGAGACGAACACTATCCCCTCTAAGTGCCACCGACACCCCCCCCCCAGCCCCCCTGAAACACTAAAGCCGTGACGATGGTGATTAGCCCGATGCTCCCAACCAGAAACCGACATCTCCCAAACTCGCAAGTCTAAACTCCCAAACCCCTTAACTCCTAAACTCCGCTAAACTGGACCTTCTCCGCAACGCCAGCGAGGTCAGCCAGCAGACCCTCCAGGGCACTTCCTTCGCAGATCTGCATTCGTGGTTTAGGGCTTAGATTTTTGTTGGTCGGCGTCCATGAATGACAAACTTTATGGGTGCCAAGAATTCGAAGGGTTTCGTCAGGGTCTCTCAACGGCTTTAATAAGCGTTCTTTTCTTTATCTTCTTCTGTATTTCTGTACCTGTATGTATATATATATATATGTACATAGGCCTATAGGCGTCGAGGGTTGACAGGCGGGTATCGGCGCTTTAACGAAGCTACACCCCAATCAAAGAACCCCAAATCGCCCAAAGCCGGTGTTACTCGAGACTCCTCGGGGCTTACACTTCGCGTTAGAACCCAAGTACCCATAACTAGGGGGTGCTGTTTAAAGCCTTTGAAAAATATCACTAGGCAAGATCCTCTTAAGCCCAATAAGAGCAAACTATAAAATGTCCCGAAGCCCTACCTGGACATTTTGGATACTTCGAACCTCGAGTGATGCACTTGCGACCCAATGCACTTGCGACCCACAGTCTACCTTCAAAAACTGATACCGCAATGCAGGTATTGGCAGCTCTCAAAGTGTCCATAATGGCAAGTCCTACGAACCACGATGAAAACACATGCACCCCCCTCATATAGGGGCCTTAATAACTAGACCAGGGTTTCGGGCGGCTATTGTATATTTATGATAAGGAACCCTAACCCTCAACCCTAAACCTGCACTGGCGGTAGAGGCCTTCCGCCTTGATGCAGGCTACACCCAAAGGCCCCAAATTAGTTCCTTTTTGGGATTACCTTATAGGACTCTAATTATGAACCACAAAAAGGAACTACGATGAGGCCTATGGGTAATAGCCAGCACCCATTAAGCTCAACCGTACACCGTTACACCGCGACACCCTAAGTCTCAAAACCCTAAAGTCAGGGGCCTGGGTCTTCGGGTTTCAGGGCTCAGGGGCACTCGACCCTAAACCCCCAAAACTCCTGAACCCTAAACCCCAACCCTACCCCCCACTGGTCCAAAACCCAAAGAAACAAAAGTTGAAACTCTCAGAAATCGACGACCTTATGATTAAGATCCCCAAAATTAGTTGAAAAGCTGAGTCTACAATAAGACTCCGAGCCCAGTCATCCCAGTCCTGGAGCTCCCTTCTCACCCTTGGCATCCTTCATGGCCAGGTAAGTCTGCGTGGCACCGACAATGGCCCCGCACTTCGTGTGGCCGAGCACCTCTCGTGTCTGCTGTTGCTTTTGAGGGTGTTTGTTGGGGCTGACATATATACATACGTACATACATACATACATACCTATTCCTGCACGCCCCTAAAACCCTAAACCCCTAAACCCTAAACCGGCATGAATGGAATCGAACGCCGCAAGGCTCTTCTCGCTCGCGGCCAAGATGCCATAACCAGTCGAGATCCCAGCTTGCCTCGGAACGCTTCGGTGTATCTAGAGGAACCAATGTGGGAATTTCTGAAAATAGGGGACCCTAACATAGGACCCCAAATAGTAAGATCCTTATTATAAGGACCCCAAAATAAGGTACCCTATCTGTTGATGCACAAGAAAGCCTTCAGTGTTGATGTCTCTTGAGTGCGGGCAGAGCTTTCGCTTACATGTAAAGGTCTTTGAAGGACTTATGCCCGCTTGTGCACTGGGCTCAGGGTGGGCTGCGGACATGCCCCTTGGGTCACATGACAAAGCATGCAGTGCAAAAACTTGTACAACTAGCATAGCATGCAGTCACGACTTTAAGCTTGTGTGTGTGGTGTGAAAAAGAGAAGACAGTGAAGTTTGTGCGCCATGGAAGCCCCGAGCGAGCCCGATTACAGTCAACTGCCAATACCCCAACCTGCGGCTGAAGATCAACAGGGTATGAGCCCAAATACTGCAAGCGCGACGGCCGCAGTCGATGCTTCAAGAACTGCAGTTAACGTTGGGGCAAGGCAAACTGACGGGCAAGCGTCGGGCTTTGGTGCGATGGAGACGGAGGTTGCACTCAGGACGATGACAGTGGCGATGGCCACTACTCCGAGTGGCTCTCCGCAGGGCTGGGGCTCGCCGGGTGGCCGGTTGATGCAGATGAGCCAGCAACATGAAGTGGTCACGAGTGTGGACCAGCAGCCAAGGTTTGATGGCGTTCAGAACGCCGCCCAAGCGTCGTGGTCTGTGGCCTCTACGAGGAGATCGGTTCCTTTGTGGGTGCAGCGCTTGGGGACTTTCATTCAAGAAATGAGGCCTCAGGGACAAAGCCCAGCTATGTGGGCTCCATCGCCTATGGGATCTCCCCCTCAGCAAGCACCTCGGAGAGCGTTGGGACCTGGTAATGCGGAAGGAGGACATGGTGGTGGACCGGGACCAGCACCGCTCCTGTCTCCGCAACACCAGGAGCAGCTTCGAAGGATGGAGCGAAATGCGCTGCTCCTTTATGGGCCGAGGCAGGAGCGAGGCCAGGAGAGTTCTGGTGGCTCCACGTATGAGGCGGTTCAAGAGGAGGTCGAGAAGCAACTTCGTGGGGTTGTTGAACAGCTGGAAGCTAGCCGTCAAGAAGCGCACGGATTGCGGCAGGAGGTGTTGCGATTGCGCAACAGTCGTGAGCATGGCAATGACCAGGACTCCTACGAGTATCCGCAAGGGCCTCCGCGGGCCTTTGGTGGCTATTTGAGTGGGGATGTGATAGAAACCCAAGGTGCTCGTCCGATGGCCAAGGCAGCATTACCTCCGTTACCTCTTCGTGCAAGGACTTCTACGACGGAGGCATCGGGCTTACAAGCAGCAGGGACTACCACTGAGGCATCGGGCGTACAAGCGACATTGCCTACCACAGCGGTGTCGGGCTTACAAGCGCCATTGCCTAACACAGCGGTGTTGGGCCTATATGCAGCTCAACCTACCACTGGGGCATCGGGCTTACAAGCAGCAGTGACTACCACGGGGACATCGGGCTTGGATGCAGGCTTGACGGTTCCTACGGCGACGGCGGCGCAAGGTGGAGGAGGACAACCTGGATTTGGCATTCAGGATGTTCCGATGAGTACCGGTGATGGCGGCCCACGTGGTGATCCAATGACGAGGTTGCTGGAAGGTTTGGAGAAGGTGATCAAGGGCAACAAGCCAGAGGAGCTCTCCAAGAGTGTGGAGGCCCCAAAGTTGCCGGAGATTACAGAAACATCCTCAGTGGACTTCGGTGACTGGTTGTACTGCTTGGAGCACTCGATGGGTGACCTGTCTGCGAGCAGTGCAGAGTGGTGGAAGATGGTCGTGAAGGACGCCCAGGACTACTACGACAAGTATCAGCAGGCAGACCAGTTTGCAAGGCTAGCTTTGAAGCCAGAGCAGAGTGTCGGCTTACAGGACCCGAAGTGGACAAGGGAAGACCGGCGAGGGGCGTCACTGCTGATAGCGGCCACTCCAGACGATGTGAAGAAGGAGATCATTGCTTCGAGGGCTAAGACAACCTTGGAAGTGCTCTCCAGGCTGATGGTGTTGTATAGGCCAGGCAGTGCTGTGGAAAAGGGGCAGTTGCTCAAGAAGATTGAGAACCCGGAGCCTGCCAGCACCGCTCAAGAGGCAGTGGAGTCGCTGAGACAGTGGCTACGGTACTACCAACGAGCACGTGACCTACGGCTGGGAACACCGGACCCATCGATTCTGGTTAGAGCGTTGGACAGTATGCTGAAGAAGCCGATAACGGACAACCAGGAGATCACGTTCAGAATGAACCTCCTTCGTTACCACTTGAAGGTGGACTTTGCCCCAACAGAGGACAGTGTTTTGGCTGTGCATCGGGCGTTCCTGGCTGAGTTTGAGCAGTTGGGCTTCAGGAAGCCAAAGGTTGTGAAAGGCCAGGACACCCCAGGGAACCCGCGGATCAAGGCTGTGGAAGCGCCGTCAGGATCTACGCCAATGCCTACCACATTGCCAAAGGGGGCTGCGAGGCCGTGCAGGTTCTACCTATCAGATGAAGGGTGTCGCAGAGGAAAAGCATGCAAGTACGAGCATTCGATGAAGGAGCTCAGCAAGGCGGAGTGCAGGGACAGATGCTACGAGTGTGGAGCAAAGGGTCACCTGTCGTCAGCATGCCCAACCCGCAAAGAGCAGGTTCAGCAGAAGGCAATGGGTACAGGCGATTCTCCGCAATCCTCGACAGGAGGTACCAATGGAAGGAGGAACGCTGGTGTAGCCCCGAAAGGTCCGAAGGGAGCAGAGGGTGAAGCTGTGGCCCCAACTAGTGCAGGAGCAGACCCTCCTCAGGGAGCGGTGCCGGTGGATGTTCCGGTGCAAGGGGTTCCAGTGGAGCAGCTCTTGGAGGATGCACAGAAGCTTATGAAGGCGTTTATGGAACAAAAGAGCACTCCTAACATCAGGGTACTCCGTGTGGAAAATGCGCAGGAGGTGGACGTCAGGGACTCGCCGGCACTGCGGGAGCTGATGAAGTCTGAGAGTGACATGGTGAACCTTTGCAGGATGGGACTCTTGGATTCGGGAGCTACACATGCCCTCAGACCCAGAACGTCGCAGGACAAGGGTGAGAAGACAAGCGTGAGCGTGACCCTGGCGGGCGAGCAGAAGGTGCAGATGGACCAGACAAAGAGTGGTACGATCTTGGGGGACTCGCAGACGCAGCCCATCGTGCCGCTGGGTACTCTGGTGCAAGCGCTCGGCTATGAGTTCGCGTGGGATCGCAAAGGCTGCAGGCTGAAACACCCGGACAAGAAGGAGATTAAGGTGTATGCGCGGTCCAATTGTCCAGAGATTGCGCAGTGTGATGCTTTGCGCCTCATTGCGGAGTTGGAGGAAGCAAAGTTGTCCGAGGCCATGGGATCGCTGGCGACTTTGAGGTCAGCCATCATGGCGGCGAGGGACCGTACTCAGTGGAGTTGGAAGGATGCGATCCGGGAGTATGTAGGAAAAGGGGAGAAGGAGACCGGGGTGAAAGCGATCCTGGCGGCCCCGTTCATGCACCATGTACCAATGGAGGATCAGCTGAAGGTGGTAGTGGAGATGCCTAAGACCCCTGAGGAGGCGTGGACCTAGATGAAAAGTTTCCCGCTCAACAGGGCGAAAGAGGCGCCAACTTTGGCAAGCGCCGGAGTGGACTGTGCACTTGTTTGCGGGCAAGGGAGTGAAGAACGACCCTCTACGAGATCTACCTGGCTTTCTGGAGATTGATCTCCAAAAGGGTTGGAACCTCAATGACGGCAAGATCTACGGAGTCCTGTTGTGGGCAGCGACACAAGGCCGGGTGAAGCAAGTCATTGGGGGACCACCAGGAGAAACATTCGCTCCTTTCAGGTATGAGTCTGGACGTGAGGGGCCGAGACCGGTAAGGTCCAATCATGAACCTTGGGGCCTACGAGAGGGTCTTGGTTTGGAAGAGTCAGCCAAAGTGAAGAATGAGAATGGGATGATCCTCAAGATGGTTTGGTTGTGGGCCTTTGCGGAAGCAGCGCTGGATGATCCTGATGTACCGGGACACAAGGTGGGGTTTTGTTTGGAATTCCCAGAGGACCCAAGGAGCTACCTTCCAGATGGGGAGCAGAAGCAAAGCTGCGTGTCTGTTTGGAGGACCGAGTTCATGAAAGAGTTCATCAAGGTTACGCAGTTTGACCAGGTGAAGTTCGAGCAGGGTGCCCTGGGACACCAGAACAGGAGGCCTACGTGTTGCTTGACCAATGTGGAGCTTGGCATACATGGCCTGAGGGATTCGCGAGCGTTCCTGAGCAATGACGAGGCCGACCCAGACCAGTCGATATGGCCGTTTGGTTTCAGGATCACCTTGGCGGACGCGATCCATGAGTGGATGGTGTCTCGGAACGCCATCGCGGTGAAAAAGGCTATGACCAAGTCTGAGCTGGCCGAGTGGAAGGCACACATTGAACGAGGCCATTGGCCTTACAGAAGAGATTGCTCGGTTTGTTTGTCGGCATCGGGAACGGGACGACCGGCAAGGCGAGTGATCCACCGAGATGCCTATGTTTTGAGTCTGGACATTGCTGGACCCTTTGCGGATGTGGGACGTGATGAAGTTCGTGGGTGTCGCTACAAGTTTGTGCTCGCGGCCACCTACTTGTATCCCAAGGTCAGGGATGTACCAGAAGATGCTCCTATCCCGGATGAGGAGGAGGCGGAGAAGTTCCTCGCTCAGGAGGAGGATCGGCCAGAAGATG